TTCAATTTTGACAAGAGTTACTAGGTAACGGATCTGAATTCTCACTGGCGCATGAACCCTATCCAAGGTTCAATTATAGTCGTTGTGGAGAGAAAAACGAGGGGGGGGGGGGGAAGACGCGTATAGCCGATAATTGAGAGATGGTTCTTTATAGAATGAGCAAAGAAGAAACTCGAGCGAAAAAGGTGTATTTTAGTTGAAACAACACGAGAACACGAGGCGGTCTACTGCCATGACTGATTATTTGATCAGCTTGCTTCAGTCTCACTAAAAGATTAATAAAAGTCAGTGTTCGCACGGGCATGACTTTGGAAAATGATGAGTTAACAGACTGTCACCGGACTGCTTATTGCTGTACTCATCCCGCTCATTGAAGAAGTCTTTAAAGTACAGTTTCTCACCACCAATGTTATTATAAATACCAGTTTTATATATCAACGTAATAATTCTCATAAAGTACACGAGCACGGCAAAAAGAAAATACGCGTATATCAATAATTAAGCATGCGGGAACCACTCGGGCGCAAAGTGGCTGTTGAGTAACGCTGCGCCAAAAAAAAAATGCCAAGGCACGAGCGTTAATGTTGTCGAGCATAAATTTCTAATTAAATCGAACAACCCTACCGTCGAATCTCACCAGAGTCGCTTTATTTTATTTATTTTTTTTAAAGTGGTGATTGATTAAAATCCGTTGCGCTCGTCGGAACGCGAGCATTCCGAAATGTCGCGACAAAAAGACACGCGAGCAAGAGCACTGTTTAGCGCTGTGGGAACGGCCGCTTTCTGGACGCGAATCTTGCTTCGGCGCTTCTTCGATGGAGTGTGATTGGCATGTGAGCGCGAGCGCGACCAGCGATCATCGTCGTGCTTATTAAAACTCTTGTTTGTCGATCTGCCGCAGCTTCCCCGGCAGCTACCCGATTACGTTGTGCCGTCCGCGATGATTATCGCGCGGATATAAACGTTGCCTCGTTAATGAGCGCGCGCAAGCGAGGCAGCATGGCGGCCCGCGATCTTTCAATTTTCTCGCGCGCGGAGATCAACGCCCCCTCGCTTCTGCGGCTTCGCGTAAGCTGCTCGGCTTTGCGCAATTTCCGCTCGAATTTTGCGCCTTCAGGCGCGAACGATCCATGGAATAAACGTCACACTTGGCCCGCGCGAAAGACTCTGCGTAAATAGCACCGGGACTGTAACGGGATCATCTAATTCCACGCGGAAGTCACGTATTCCAAGCATTATGCGATGGAGTTTGGTATCTCCGCGACTCACTAATTAATGTAGATTTCGAACGAGCTCGCCGCGGCGAATATTATTGATTAACAATAATCCGATAAGCGACTGATCGCGCATTAAAAGTCTAAAAGAAAGCGACCCAGATTTTACGTTTACTCTTCTTGCTCATCATTCCTTTAATTTTTTTTTTTTTCGCGTGCTCGCCAAACAGTGTAACATCCGAGTAAAAGAAGAAAAAAAAAGGAAAAGAGGAGCCTAACTTTCTCTCGTCGCCGTGGAATCTCCATATACGTAGGCACTTACCGCTCGCGGGGCTTTATTAACGCTGGCTTAATTGCATTGGCTAATATCACTCGGCGCACTCGAGTTTTCACATTCCAGGGCCATTGTCATTGTCGAAAATTTCACTTGCGTGCCACTCGCCGAGTGCAGCGGATTTCCGGCTCAATTCTATTTCTGCTCTTTTTCAGGGGAAATATTAATTGGTTCGTAAAATTCGAAAAAGCGTTTTCCCAAAGGCGCGGACCGTTGACGCGCTAATGAGTTTTCGGGAGGGGCGTATGTAGAACGCCCGCACTCATTGTTGGCTTTGAAGCCGAAAAGGATTTTACGGGCTGGCACGCAACTCTCGGGCTCTCTTTGTTCGAGCGGCGCCATTTCCAGGCTTTTCTTTTGCCATCGTAATTTTAGATCGCCTGCCGTCTCCTCCCTCGAGCCTCTCCGTTTCGCGCCCTCTGCACTTGCCGTGATCTCTCCTCGTCGCAACGACACCGACGTCAATTCCCGAGCGGGCCATTTCATCGCTGGTCTCTTTTGCCGTCCCAGCTTTGACCCACCAAATTTTTCCCTCCGTTCGCCCTCGAAAGCCCTCGCGAAAAGTCTTTGCGAAGTATGCACCGACGATCACGACAAAGGGTTTACGGGCGCGTGACAAAAAAAAAAAAAAACGCGCGTATCTGTGTGTCGTGACCTGATAAATAATAATAGTCTGAAGAGCCAACGTTCGCAGCATGTGGCTTTTATGCGCATTTCGGTTTGCGGTTTAACTGCGTCGCCGCAGCTCGTGACCCTTTATATAGTCGCGCGCTCCTCTTCCCCTGACTCGGGGTCTTCGTCATCGCCGTTGCCGCGCGCAACTTTTAATAGCTCTCGATCGTTCTGCCTTTCTCTTTCTCATGCGCGCCTTTCGGGCCTGTAGCTTATTAACTCTCGTTACTTTTTATCTTTCTCCTTTTTTCACTGGCCGTTTGCACTTTTTGTATTTCGTTGCTTGTCCATTTATGCTTTTTATTATGGCGCACTCGTAGAGAGAGAGAGAGAGAGAGAGAGTAACGAGCAAAAGAGAGATCTTCAGAGCGGATTATTCAATTAGCGAAATAACGCAGAGTCGTGATTTCATCTGTTGTTTTTTGCTTGATTTATTTGTGAGGAACGTAATTGATTTTCGAAATACAGTCGCTTGGCAGTACACAACATGCGCGCAGTAGAGGCTATAGCGATCAGATTAGTCGCCAAGGCTACAATTAAAATTCGAGAGAGGCGCCAGCAATGAAGGGAAGTGTCAAACGTATACAGACGCATACACACACACACGAGTTACGATCATTGATTTGGGAATAGAAAACAAGGTCGTGGGCTGCCTCGTCCGATGCTTACGTAAATAAGGCTTCGAGTGATTTTATTTTGAAGCCCAATCGAAACTACAATGTCGCTTTTGTCGCCCGGTCGCGTACGCACGCGCGTAACGCCGGTGGCCGGCAAGAAGCTCGCGAGCTGGAACGAAAATGTAGACTTGTCTTTATTTTCAACACAGATCTCGCCAGTTTTGCCGGCCGCGGTTAATTAAATTCAGAATTGAATTAACGCGCATAATGAGAATCAATACGGTCGAGCGCGATAAAAAGTGGAGCGATAGGAGTGGATTTTCTTTAATGAAAAAATAGAAAAAGCGAGTGACGGAGCGCGCTACGTCGGCTGTGTCGCAATAGTTATCTCGTTGATGTGCACAAGCCAACACCCACTCGTCGTCGACGCGCGGAGATGTGGATCGCAGAGCCGCGAGTCACGCGCGCACGCGTTGATAGTAAAATCATACCGCGTCGTCGAGGCCATACGTCAGGCCTATCCCGGAAAGAAAATGAAATTTGTAAGCGAAACCGGCTCGACGGCCGCGCCGAAATTGGTGTGGAGTTAATTGATCACGGCTCCTTCGTCGACGTCGCGCAGTGCCTTTGAGTAATGATTTATCATCGGCCGCCAGACAGAGAGGGAGCAATTTATGGAGCCATTGAGCCAAGCTATCCGTTTCCTCTCGTGCCCGTATATCCGATCCCCGCAGGTCGATTACGCAAAAGCCACGGGCTTGGACTTCTTTTTATTCCGCATCTTTCGCGGGGGTGGGTAAGAATAGCAGCGAAAAACCATCGCGCTCTCCCTCTTACTCTCGGGTTTGCATTCGATTAATCGCGCGATTTCCTGGTATTGTTTGCACTCCGTTTGCACGGCAGCGGCAGCGATCATGAATCTTTGCCTGGCGCGCGGCTTTTGTTTCGCGCGCGGATCTGTGTCAGCGAGCGTAGGGGGAGTTGGATTTTAATTGCCGGAGCTATTGGTTTTTGATTGAAGCTACGAGATTAAATGGCGCCACTCTCTTTGCGGTTCACCCTCGCTCTTTATCCTCCGGCTGGTTAGCCATCCTCTTCCCTTTTAAATGCATCCCGCTTGCTTTCCTTTTTCATCAATTTCGACGAAATGCCAGAAGATTTATACATTAGATCGGGCACAATAAATATCGAAGGCTATCGGCGATCTCGGCGATGAGAGTTCGAATCGAAGCAACGTGCAGGCACATACGATACGCTCGTGCGACCTTTTACCGCATATGCTCGATGCAAAACGGTTATTCGGTTATTACACGATACTCTCAATGAGAACGACCGAGAGGAGTAAAAGTCGTGGGCGCGAACTTCAGCTCGGCGACTGACATTTCGAATTATCAACGCTGACCTGAATTTTGGAGAAATCAAGTGTAACGCGTCGATTTCCTGGCTCACCGGCTCCACAGTGAAACGAGCCAGTATACTCGTAAAGTTCATTGACGATTCAATCAGAAAAACAATGCCAGCAGCCGGCTGGCTTCCGCCCAGCGAGGAAGTATCGCGTGCACATACACATAGGTAGAGGGAGTGGGATGCCGGGCGATTAAGCAAAGCTACGGCGAGTTAAATCCGCGGACCACCTTGGCGTCGACGCTGCAGCTAGCGAGTATTATTGCAGGCGCGCGCGCACGCGCGCACACACACACACACACACACACACACACACACACGAGAGCGGGAGACCACCGCGTCGCGCACCACTTCTTTTTGTGTCTGCCCAGACCGCGTGAAAATAGAGCCGGCCGCGTGTACGGGAAATCGTTGATTTTATGGGAGGCCCTTCCCTCCTCCTGCACTGCTTTCATGTTCCGAGGTTACGGTACGGGCGTACGTCCGATTGCCTACCTTCCTCTTTTCTCCCCTTTCTCGGGCGCGTGCTTTTATTGCTCGTCCGTGCCGATGCCCCTTCGTTCGTTTTGCAATTTGATCTGATATGCGCCCCGAATAAACTTATATGGACGGCGATCGAAGGGATCGTTCTTGGGCGACGATACCGAAAGGAAAACACGTCAGATCTCTGGTTGCCTTGTTTATCTGGCATATGTGGATAAGGAAAAAGGCGAAAGGAGGAAATCGAAATTGACGTGTGCTCTTCTCTTGTTTTTCCAGAGATCGATCATGAGGTGGAGCCGACAACACCGCGGGCTACTTGTGCTGCTGCAACTGGCGTCGCTGCTGCACGCGACGAGGGCCGACTTCCGCAGCATCTCTTATGCCGGTAAGTTGATCGACGACGTTGCTACCGTTGCGCGTATCTCTTCGCGCACTGATTCCAGCAGGGATCGCGGATTTATGTACGACTTGGTGTACTCTGGGAACAGTTGGTCCGCGCGTGCACGTTTATCGATCTATTGCGAGAGAGCAAGTTGCACAGCGAATCTGACTTATCGCCCCGAACACAATGGTCCGCGTGTTGGCTTTTATCAGTCGCGGCCATCGATTCGCGCCAAGCCATTGCCAGCAATTGAATTTCTTAATCCGAGTCGCGCTGTATAATCGTGTCTATGCATCCGCCATAAGATCATAAACTTGGCTTGTTTTTCTAGGTGCTACCGCGCGTGGATCTTTTTATGTATCTGTTGCCTAGAAACGCGCGATCGAGAGATCGCTGTTGCTGGATTTGAGAATCGACGCGCGAAATCTTGATAAAGAAGCCTTATAATCCGACTTTCGAAGTGTGCGGCAAACGTTATTACGGCACGATTAATGATTAATCGCGGATCATTACCTAGTGACTAATCGATCGGCGGTATATTTTTATTGCTCAAGTCATTTTGGGATCTAGTCAAAAACATCTCGGAGATCCGCGAATGGACTTAGTTTTATTACGTATGCATCGCACGCAAATTACATGCACTCGAGTACATAATTGAGTAGTAAAAGTGTAGTGCGTGGCAGCTAGGCCATCGGCAAGAAAGTTCATAAATCAGCGCGCGCGCCATTTTTCCACTTTTTCCACTCGGGAAATTCGATAATAAGACTTGTTGGACTTTCACGATAACTTATTCAACTGGTAATGGCTCTCTCTCTCTCTCTCTCTCTCTCTCTCTCTGTCTCGCAGCGCCAGCCCGCCTAGCAGTTTTCTCAATTTCACGAAATCTTGTTACAACCATATCAAACTTGTAACTTGTTTAAACTCGCGGCGCGCGCACGGCAAAAATTTGATCGAATTCCCGCGCGAGGCAAAGAATCAATCTGTTTAGTGCGGACTCCCCCATTGGTCGCGACCCGTTCTCGCTCGATCGGAGGAATAAAAAGCATTCTGCCGCGACGCTCCCATTACGCCACGAGGCCGACAGGAGAATTGTCCGCTCGCGCTCGCGGAGCTCATAAAAGGGAAGCCTGTAACGATCGTGCACGTTCCACTTATAGCCAGTTTTCCGATGGCTGTAAGCTACGCGTCTAACGGAAGCGAGTTAACGTTTTGGACGAAGGAGCGAACGAACAAATTGAGAGTGCAGAGGGAAAACGAAAAATATGTAAAGTTTGCAATGTCGCGGGATATGCCAGTGTGAAGGAGATGATGTGTCGCGATGTTTCTCGTTTGTCTTTTCTTCCTTCGTCTCGCTCGATTTGCGAGGCTGCGGGATAAAATCCTGCCGCCTCGCGTTAAAAATTCAATATTTATCGCGTTACATACTCGAATGCGAGATTACTGTAATTCCTTGTATCGCCCCCGAATGTGATGATTGTCTAGTGGTTTGCAATATTGTTCTCGCAACTACCAGCACCATAAATATCGCAGATAAGGTTTGCGTTCTGTTCTGTAGCCTCCGTCTCGCGGTGTGAACGTAATCGCAGCGGTTCGATCTTGAAATCAGCGCGTTGCAGCGTCGACGGAGCGAAAGTTAACTTGTAGCCGCGAGCCGAGTGGAAAGAAGAACGCCGCGCAAAATTAAGCGAGCGAACGATGATGAGTTTTATTAATAAAGGCGATAATCGCGCGGCTGCAAATATAAATAGTCGCGAGCTAAGGGGTTCGCGAACGCAATTATTTACAGAGCAATCCAGCGCAGGTAAAGCGCATTATCATTCTTGAGATAAATGACGTTAATCCGATTCCACTGCTCTTTCTCTCTCTCTTGATATACGTACTCGAGCAAAAGGGAAAACACAATCGCCGACAGCGACGCTATCGATAGGAAAATAAACGTAGTGCACGGGCAAAGCTCGCTCTCGCGCGAATATGTATGAGACTCGCTGACACAGTGAAAAAGAGTCGGGAGGACGCAGTGCGAATAATTACGGTGAGACGCGCTGCTCGGCAATCGAGGCTACAACGTATACGCGCAGGGTAGATGCGATTGATGCATTTTAATGAGAGACGCGCGCTGATGGAAAAGAGATGGGGGAGGGGGTAGAAGGAATCGCTAAATAGAGACGTCGTCGTCGGATGCGTGACGGAAGCGTTGGCCCGACGCTAATTAGAGAGACGCGGCGACGGATGTTTTTTAACGAGGTCGCCCTCGGTGCGCGCGATCGCGCGCGCGCTGCACTTATCTATCTCTCGCTACATCTGGCCGTGCGATCGCGTCGTAAAAAGGCAAAATTCGTTCTGGATGCCCAAGGCCACTGGGGAGGGTTCTTTTCTCCGAAATTAAGCTATTTCCGGCGAGACGCGAAGGCGCGCGCGTAGGAAGTACTCGACGTTTTTTCTTTTTCTCCTCGCGATGATCGTTGTTAATGGGGAGCTCGCGCGAGAGCATTCACGTAAACAAGGTTAATGGCACGGCTTTATTTGGGAACCGAGCGTTTCCGCGCGAAAGCGAGTGCCTTCGGAAATAATCGAGCGAGGAAAGCAGCGATGCGCGCGCGCGGATCGGTGCAAAATGTGCGCTCGGCTATAATAAACGATTGCCCCGCGCGCATAATAATAAATTGTCGCTGGATCGCTTACCTCGCCGATGGCTGATCGTTTGCCTGGGCTCTCGGCGCTCGCACAGCTTTTTCGAGAACGCGTCGGATCTTCAATCGGAGCTGCGCGCAGGCTCTCTCGCTTCGCGTTCCTTTTTTCTCAGCTATGCCAATAGCAGCTCCGCACAAATATGCCTGCGTGGTTCCCTATTCGGAATCCGACTAGCGTGATATTTTACGGGACTGAAGCTCGAGAAGAAGAGGAAAGCACGAGCGCATGTTGACTGTTGCAATCAAGGCCTGATGAAGAATGCCAATGGCTCTCTCGGGGAGGAGAACAGTGCGAAGTGCACAGGTATACCAATTGCATCTAAGCCAAGGCGAGAGCGGCTCGCCTAGCCGTGAAAAACAGGCGGAAATAACGAGACGCTGCAGCGCAGCCAAAGATGAAAATCGATATTGCGCACGCTAATGCCAGCGAAGTGTCGACGCCTATACGGAGAGTGAATTTTCGACAGGCTATATATACGGGAGAAAAGAGCCAGATGGGAGTGGCCTGGTCACGGATGCACACATGTGCGAAACTCCAGCCGCTGTAAATCAACGCTTTCCGCAGCTGTAAATCAGAGCCGCTCAGCGCGGCGTCGTCTCCGTCTCGAGTCTCCTCGTCTTCCGAACGTTTCAGCGCTTTTTTTTACCGAGGCGCACTCTCGGCTATTTTTTCCCTGGGCGCGCAGCAAAGGAAAGCGCGGCCGACGATTCAATAAGCGACGCACTCCACGCGTGGTCCCTTGACTTTGCATGTAAATCGAGGAGAGAGAGAGAGAGAGAGAGAGAGAGAGAGAGAGAGAGAGAGAGTTGTAGGCCGATCTATTCCCAGCGTTCGGCCGAAATTGGCTGTTTCGCCTAACATTAGGGAACACCTCCACCCCCCTCGGCGTCGACGACGCTTGTCCTGCCCGAGGTTGTTCAAATCAGGGTAATTTTTGCCGCGGCGAGAGCATCGGACAACATCATTGTCGTGATTCTCTAGCCAAGCGCCGCCAACGAGGAGTCCCGCGGAGATCCCGCACGCACTGCATTCCTTCTCTCCGGGCGAGGCTTTCCGACCAGTCGCCCCATAAATCCTTGCGCACGCGACTAAATAACCGAATACAAATTTTATCCCGAAACATGCCCGCCGCCCCGCGAGTACAGCTTGCGCCTCGTTTCGAACACGCGTGAAATCCGAGTAACGCGTCCTTGAACTCGAGATAAAAAGCTGTTCGACTGACGCGGGCGTGGTGACAAAATCGGGAGGTGGGACGATTTTTTTCTTCTTCGAGGGTACGTCGAGTTAAACTTCCAAGGCCGAATAGAAAGGAGAAAGGACTCCTCTTTTTTTCTCTCTCTTTCTCTCGACTCTCGGTGTCTCGCGTTACTAACGCCGACGCGTAGCGCGGCTCCGGTTTTTGCGCGCTGCCTCCCGTGCGCTCCTCTGTGTATAAGGAGCGACACGGTCGAGAGATGGTCGCCGATAGAGTTCCACTTTTGGTTCGGTCGTCCGCTCGCATCCGGAAGTTGGGAGCTCCGTCGGTGCATCGAGGGGGGACGCAGGTGCGTCGAGCGTTCAACGGAATTGCTCTCTTCTACGTGTCCTCCTCCAGTCTCACCTTTAATCATCGTGGAATTGGTTTTGTTGTTGTTAGCCCACTATTTGCAGGTTTGACAAGCCTCGTGGAAAGAATAATACACTGCCAATTAATCAAGCTTATCGTAATTGCAAGTGATAACGATCGCGGCAAATCGTAACTCGCACGCCCCAATTTCTAAGGAGGGAAAAACAAAGCTTCATTGCCAGGCTTTCCGTCCGTATTTTTTCCCTCGCTCGTGTTTTGCGATAACTGAGAGCAAGAACCGACCAAAGGGAGAGAATATGCCGAAAATCTTGTTTGGCCGCGCTGTTACGAGGACACGCATACGAACGAGCGTGAGAGAGAAATTATTGCGAGCTGTCATTAGCGTCACGCGAAAAACGCGGTGGCTCGCGCGAACACCGCGCGCAGGCGAAAGCGAGTGCGACGCGTGAGAAAGCTCGCCCCTCGAAAAAAATTCTCGGTCTGAAGGCAGCCCATCCGCGGCCCCGCGATTCTGCGCGCCAACTTGGCTGGAGCCTGAAAAGTTCGTCGCCGCCAGCCAGCGGGGTAATGACGATGAAAGCTCGAGCATGCGCAGGCGAGGACGGACAATCGGCCGCGAGGCCCGTGCCGTTGGTAACATCGATCGAGCGGCGTCGTTGCGTGCTCACCTGACGCAGGAGCCCGCGTCGCGGCCGCACGGTACTTTCAATCAAGGCTGCGCCGCGGCGCACGCTCGACTATTGAGTACACGCGGAACCTGTTGATCGGCCTTTTCTTCCGCGCGGCATTCCTCCTCATAATGCTGTGCCTCTCTCTCTCTCTCTCTCTCTCTCTTTCTCTCGGTCATTCTCGTCTTTTCCATTTTAGATCGCTGCATTTTCTTGCCAGTCGCGACCTCCGAGGAATCTCGCGCGATGATAATGCAATTCGCCGCGATAAAATAAACTTTCGTGTCCCCTGTACTCGGCTCTTTGACGCGTGCACTTAACACGCTTTCGTGCTAATATGTAGGTTAATATTGCAGAGAGATGTATGCACGATCAGTGATGGACTGTTGATATCCGATCGCGTCGTCCCGATGATAAAAATCGAGTGGAATGCATGGGAAGCGAACAGAAAAAAAAAATTGTCCTCGTTGGCGTATCTCAATTTGTCAAGCGTATAGCGGTCGATCGTAACGAACGCTCGTAAGCGGATTGCAGGGATCGTAAAATGACGCTAGCATAAATTAAGAAATCCAGGGTGCGCGAGAGGAAAAATGTCGGACCGAAAAACGACGAAGAGCTTAAGGCGTTGGAGAGTTGTAAAAGCGATCGAAGGCAGGACTAAGAGGATTATTTTTTTTTTCTACGCCATCTCGTTTCGTAACAGCCTCCCCACGGGCGCGCGAGCTTTTCTCTAAACCGTTGCCACGGTGGGCGCGAATGTGAAATCATCTTCTTTTTCTTTCTCTCTCTTAAAAGCATCCAGTCGGTCATCTTTGAAATTCCAAGCGAGTGAAATATCACGCGCTCTCATGAAACCGCTACCGCGCCCATGCCTATCACTCTCTACACAAAGTATCAGCTGATTCTTTTCTTTCGAGCGAGGCGAAATATGCTCCGGTTATGCTTTCGTACAACTAAATCGCCATCGAAATTATCCCGTTCTCGCGGCAGTTTCTTTTGTCAATAACACGTGTAGCCACAAGCCTTGAAAAAGAGACGAAAAACAAGAAAAAGAAAACAGCGGAAGAAAGGTGCATGTGCATTTACTTGCGAGGTGAGTTTGCAAAAGGCAGAATTTCTGGGAAGAGTACAGAGGCAGCTCGTTCAAAACGACGATACGCCTACAAAGAAATCTTGAAAAAGCTCGTTGATAGCCGATCTCTTTCTCGCAAATATTATAATGACCAGTTGTAAAGTACTTTTTATCGCGCGCGAGCAGAGTCGGATAAAAGGAGAGAAGAAAAAAAAAAACGAAAATATATATGAAGAGGGCAAGCTGGCCTGCCTAAGTTCGCTGTTTGTTTCGTGGCCAATCGTAACGTCCGCGAAAGAGAGATGCTCGGAAAGCAACCCATCGCGCTTCAATTACCCGTCGTTTTTTTTTTAAAGTCGCTGCTCGTGGACCGTGCGGCTAATGGTACATCTCTATGCCTCTTTACGATCTGTGCTTGCTTCTAAGAAGGGAGAGAGCAAGACAGCCGGATAATGACATTTCATTATTTCGACTCCTTTTATTTCCTCGTCTTTCCACTTACGTTTCAATTGTTCCTCCCGCTGCGCGGCCTCTCCCGCAGTACAAAGTACGGAACACAGGCAGAGAAAGAAGCAGGACCAACAAAAAGGACAAAATCACAATCTCGCAGCGGATCAGCCGAGTTTTACACGGAGAGGCGCGGTCTCGAGCATTATCTCTCGTAACTTTTCATTAAGACCTTTATTTTCGCTGGTATACATGCAAATCTCGACTATAAATAATGCCGAAAGCGCGCGAAAGAGCCTCGAAACGACGCAGCGGCATTCCCGGCGAGACAATCCGAAACAGGCGCTCGGCCCGGGATCCACCTGAGCTAAATCAAGGGGGTTCCCGAGAATGACGCGCGAAAAATAATATAACGACAAGCAGAGCGAGCGAGAGAGCAAGCCGGGCAGCGATGCGGGCTGCCGTTGCGCGCCGCTATAGGTAGCACCTCCCTTTTAATCGCTGCGGTCTATCCAAAAGCGACCAAACAGAAACAAGCTGCCCTCCTCCTCTGATTATTTTCTCTTATTACGTCAGAGTGCGAGGAGCAAAGCTCGAGCTTCCATTACGCGGCCATCAATCTCCACGTTGGCTGGAGCTGCCCGTAGGGCTCTGAACCTTCTCTCTCTCTCTCTCTCTCTCTCTCTCTCTCTCTCTCTCTCTCTCTCTCTCTCTCTCTCTTGTTCTTCCTATATATAACTGCTTGCGCAGACACACACTCAGCAAGTTCTGCTTGCTCCTCGCTTGGCCGTAGGGGAGAAGCCGCAGAAAAACGGCAGCGAGCAGGTTATGCTAACTGCTCGATCAGCGTCGATCTTCGCTGTTGCTGCAACCTCGCCGCGCTGGTTCGTCGGCTTCTCTTGTCGGAAAAAAACTCCAACGACCTCCTACCTCCGCTCTTGCTCTGACCATGGATCTTCGCATGTGACCCCAGACGTGTACGTAGAAATATAACGTGCCTGCCATGCAGAAAGAGGACGGATTTGTACCCTTCGGATCGTGTCATAGCTGCCCGCAGTATCAAATTGCCAAACGCGTAACTCCAACTTGTTCCACTTCAAACTCATTGATCCAAACAATACGCTGACGAACACTTGATCCGAGAACAGGCACGTTTGCGAGCCTTAAACGCACGCATTTTTTCCTCTGTTGTCGAGAGTGACGGGACTCAAAGTACGCAAGGCTGTGCTCACACAAACCGGGAAGAAGATTGTTCGCGGAAGACAAGAAGGCTTTTTTCCATCGCGGCGTGCGCGGGATTTTTCCCCCCTTCGTCTCCCTCTCTCTCTCGCTCGGATTTTCTCCCATGGATCGCCTTGCGGTACCGACGCGACGAAAATGGTCGTGCAAAGCAAGCTCGATCGACTGGCATCGTAACGGAGGAGCGCTGCTGTCGCACGGGCTTCGGAGGCTTGTTTGACAACATCGAAATTGAGGCTGGCTTCCGAGTCCTTACAATCAGATCAATTATGCAATTACGCTTGATCGCGCGGCTTTTCGCCTGCGTGCTCGGCGGTAGATGCGGAATCGCAGCGACAATTCGCCTCGCGCGCCTTAGCGCCGAGGTACGGTACGCGGCAAACGTAACTCCCGAATGCGAGTGATCACAGCGAGGCTTAACGAAAGGGAAACTTCGGCGCCAACGTTTACCTCTACTGTAATCATGAGCATTAGCGTAGTCAACCTGGTGATCCGTGTTTTATCTCTTACACTTCGCTCTCGCTTACTTGGTTTTTAAAGTACGTCACGCACGTTGGCTAATTGAAGCCACGGGATCTCTCTGTCTCTCTCTCGCACTCTCCTTTGCCTTTCTTTTTTCAACGTTATCTCGTGGATTTCGGCGGCGCGCCGCTGACATGTTAGCGCCGCTCAAGTCGGCAAATTGTTGCGTCAATTGAGATCTTCACGAACGGACGTGCGAGTTTCCCTGCTTTACGAATCTCTGCGCACTTTCGAAGCCCATTTGCGAATCACTCAATTAACATGCTCGCAACTTGGTGCGAGAGATTGAACGTTTAAGAAAGAGGCTAATTAAACAGACGACTGCGTTTATCTCGTTCGGTGTGTTTATTTTGCTGAATTTAATCGAGGACTTTGCGCTTTTATTTATCTTGGCTGCTGGGTAGGTAGACTTGATTATCTTTTCGTTATGGTAATCCGATGGATTAAATAAAAAAAGTAAAATAAAATAAAAGAGAAAAGACAAGTATTGCAATTTAATCCTCTTCGTTTATCGGGAAATTTATATACTTGGCTCGTGCATTCTCCGAGTGATAATTTTATTAACCGCGTCGCGATTGAGTCAATTGGATGGATCGTCGAGGAGAGTTTTTATCGAGAGAAAGATAGCGCGTTACAACAAACACTTACGTAACAGAGTTAGCCAAGAATCACTAATCAGCGCCGAACAATTACCACCTCATCTCGCGAGTTCCATAATTTAATCTTGTAACGCGCCTCACGTAGCCAATAAACAAAACGGCTACCGGTGCAAAAATCCTTCGACATGGTCGATCGATCGCTTTCCTGCGCATCGCCGAAGAAAAAGACGAAGAGGAACGGAAAAAAGTAGCCTGGCAAGCAGCGCAAGAGAGGAGAGAGAGAGAGAGAGAGAGAGAGAGAGAGAGAGAGGAGCGAAGGGAACAAAAGGAGAAAAGAGCGCAACGGCCTTCGACGAGCAAGATGAACGAACTCGCAATTATGAAGAAGCCGCTCTCGGCAAAACGAGCGGCGCGAGATAGCTCTTCGCGTGCGGATAACATAACACTTGGCTCTTTCTCTCTCGCGGCGCAGTTAATATTTGGAGCATCCCGAGAGAAAGAGAGAGAGAGAGAGAGAGAGAGAGAGAGAGAGAGATGTCAGTGCACTCGCTCTCTTTTTATTGTTCGACGCTGCGGTTGCACACGCGCAACTTGTTCTCGATCAAGATAGAATTTTCATAATGAATCCTTGGCTTCGCATCGTTTTCACTTTTTTTTGCGCGCTCGTACGTCTCGTCGCTGTTGCCGATGAGCATGTCCAAGCAGACGATGTGGCGACGGAAGCTTTCGTTTCTCCATTATTGCCGTGCGCACGACGAGATGGCCACAAGTCCATTACGTTTCTCCGTATCATTTATTCGCTTGATGGACTTGTCTCGCGGAATACTCGTTGCCTCGCGCTCAAGCCAACCAGGTATGCTGCGCCTCGTTCGCCTGGCCGCAGCGTAATTAATAGTTTCATTAACAATTCTGGAAAGAAGGGCAAACGAGTAGAGCGTCGACAACCAGTTGGTCTCGTCGGGCCTTTTCGTCGGCCGATGTTAAATCGCTCGTTTTGTTTGCTTGCAGACTTGGTGGACAAGCAAGAGTTCCAGCAGGAAGGGGTCTCGGCGTACTCGCAGTTGCTGTTCGACGTCGCCAGACAGCAAGTCGTCGTGGGCGCACGGTAAGTTCAAGCAGACGCATCTCTGCTATGGGCAAACGAGCTCGATCAGAGCGGCTTCCCGGATCACGTTATGTAGGCACGCGTTCCTTGGGCGTCGGCCAACTTCGAAATAGAATAACCAGCCTCGGACTCATATCCGCGCAGGGATTTCCCGCCTTGACCCTTTCGTCTCCGCGAAATCAGTCAAGTGGATTTATTTGCCGTTTCGGAAACACGCCTCGTGTCCGCGGCTATTTTCGGCGCTTTATTTTCTCAAGAACCGTCGCTTCTCTTTTTCTTTTGTTGCCGTCGAAAAGTTAAAATTAAAAATGTTTGTTTTGCCACGCCCTCGAGACTTTTCGATAGTCGAAAAATGAGCGCCATTCGTCACAGCCGCCCGATCCAAATAAAATACAGCCTGACTTTTGTAAGATTTGGCGAGTGGATTGCGCGCGAAGAGCTGCTGGCTTGTCGGTACGTTCACGAGCGAGCAATCCAAAAGCCGTAGCGACGGAATAGGCAAGGAAAGCACGTCATCATCCGGAGCAAACAATTGTCGAGGCATCGTAAAAGGCGAGGAGATGGGCCGGTATATAGCAGGCTGGCAGCGGGTCATCGGCACGCGCGTTCTCGTCTCGCGTTCGTCTCGGTGGAGCCGCTATTGCTCAGTGACGCGACGCTTGCTCTCGACAGACAAAACATTGCGCGCGCGCGCGTAGCGCTTGGCAGTCGGCCAATTTCGCCCAGAGAAATCAGCGAATTGCCAAAAGAACGCCGTGCGCCGTCGATGCTGCCGCGTAAATTAGTATCGACAGCGAGAGAGAGAGAGAGAGGAAAGAGTCATAAAGTTGCGAAGTTAATTTACAGCGAGGAGCGTCGTGCGCATGGCCAACAGGTCAGAGAGCAAAAAAGAATGGCTGCGCGCGCTTGGAGAGACATTAATCGGCGCGTCGTCGTATCCTACATCTTTTTGGCGAAAGAGAAAGAGAAGATACGCGTGTACGATAAATCTACATTCGCGTCACGTCGCCTGGTGTTGGGACTTTGCGTGACTACCGAGATTCCCCGGCGAGAGAGAGAGAGAGAGAGAGACTGAGATAGATGACGATGTACGCTGTGGATTCGAGCCACGTGGGCGCGAAATCTGCCTACAGGAGACGCGAATCAAAGGGAGAAAACGCCTCCACGTCGTGGAGCCGTTACACAGACGTCGTGTAATTAAACATAACGGAAACTCGATCGCCGTCCACGCGCACTGCGGCCGCACGTTATATACAGTAGTGTGGGTATGTATGCTGCGACGATGCGAAAAAAGGATTCGCTGGCTGGGAGTGTCAATCAACGAGATTATGGGTTTTCGATCTTGCGCTGATGAGTTAGAGAGTGCTTTCGAGAGAAAAGTAATCACTTTCGGGACATTGACGGAGGAGAGAGAGTGAGAGAGGGAGGTGGGGGTGGAAGGGAGCGAGAACGTGTTTTCTCTGCTGAAAATGTATTCTCTTCTAAACCGCTTCGCGTCCCACTATGCAATTATCATCTCTCTCTCTCTCTCTCTCCCTCTCTTTCTCTGCAGCTCTGTTGGCGAAAATTTATCTTCGGTTGTAAAGACAAGCTAATCTCGATCAGGCGCGGTCTGCCGCGCCGCCGAGTACCAGGCTGCATATTTTGCATCGTCTATTAATAGAGTTGCCCGGCGCGACGTCGACCCACGCGACCACGTTATTTTCCTACGCGCAGGTGCCCGGTGTAACGCTTAGGTTTCCCCTTGCACGCAAGGGCGTGTAAGTCGGCATTTGTTTTTCTACTTACTCGTACTGTCCACCAAAGTTACTGGCGCTTTACGGGATTCGTGGTATCAAGTTGTAATTAGCTCCGGACGCGAGAAAAAAAACCTACACGAAAAGGAAGCACACGCGCTAAGAGTTAAGAAAAAAGAGCTTTTTACTTGGGTAATTTGGCGGATAATGGGGCAAGGGCTATTGGTTTAAAATGCTGTTGCGGGACGAATCGATCATACGCACTTCCGCGTCATCGGCGAGCCTCGCGTCGCGCGCGTTTAATTGCGACACCAATTGCGTCAACGCTGTGTATCGGGAGTATCGATAACAATCGATGCCGCGGACACAATAGTCATCCGTTACCTAATCAATTTTCTTTTTTGACGGCACGCTTTCCTTCCGCGTGAGCTCGGGGAAAAAGAAGAAGGTAACAAACGGCAATGGTGACGGTGACTCAGAGTCCGCCCACGTTGTCGGGCACGGAATAGAAAAAGTTGCAGTTACGAGATTCGATCGCGGCAAACACAGGCTATTGTGCCGTAATTCGTTCCGTTGAAATGGAACGCCCGTCGTCGGGAGTATCGCGCGAGGCTCCGGGTATTGATTTTCATAGTTTGCCGGAGCGCGCGATTAGCATGCGAGAGCGCAAGCGAGACGCTGCGTCGGCGGGGGGCTCCCAGAGGCCGCGCCAAATCGGCTCGACCATTGCGATTGGCGCGGGTCGACTGGCGCCGGAAACCAACCGCTCGGTTAGCCGCGTAGTTCGCCGGCAATCATCCGCGGCACACGTCGCGCGAGCAAACATTTTCCAGGAGTCTTATTATCGGTACGCGGCATCGAAGGGACGGACGCGCGCATTTGGCGCTCCAAGCGCGCGGCTAATTGCCGTTGTCGCTTGTACGACTCGCGCGTACACGTACACAGCCGTGCAGGTCAAAGGCTCGCGCTCTCGCGCGTGAAAGTTTAATTGAATATCGGCCGCGCCAAAGTGACTTCGCTCTGGCAATTACGGCGCGTCCAGTGCACCTCGCGCTCGCGAGTGTTCATGATTTTTGCACGCGCTATGTTTTGCGCCCCCCCCCCCCCCCAAGATCTGGTTCGTTTGATCCAGAGGTATAACCCGTTGTGCACACGCGATTGTACTCCAGACGATCAGTTATGCTAGTTAGGAAACAAAGGCGCCTAAGCACGTCTCAGTTCTCTCGAAAGCGTGCTACCGTAAATACGTACATATATGCTTCATATATATATATATATATATATATATATATATATATATAAGAAGCTGTCAATCGTTATAATCTTATATTATTCATGATCCATCTTAATTGTTGCTGTCTTATCTCGCACGGGATGCACATGCCAAACGCTGACGTCCAATGCACACAGAGGCAGCTTCGCCGCGCGTAACGCATGCACGCGCGCGCATACGTGCTCTTTCTAGTCCCTCTTTCGCTTACGAGTCTAAGCCGGCGTTCGCGCGCGGTCACGTTTTGCCGTTAAAATTAGCACAGCCAAAATAACACCTCCCGTGTGTCGTGGCACATCACAATCGAGCTCCTTCCTTTCTCGCGCGCGAGCAGCCAGCGAGCGGGAGCGAGCCGCGCGTTTAATTTACGATTGAAAGCACGCGATAATAAAACACTTCGCCGCCGAGCGAAACGCGGCCCGAGGATTCGCGACCGAGGAATCGGCGCAATAACGGCCTGTCAATCGTACGCTTTGACGCGTATAACATTACCAAATGTAACAACCCGCCGCCTGTCGCTCGTACGCCAAAAATAAACAAAAGAGCTTTCGCCTGGCACGTAATGCGCGTAATTTATGGAAAAAAAGGCCGATCCGCGCACGCGCCCCTTTCCCGTGTGGATATCCGCTTGACGTTTGAATGGACCCGATGCCGGTCGCTGCGCTGCACTCTCCTCTTCCATTTCTCTGCGTTCGCTGAAATTATACGTTTTTTCTCCATACTTGCGTGCCCGTACTTTCGACATTCCCTCGTCCCCTCTAAAATCGTTTTTTTTCCCCTTTCCAAGTTCGGATTTTTAACTGAGCGAGCGAGAATTAATAGCCGCTAGGTGGCATTAATAAACAAATATCGCACGCTACACGCATTCGAAGGCTCGCGTGGAAGATTTTTCTCCGACTTCGTGTCCCTCTCGCGGTCGCTCCTTATTCGGCCAGTTCGGTTTGGTTCGATATCGCGTGCGCGCTCGCCGACACCTTTCACATCTTCCCATAATAAACTATCCGCGCTCAGGCGGCAATTAGCGCGCGGCAAACTCGCGGCAGCAGAACTGCTATCGCGACGGCGTAAAAGTGGCAGCGCTTGCACCGCGTCCATGAATATAATTGCAATTTGTCGTGAGTGACGTTGCCGAAAAATAATGCTCGCGCGCGGGATCGTTGGTGCACGGATTAAACAGCCGATAAATCTCAGTTTCACGGCGCCGCCACTTTGTGCTATGTACCTCCCCCCCCTCTCGAACAGAATCGATAATGCGCCGCTCGATCGCGAGTGAGTGGCAGCACTTTGTGTTGCGGATCGTATGGCATTATCTATCTATGTATCTCCGAAGGCAGCCCGAACAGTGCCGGCAGAACCGAGCGCAGCTACGGTTTTTCGAAAAGACAATCTCTCGCGTGCGCGATTAAGCGCGTGGTCTGCGAAATCGTGAAATAAACTCGAGGGAAAAGGCTACTTGTTATGTTCGTTTACAAGCCCTCGCGGCGCATTTTTCGGCAGCGATTGCGTCGCGCGGCGTAGAGTCGATCGTAAGGTGTGCGAGCGAGCGAAAGTGCGCGCGCGCACGCGACAGGGCGCCGCCGCGCCGTAGCATAATTTGCATTTTCCAAGCTCGCGAATTATTTTCACAAGATATAAAGCCGTAAGACACGCCTCTGACTGCTTTATATATATAAATGTACGTACGTCTATATACTTGCAACTGTATTAATAATAGTATTCCGGCGTTTTTATTTCATAGCAGTTCGTGGAGTGAGAGTTGAGCAAGCTCATTGTTATGCTGCAATGAAACCTTTCAACACTAACCGCTACGTCGCAAGTAAATGAAAATAGATAGACACGAAGTAATGCTAAACTGTCCCTGGGGTCGGTCCTCTGCCCAATGCTTAATCGCATGGAAATTCTGTTGGGAAATATTCATGAGGCTGACATTTGAAAGAGAGGCTCTGGCGAATGAACAGGCATAACGTTATTCATGAAAACATTATCGAAAACGCCATCCTTGCATTTTACGAGTGCCTCGGTCGTAACTCGCCTCTTAATTTAATCAATAACACCGCTCGCCCTTCCGTCCGCGAAAAGTGCAAGCGAAAATGACCGCACAAGCACTTGACGGCATTCCGCGCGGAGCGGCACGTTCGATAATTTTCATCGGTACACGCCGCAGAATCGCCGGCACGGTCGCCAATGCCAGTGCTCGCGCGTGCGTCGCAATAATCCGAGCGAACGCTGGCGCGCGTCGATTGAGAAGCGAAAACGCCTATAAATATTAATCGACGCGCGCTGGCGATTTCAAATAGCGCTATCGATTTAATTGAAAAATGCGCCACGCGCGACACACTTTGATCGAGCGAGACTGCCTTTCGGCGCCTATTTGCATCAAGGCGCCAACAACATTTTCTCCCAGCTGGCGCGCTTGAAAAAACAAATGCATAGTAATAATAAATAAGTACAGATCAGCTTGGAATTGGAGGCAGTAAATTATCCCAGCTATCGCTCGCTCCAGTCTCGAGCTTATTACGATCGGCTGGCTGATTTACGATCCTTTCTTGTCCCTTGCCTACCCAGCCCGGCACCTCGTAAAAATCGGCCACGAGAAACGGATATCAGGGAAGCCTTAATATCGACTCGCCTTGTCGTCAGATTTAGTTAGCCTTTCGGAAGGACCGGCGCTATCTTACGCATCTACCGCGTATCAGCACGGCCGCCATCGCCACATCGACCGCGAATATTCGTTTATTACCCACAGTCTTGCGGAAAAATCGAGGAGGTTCTCGCGCGACGACGGCATTTTACGACTCTACGATATCGGCTAATACCGAGCACGTAGGTTTTCCTCGGATGTGGCTTTATTCCGGCGCGCAGCGCTGAAAAGGCAGCCGAATAAAAAACAAATAAGATTGCCGCTCGAGTTATTTTGCGGCCCACGCGGCTCGACCGAGCTGCGAGCGAGCAGAAGGACGCGGCGGCGGCGGCGGCGGCGGCGGCGGCGGCTCCACTAGCTATAGGTGCGCGCGTTCTCGGCGCTCGCAAGCGGCTGCTCGATTGACAGAGCGAGAGCGGAATTGCCGACTGCTCGCGATGAACTTGGGCGCGAGCGCGCCGCGCAAACGACGGCTGTCGGTCAAAGGGAGTTTCGTAACGGGGAGCCGATAGGCCGCGCGATAAATAATTCCGCGCGGTAGCAGGCATGGAGCTGTCCGTCGGGCGCGCGCGGAAAAGTTGCCACCTAACTCCCGGCCGGCCAGTCAACGCACGCGAAATAAGGGGCGTTTGTTCACTGAGCAGGAAATAATCTGTTTGAATGGGGCCACTCTCGCCACTTGTCCGCGCGCTACTCGGCCGCTTCAACGCCTGAATTGCCTCTCGTAGACCTATCGAGGCGGACGGGTCGCGCGCCGCGAGTCGCCGTGCCCGGCTGGACTCTACGGCGGTTATCGAATCACGCCCGCGGCCAGCGTCGCCGGCGAGCCAAATCGCGTTTAAAGGCGCAGCGTCGAAATTGCTCGGCTCCGCGCTAAGCTTCCGGCGATCAGCTGGCTCTGGCGCGCGCGACAGGTTGCTGATTATTAATTGGCCGGTGCGACGCGAGCGGCAGCCGCCTCGCGATAATTATTACGCGACGGTTGGAGTTGCGCCCACACAGGCGCCGTTTCTGCTCGACTGCGCGCGCCGCATGAAAAACGGCCTTACCGCGACAATCCGTATCGTCGAATGATTAGTCGCTCTCGCGCACAGCTCTCGATTCGTTTCGCAAACGCCTGCCAGTTGTTTGCAGTTATTAAGATACAGCGCGATTTATTCGCGCCTGTTGCTCGCGCCCAAGTCCTGTTGGCAATTTAGAGAGGTCGCGGTAGCTGTTGTCGGCACTGGCAGATTTGCGACGAGGTACGAGCCGCGTCGCCCATTATCGCTCGTCGCCGGAAAATTCGAGCTGTGCATCACGAGCGAGCGCCGATAACGACAGGAATGTCGTCTCGCGCGCCGCCCGCTTATGAAACGTAAGCGCGCCGATAGAGAAAAGGTCACGCTCTCTTTCTAAACGTCGCGCGCGAGGAGACAGAAATTTCATACGAGCCGATACGAGCCCCACGCGTAAACTGCTTTTATATAAATAGCACGCGCGATTTTACATGTTTGCCAAGTTATGCAAGCTCGGATTTTCATGAGCCGCGCCGCGGACGACGCGTTGCCACGGCTTTGTTTTTCCTTGTTTTTTGTTTTGCCACTGCCGTGAATTGAATTGCCGCGTGCGCCGTCGCCAACGGAAAGACGCGACGACGAAGAATGTTGTATCGTGATTGAAATCCCGCGTTATTTATTAAGTTTCGAAAGGGATTCCCGGGCGCTCGCGTTATAAATGACAGCTGGCAAGCACTATACTGTTGAGCCAATTGAGTTCGAAAGAATTCGGCTATATTTAGTCGGCTGGAGAGGAGCAAGAGGTCCGACGACGAGCCACGACGAATGATTTGCTTTCTTTGCAGGGACAATTTATACCGATTGACGTTGACCTCGTTGACGCCGCTGGAGCACGCGTCATGGCCGGCAGCCAAGAGCATGATCGACACCTGCTACACGAAAGGCCAAAGCGCCGACGACTGCCGTAACTACGTGAAGGTGCTGCTCAGCAACGGCAAGAGCCTGTTTACCTGCGGCACCAATGCCTTCAATCCCAAATGCACCTGGCGAGAGGTTAGCACATTGTTTATCGCGAGCCTCTTCTTTGTTGCATTGTCTCGTCGCTGCGCCTCACACGGCAACAATAGACGATGATATTTTAATCGCCAATCAACTATCCAATCTTCGTTGTCGTCTTTGAACATTTGATAATTCGAGCTCGCTAACAGTTCACTTCGTTAAGCTGTTCTCATTATATCTCTGTGCTAAATTTACTTTCAAACAATTCAAGCGAATACATTCACGTAAGTAAAGCTTGTCGGTTGTTGCGTTTCTTTTTGGCGTAGATCGACAACATCAATACCGTGACGAGCAACTTGACCGGAATAGCGATGTGCCCGTACTCGCCTCACTCCAACGTCACGGCCCTTTTGGCAAGAGCGCCGTCCGGAGGCCTTTTTACTGGTACTCCAACCGACTTTTCCGGCACTGACACCGCTATCTACCGCACGCTCGTCTCGCCAAACTTGCGCACCAGACAGTATGACTCCAAGTAAGTATCGTTCGACTTTGCAGCAAAGTCATCTTTTCATTTGCGAGAGTTTTAATCTAATGTTTTCCTTTCGGAATGTAGTTGGTTAAACGACCCTCAGTTTGTTGGGAGCTTCGAGACCGAGAACTACGTGTACTTTCTTTTCAGAGAGTCCGCTGTAGAGTACATCAACTGCGGCAAGGTATTTAAAATTTATTTTCTGCTGCTTTTCTTGTGAACCTGATGAATTGAGATCTGTTTGGATCCGCAATTGAAAAAAATGTGTCGGGAAGCGCGGCGAAGCGCGTAAATTATCTATCGAAGTATTATTAGTCATTGAATCAGCGTTCTATTACTCACATGTATTTACTTGTTGTTAACAATGATTGGACTTTGATAAGCGCCGAGGAAAATTACACATGTCGCGTAAATTATATTTAATCGCGCATCTCTCTTATTGACTCGAGTCGTCTTACGTTAAACGATGGAAATAAATAGTGCTGATGCACGTCCTGACTTGACTTTTTGTGCCAACGTCAATGAAAATCGACCGTCACGTAAACGAAATTAATAATAAAAAAAAAAAAAACGTTTTCTATTTCAGCGGATTTACTCGAGAATAGCGCGAGTCTGCAAATACGACCCAGGCGGCAGTCCGCTGATTATGAAAGACACGTGGACAACGTTCAGTAAAGCTCGAATGAATTGCTCGCTGCCCGGCGAATTCCCCTTCTACTACGACGAAATCCAGGGTGCAGCTTATCAGCCTGAGGAGGGTCTTGTTTACGCCACTTTTACGACGCCGAGGTAAGCAAACTTTTGCGTTACTACATATACTATATCAATTGTCAATGTCTACATTTAATGGTCCTAAACTTTAACTACATTGAATGTTGAATGCTGACGTCATTTCGATGAATCGAAGGATTCAGGGTAATACTAAACAAACTAACCAAAATCAGACGAACGCTCATAAAGCTTGGGTGAAAATAAGACTTTTGAAATTCGACAGCAACGCGATAGCAGGCTCAGCGATTTGCGCGTTCAACATGTCAGCGATTGCCGCGGCGTTCGAGGGTCCGTTCAAGCACCAAGAGAACTCCGGCGCCGCTTGGGAGCGTAAACTTGTCGGCTACAGTCGGCAGAATTGTGGCCCGGGCGTGAGTAGCGGCACGACCTCGCGGTCTCATCTTACGGACAACCAGCGCTACCAGCTGATGGACGAGGCGGTGCAAAGTACTACTCCCAAGCCACTGCACACTGCCACGCTGGAGAGGTGCGCAGATCTATGGGCATTGCTCGGGAATCTCTCGTCGCCTCGAGATGGTCCCCGAAGAAATGTCAATGAATAAGCGCGTTATCGCAACATTTCAGATTCACGCATATAGCGGTGGACGTGACGCCAACGAAGATACACAAGGGCGTAGCGGTGCTTTACGTGGCGACGATCGAAGGTCTGATCAAGAAGATATCAGTGCTACCACGTACGATGGACACCTGCATAATCGAGATCTGGGGGCCGCTTCCCTCGGCAGCGCTAACTCTGCAGTATCTGAAGGAGACCAAGAGTCTTTACGTCGGAATGCAAAGTGCCTTGTTGAGGTAATACACATTTCACAAATACTCGCTCGGGAATGAGAGAGCACTTGTTTCGCTTGCTGCTGCTGTTGCTGCTGCTGCTACTGCTACTGCAGCAAAGCGGCACGTATTCTCAGAAGCGCGCTCGCGTATCTCGCGAAAGTCGGCTAATTGTACCGTTGCGCGCCTTCGGGATGCATTATAATTCCGCTGTGACGAATATTAACGATCCTGGAAAAAATCGCGACTGTTGATCTCCAATTATCCTTTGTCTTTTCCTTTCAGAATACCAACGGTGCAGTGCCACCGACACAGGGACGCGCAATCGTGTCTGAACGCTCAGGAGCCGTATTGCGGCTGGGACGAGCACTTGATGAAGTGTACCCCGGCGCCAGTGCAATCGCCAGGCGGCTACCTGGCGACGCACTGGCAGCAAGACGCCACCAGGTGTCCCGTTCTCACTGACCCCGTGAATGGCGGCTGGAGCGCCTGGAGCGCCTGGCATACCTGCCAACACGATCTCTCAGCCACTGAACAGGCCAATTCCAGGTCGTCTGACGGCGAGGTGCGTGCCCGTATATGTACACACTCGAATATTCGTTCGATCGATTTGTCAGCGTCGTACGCCAACGCCAGATCAGCTTTGGCTGCGATCTGCTCGAGTTTGCTAGGCTGCTTAGCCTTTCACGTAATGTTCCATCCTCGTCTCGCGCTGACTTGGTGCTCACGCGATAAGAAGCTCGACAATTTGCAATCATTTTATGCCTCTCGCAATTTCATCTATTCATCGCAAATCTTATTATCTGCGTGTATTGGAAACCAAGACCTGATAAAGACATCGTGGCATTGTTCGATTTCTACAGTTTGACGTTTGGCTTGCTACCGCTCAGCTGTGCTGGTCTACGTACCTCGTGATGGCCTATTCAAATCGCAGACGCATCGGCGTGATAAATGACTTAGAACTCGCAACAATCGTCTGTAATCAGAGAGAATTCACGAGAATCGGCGCTATACTAGATAACTGCAGTGCGCTCCCCCCCCCCCCCCCCCCCCCGCCTCGTCATATTCGTTCTCTTCTATTTCGCGATAGTCAAAGTGAATTTACACCTGCATAAATAAGCCGAGAGCCAATGACGTAGCAAACACGCCAATACCAGGCGTGGATTTTCATGTCGGCGTTGATTAGCAAATTCATTGGCATGTCCCGCCTGTCGCTTGAACTTTATCATCGGTGCTGCTGCCGAAGATTAAATCGCGTGCGTCGTGAATGCACTGATGACTGGCTAATGACGCCTCGCGTTGAACGCGCGCAGGCAGCAACGGATTAATTAGCAGCAGTCCGAGCGAGCACTGCACCTGCCAATTCGTCGAAAGCACCTGCTAAGGTCAACGAAAAAAACCTATTGCAGAGCTCGGACAGCTGCCAGTGCCAGACGCGCGAGTGCAACAACCCGCTGCCGCAGAACGGCGGCATCGGCTGCAGCGGTAGCCGCGTGCGCGTGGCGAACTGCACGGTGCACGGCGGCTGGACCGCCTGGTCCGCCTGGTCCGCCTGCGGACAGACCTGTGGCATGGCCATGAAGACCCGCAGGCGCACTTGCACCAATCCCGCGCCCCAGCACGGTGGCCGCGTCTGTATTGGCAGCGACCACGAGGATATTATCTGCATGGGTGTGCCACCCTGTCCGAGTCCTAGCAGTAGTGCAACTGCCGTGGGCCCGCAAAAGGGCAGCTGGACCAATTGGGGACCTTGGAATTCGTGCTCCAGACAATGCGGTGGAGGTATACCATTATTGTTTATTTTTGCAACCAAGGAACAATGACAAGATGCACTTATTTTCATTTGGGCAAACAAGGCCACGTTTTCATTTATTATATTACAATTTGTTTGCCAATGGCGATGAAACTTGTTTTTCAATGATGACCGCTCAGTACTCTCATTTAAATCAATTGTCAAGTGACAGTACACATGCGACATTTGCTTTCGTTATTTTCCCAAAATAAAATATAGCATAATTCCGTCTTTCTGTTTTCAGGCTTCAAGATAAGAAGGAGAATCTGTGAAAGTCAATCTCGCAAGGATGGTAGCGTGGAATGCTCTGGATACAGCTACCAGGTAAATGCTAGACGATTAGTCATAAGTGCAAATCGTTGTTGGCCCCAAAATATTTTTAGCCTGTATTTTCGTTCTGGAGCTGAAAACGTAGTTCATTTTACACTTCCACTGTATCTCTGGCTGGGATAGACTTCTATTTATTTTGAAATGGCAACCACAGCGATATTTCTTTTATGACGCAGCTTACATTTTTACGAACCTCAAGCCAAAGAGAATGAACCGTAATAAATGTCACTTGGTGGTGTGCGTTTAACCATCGACTCGGGTGGGGGAGAAAGGTAAAAAAAACAATGACGCCAGAGAATACATAAAGCTATATATATATAAGAAATGTAAACGGAGTTTACGTCTCACATTAATGGATCGTTATTATTCTCAATGGCTTTATTAAAATTGAGTCTGCAGCTCGATAGAAAACGAGTTAGGGCGGTCTACTTATACACATATATATATATATATATATATATATATATATAGCGAAAGGGAAAGGAGAAATAAAAGGTAGTGTGGTTAAAAATCCGTTGCTCATCGAAATTGTTGATTCAGGTCGAGGAGTGCAATAACCAACCGTGCCAAGAGACGAAGAAGTACTTCACGTCGCCTTGGCTGGCAGTGGGTAACGCAACGACATCGGGTGTACGGACCGAGCGACGCTATCGATTCGTCTGTCGTGCCCAGACGGACGAGCCGTCGGCCGTGAAAGTGCAAGCCAAGGAGGAGGAGCGCCATTGTCGCGGCGACTCCTGCAGCAAGCGCAATAATTTCAACGGGGCCGCGGCCATAATCAACCTCGACAGCAACGTCGAGGCCGGTTGGGCTGACTGGTCGGCTTGGTCGCTCTGCAGTCGATCTTGCGGGGGCGGCACTCAGTACAAGGTGCGTTATCACGCGATTGTCCTTCGGAAACACCGAATCTGACCGACGACTCTGATTTCAGATTAGACTGTGCGAGTCGGGCTCGTGCGAGGGCCAAGCCACGGAGACTCGGTCCTGCAACACCAAGCCTTGCCAGGCGTTGAGCTTCCAGCACGGCGAGTTCGAGCCGGAGGGCCAGTGGTCATGCTGGAGCGACTGGTCCGAGTGCTCGGCCAGCTGCGGCTTCGGCGTGCGCAGCCGCAGCCGCGAGTGCCTCGGTTCGGCGAATTGCGAGGGTCCGAGTCGTGCGCGCGAGTCCTGCGAGATGCCGAGCTGCGAGTGGTATCGCGGCTGGGACGCGTGGTCCTCCTGGAGTCGTTGCGATGACTCGAGCATGCAGTATCGCAAACGAAAATGCCTCTTCGCCGATCCAGCCGACGACGAGTGCCTCGGACCTAGTAAGCAGACTAGGTGGTGCATCAACGACATTCTCGACAATGGTAGGCTATCATTTAACAGAAATAGAAGGCAATTGACCGCAAGCTTGAATATTATATAACTAATGGAATGGTATTTGCCATCTATTCGCAGACGTGAATGCACTGCCGTCGAGGATAGAGGTAGCCGGTGTATCGGTGGGTGCGGTCGTAGGAAGCTGTCTGGTCGGCTTCCTTATCGGCCTCTCTCTCACCGCATTCATATGTTTCTACTACTTGAAACGACAAAAGCCGCGTGTGCCCAGCAGCCCGCATTACATTAGCAAGCAAAATCCATACGTCTCTGTGCCACTAAAAGAGGTAACTCTACTTTTCCATCCACAATTCGATCGATATGACTGTGTGCTCATCGGGCGCTCTTCGATGTTCGTAGGTAAACAATAAGACAACGGCAGCGAAGCGCCAGCCGAGCTTTTCCGGCAGCATAAACGGCACGCTACGCTCGCACAAGAATAATTCGATAATCGCCAGCCCGAAGCTCTATCCCAAGGCCCTCGAGTCAGCCTACGAGTCGGCAACGCTCAAACGCAACAGCAGAGAGCATCACATTCGCGCCCAGGAGCTTGACCAAGAGAAATACTACTGAGCTCTTTTTGACAAGACTGTTTTCTTTATTCGCGTGCCTTACAATTAAATTATCTTATATACCGACGGAGAGATCTTTCTAAAGGAATTATGAGGTCTGAATTTGCGGAACAATTCTAACAGTGATACCTAGTATAATAAAGGGGGCGTGTTTTATTTTCGACAGCAATAACAACTAAACATAGCTGTTTGATATGCGGCAAAGAGGTTTTTTTATTTTTCTTTTTTTTATATCAAGGTGATGGAAATTACGATTTCCTTTTCGTTGACTTTTTTTTAGAGAGAGCAATATTAATTTTAGAAACAAAAGCCAAAAGTCGGTAATCTCTCGTTTCCGATGCGTCGTGGCATTGTTTCCGAATTTTTTTCGTCGCCAAGAAAAAATATTTACGATTTGTTTCGCGCTAGTTGAAAGTTTTAGGTATGTTGTTATTTTCGTGTAAATAAAAAAACCAAGAATTAAGTATGCGTGAAGAAGAGTGAGAGCTTTTGAGAGTTAAGTGTATCCCCTAACAACTGCGACTGGGCATTTCATCATTGCATTTGTATAAAATATCGCCGGCGTTTTATTCTGTTACTACTTAAGACAATTACGTATTTCGACAATTAATTTTATGTTCATTAAACTCGTGGGCGTGGAAGTGTGTCTAGAGAGGATGATTTAGATTTTAGAGTAGAAGTCTTACATATCGTGTAAATAGAAAGTGTCTATAAAAAATCTTTTTATACAAAATACATTTAAGCGAGTTATACGTATTGAAAAAAAAATGTTTATTTTTTTTAATCGAATCACAAGCGAGAATAGTGCCATGAGACACACTGACAGTATAACAAATTGGAGGTGCGACTTTAATACGAAATAATCATTGCTATAATGTACGTTAGTACTCCGTGCGGGGCAAGAGAGCGATATCAACGCGTGAATTTCTTGTTGTTCATAAACGCGGTCGCATTTTATTATTTTATTTATTGCAAAGGAAAAGGAATACATGTTATGAATTTATTGGCTCACATTGAGCCGAGGCCAATAGCGTCTCTCTCTCTCCCCTCGTTGGGTACGCGTGCAAAAGTGCAGCGACGGTTCTTCTTTATCTTCTTGCGATAGTGAAGCTTATACGAAGCTATAAAACGTTGCTGCCGCATGATGCGACTCCTTTGCATGGTATCATATCGTGCACGATAAGTGTCGAGATATTTGTCTCTGTAAAAATCGTCGACATTATTTTATATGCTGATATATATAATTTTATCTCATTTTATCGTATCATTTATCGAAATAAAGAGAGCTGTTTGTAATAAAGATCAATGACCTTTGCTTGTCTCAATGCCATACCATTTCTTTAAAATAAAAAACTGTAAATCCATGTTAAACGTCGAAACTTTATTTACAAGTCGGATATAAAAGTGAGTGTAAAAATACCGCCCATTCGAGAATAAAACCAGACTAAGCTCTAAATATCTATGTACAAATCTCTAAAAGTTGGAGTTGTCGACAAGGTGAACAGCTGAGTCTAGGCTGTTGTCAGTCTCCAAGGTCCGCACCGTACTGCTCGATCTGCTCGATGACGTAATCCATGTTGGCGTGGCTGGGCTCTGGCTGGCAGTTGAGAACCATGCGGAAGAAATTGTTTCGACCCTTATGCGCCATTGGAGTGTATCCAATCATAAGAGTTCCCTTCATAATCATCCTTTCCTTGATCGTGGGCGCTACACTGTTCATTTTCTCGTGCCATTTGGCGTCTTCCTTTTGATTTCTCATTTTTGGTGGTACGTACCTACGCATTAATCGTTTGCATATCGCTTCAATGTCACGCACATGCATATTTTTCCGAGCTCAGTTTTATCTGTCTCACCAGAAGCAAATGTTGGCTCCTTCGTACTTCGGCAGCACGAGTCTGAATCCGTCTCGGTTCTTGATCCTATCGAAGAAGTACTGCGCCGCCTCCATCGCGATATCGACAGATCTTCTGAGGGCCGCGGTGCCTCGGGCTTTCCACATCAGCCAGAATTTCACACCGTCGGTCTATCCAAACAGACGCGCAAATATTCTTCAGCAAAAGATTTTTCCACGAGGCAAGTTAAATATTTACCTTTCTTCCGCATTGCACGCTTTTATCACCCGTGTCCCACGACACGTCGTAGAATTTGTCTTGCTGAAATAGATACTTCGCTCCGGCGCAATTCGCCTCGTGGAGCGCGTTTTTGCCCTTAACGAGAAAAATTGAGCATTGGAAAGGCGCGCCCAGCATTTTGTGCGGATTCCACGATACTGAATTCGACCTACAAAACCCATTCAAATTGTTAGAAAATTCGGAGGTATTGAGTGATTAATTGCTCAAATAAATAAACAATGTCAGCTTGATGGATTTAAGTGATTCAATGTGTATCAATCAGATAAATCAGTTGCAATAATCGATATTATCTCAACAAGAAAAATCTCAAGGAGAATCTAGAGGAAAAGCTTTAGCGTAATCGCTCGGCCATAATTCGAGTAATCTTTGATCATTCTTAAAACATAAGTAGATTTATTGAATGCAAGATAGCGGACTTACAGTTCGATTCCGTTGAGTCGATCGTGATACTTGTTGGACAGCACCAAAGTGCCCCCCAAGCATGCCTACGAGTCGACAATCATTGATTATAAAGAGAGCTCGATATGAATGAATTATCGGAAAAAATTATTTACGAACGTCAACATGAAGCCACAGATTTTCTTCGCGACAGACAGCCGCGATCTGGTCAATTGGATCGAAGGCCGCGAGTACGGTCGTGCCAGCGGTGGCATTCACAAAGAACGGCACGCAGCCGGTTTTCCGAGCCTCGGCGATCTTCAGTCTCAGATCGCTCACGTCCATGCGACCTAGCTCGTCGCTTTTTACCTGAATAAATGGAAAAACGATATTAAATATAAATTTATTCGTGATATTCTTTTTAAGTATTTGCACGACAGTCGTCGATGATCTCGTTGACGAAGGGGCGATTAGAACTGATAAAAACTTGAACGATAAGGCAACGTTAATTTACTTATGAGCGATCGGTGCAAAGTTCAATCTCTCCAAACTTTTCCATCATTTTTTTTTAACATGGAGCAATTGATTGGCGCGATAAACGACCGTGCTAGCAGATTTAGAAGAATCGTTGAGCCAGGGCTTTTGGGACCACCAAATCACTCACTTTGAAAATATTATCCGTGCCGAGTCCCAACCAGTGAGCACCTTTGGTAATAGAGTAATGGCCATCTTGGCTGGTGAAAACAGCAAGCGGCGGCAATCCGCACATGCCTCTCCTCTTGATTTCAGGAAAGTAGTGATGTCTGGCTAACACCATGCCATACATATTGGATAGACTGCCACCTGGCGAGAGGATGCCGTCGCCCTCTGGCATCGGAGGGTAGCCCATAAGCTTGAGGCTTTGTTCGATGATTTCCCGCTCTAGTAGCGTAAATACCGGTGCCACTTCGTACGTGTACCTGTGACATTTTTATGAGTTTCACCGTTCATTTCCATGAAGCCTGAATCTTTTTTAAATTTATAAATTTTTGATAATTGTCGAGCCAAAGAAAAGAATCACGTTATAAACGAAAGCCGCGAGAGCTGCTACAGTTTCTATTTTCCAAAACAGTCGCAAGGCAAAGAGAAAGTCCTTGTACCCGACAGAAAAAACGCTTATGGTCACTCGAGTAATGGACATTTACTGGCTTGTGTTGAGAGCTTCGGTGAGCCAGGCGCCAGCAAGGCCGTAGATGTCGATGCCCGCGTAGAGCTGATTGTGAAAGTGCGGACTGAACGTTCTTACGGAGTAGTGGACCAATTGACGGGAAATCCGATGAATCTCTTCGGGAGTGGCGCCTTCCTCGCTTAACCTCGTCGCTAAAGTTTTCTGCGAACAATCGCGTAACTCGCATCATTCCTTTTCCACATCATTCCATTGCACGCTCAAAGCAAAATATGTCTTTGTATAAATCTTTGAAAAGCATGCTGTAAGCCAACTTTTACAGAATGTCAATAGGCGTTAGGTTTATGGTTGAGCATTTTTCAAACGAGAATATACAACTGTTTGCTTGCAAGGTCAAATGATGTAGTCAGAACAAGCGTTTTTCAAATGGCAATCGATAAGCATCAATCAACAGTGGAAAAATCTGTAACTGACACTTCGGTCTATGATATGTTAGAATAATAATCCATTTAGTTAAGGGTCATTGACGCGTGGTCAATTAATGTAATTAAAAATCGACGTAGGATAAGAAAACAGGGGGAAGCTATTACGTTGGTATGTTTACATAAACGTTCATGCTGATAAAATAGTGACTGCACTAGTTCACTGAGACGATATAGCAATTGTTCCTTTCAAAAGGACGATTCTTTTTTTTCAGTTCCGTTTAGAAAAATAGATCTACTCAATTCCAATAGATTTTTACAGTTTTTTGCGTAATCAAAACGTAATTACAGCAAAAGTTAAGGTACATCAGAATTAATAAACAAACACTTGACGCACATTTAAAGAAAATTATTTACTTCTTTATCATAATTTGCAAAAATTGAAAGAAAAGTTCAGTGGAAATCCGAATGTTGACTCACCTGAAGCTCGTGTGGATGTAAGAAATTTACAACAGGCATGTCAGCCTTTGGATCGAAAAATTTGTATTCGACAAGAATATCAAGAACGTCCCTCAACAACTTTTCCGATTCGGCTGAATTCATGTTGATCCGCTAGAACTTGAAACTGCGCCGAAGCAACCGAGCGCACGGGAATGTCGACTTCAACTGCCAGGGAAAAAGAATCCGTGGCTAGTTCGAGCACATGCACTTTGCCGCTGCAGTCGCAGTCGTCCCGCGCGAATATACCATTAGAGTGACTTGTTGACGCTGGAGGCGCTGTTGTCATATGGGAAGTCAAACTGCAGATGTGGTTTGATTTTTCAATAATGATTTAAAAAGTTATTAATATCGATCGTTTCACTTTGAAAATCTGAAAATGAATAAAAAAACAAGCAATCAATAAATCCAACGTATATTCAAATTTACGTACCAAGCTAATTCGAGTGAAAACTTATTTGGAATTGCAAATTAAATAATTGATGAAAATGATCGAGATTATTTTAGTTTACACTCTAACTATGTATGATAATCAAATTTTACAGAGACTGAAAAGAAGTTTCTATCGGAAAAGTCATTAGTCAATAATTAACGGAAATATTTAACCAGTCATTAGTCAAAGGCTGCTTATGGAAGCGTATAATGAAGGTAGATTATAATTATGCCGAGTTTACATAATTAATCTTTAATTAGCGATTATCATTCAGGTGGCAAAATTTTGCATTACCAAATTAATTGCCAATTAAAGTAGAGAATCATTCACCGTCTAATTATAAGCATTTTGCAATTTTCATGTACAATTAGCGGAGGCGTTAGTTGAAAAAAAAATCCATTCACGTTTCGCTTACCTGATTACACTTATTTTATTCGTTGCACGATAGAGGCGTAATCTGCTGAACACGAAAAGAAAAGTAAAAATACTCAGCTGATAATGTTTTATTCATATGAAAAAAGAAAAACCGTAGGGAACTTTGGTCGTGCTGAAGAGAAATGATACTACGCGTATAATAACAATCCTCGTCTTACTGTCCGCACTAAAACGTGTAGGCATGTGTGGTCTTATTGTGTTGGCTTGTGCGAAGCTGTTATCTGGCGAGTGTCTCCCCCCCTCTCCCTCTCTCTCTCCCGCAGCCCAGTAGAATCACGATTGGAGAAGGCAGTGAGAGCAGGAAGCGTCTATATTATTTTTAAAATTGCTTGAAAATATAATTACAATTAAAGTACTATATTCACCTTCTCGAAATTCCTTATGCGATTTCCACAAAAATATTTAAAAGCAAAAAAACTGCTAAGAATGGTCTCTTTTTCTACATATTTCCTAATTTTAGTCGTAAAATATTAGGCAAATGATACATATGTATAGAAATAAAGTTGTGGAGCAATATAATACAGAATTCAAAATTATCAAAATTCGATTTGCCTTAATCGTAGTGGCAGAATAAAAAAGTAAAAAGCGATTTTTGCACTTAGAATTTCTATTTTATAATATTAAAGGGCATTATTGATGCACACTCTTTGAAAACTACAATTTTTCAAGAATCGAACATAAAAAAATCTGAATGATATCTCTTTTGGTTACTGAATTGTTGCATTTGTTAATTAAAATAATACGATTTTTTACAAAAACATAAAGTTCAGGAAAATCTATTGATACTAACGGCGATTGTTTCAAACATACTGTAAGGATTCAACTATCATATACCGTGATTTAATCGACAATTTTTTTAATATTAATCAACTTAAATGATATTTTGAAAAATGTCTGATTTCGACGTATTGAATACCAAAGTCGACGAGCTGTCTATTTAGCGAAAAGAGTACGCATTTGCACAAATACTTTCCATGTAGATTAATAGAAAATATGTTACGCTAATGATTACTGGACAATTAGTTGACAAAGAAGAGCCAACGTACGCGAAATTCGTTCTTCGGGGTCAGAGTTGCAGTGGTGGGGGTCGCTCAGTGCAACGACGACAAATTAAATTGATGAGTTCAAAATCATTTATATCGATTTATCTTCACTTCTAATCAACCAAATTTGACGTTTTTCTTTAAGTTGATATATAAAATTTCGACAAATTGAAATACTAAATTATTTTTATTAATTTATTATATTTTCGAGTTTATTATTTATTGATGGATAATTTCGACAGTCATTCATCAATTTTTTATCAATATACATTAATATAACAATTTTAAAAATCATTTATCAGTTTCAACAAAATAAATTCATTTACTCAATTTTTGAATGGCAAATGTAGATTGTTTGCGTCTTAAAAGATTACAGTTTTCAAAGAACATACATCAACAGTGTCCATTCATATAATAAAATAGAATTTCCGAGTGCAGAAAATGCTGTTTAAAACCATTTCCTGTTTTACTATTCTGCCATCGCGACCGAGACAAATTAAACGTTAGTATTTGCAAGCGTGGTATTACACTGGAAATTGAATGCTTTATAGCACAAGAAAATTCGAGGTGGAAGGTATGGTACTTTAATTATTACGATATTTGTGAGCGATTTTAAAAATAAAACAATTTCCTGCACTCTAATTTATAATTCGCGTCTTTGTGGGTTTATTCTACTGGACTGTCTCTTTGTCTCATCAACCAGCAATGGTCTAATTATCTCGGCTGCTTCCTCAGTTGCTCGTTTACTGTGTTTTCTCGTATATCTATCAGACGTCGCTTACATGTCTGCAGATTTATCGTATATGCAGATTAACTAGAGATTAATTGAGAGAGCTCTGGCCGTCGCTGTACGGGTGTGCGTGTATGTGTTGGTGAGAATGATCATTTGGAAAAAAAATAAAAGAATTTATATTACTGTCCTCGCTATCTTATCAGGCCGTTCATGAACATTTTCAACATTTCTCGAACGCCCAATTAATGACTCGTGATAAAATGATAGCCGAGAATCAAAATACAATTTTATTTCGGAGTAAATTTATTGAATGGCTACAAGTAAGTACAGAGTATGTACAAATATTTACGTATGTCATAAACGTAAACGAATGTTCTGCAGAGAAGCAATAAAAAGTAAGGTTTTATTCGTAATCCATGCAGATATGACATAACAATACTTCCAACAATATATTTAATCACGAGTATCTTTGATATATTTGCAGCACATAATTAATGCGTTTTTTCAAGTTCAATAAACGGAGACACCAGTAACAGACAAAATAGCGTCGTAAGTTGTAAGCTCAGCATTGTCTTTAAATGTTCCCTATATCTCGGCTCTTCTCTAAACCTACGGACAATACTACTTTAGTAAGCCAAGTTTTTGCGAAGGTCGGAAGGTCATTGTTACCTCCTCGAGAAGAGAGTACTCGTCCAGGGCAGCGTCTAGTGGTAACCTGGGCACGAATCCCTTCGTGGAGGCCCACTCGTTGCTGCAGAGTTCGCGGTAGCTCAGACGGAAAAGCAGCTTGCCGCCCAGTAGCCCAGGACCACGGCACATCGCGCCCGTGGCGGCGTCGTCGCTCTCGTCCTTCTGCTTTCTCTTTCGCAGCCAGCTGGCGAGGTATAGCGAGGCGCAGTCGCAGTGCCAAGGATTGCGCGCCAATTGTAGCTGCGTCAGCTCAGCCGTGAACTCGAAAAAGTTCTTGGGCAGGTGGCTCAGGTAGTTGTCCTCCAATTGCCTGCGCGCACGAACTTCCGTTTTTATCGCCACGGGAATCTCGCAGAGATTGAGAGCGCAAGGCTCTTTGCCACGAGTTACACGCGAAGATTTTAACGCTTACTTCCACTAGAGTCTTTCCCGAGTGCCTTTAGATCGGAAAATTTGGCCAATAAATATTTCGCCGTCGTACTCACAGCTTGCGCAGCCTCGGCACATCTCTCAGGCAAATCGGGTGCATCTGTCTGAGGTGATTGACGTGCAAGAAGAGAGTGGTGAGATTGGACAGACCGGCGAAGTCAGCGGCCTCGATTTGTTGCAACGCGTTGCCGTAAAGTATCAGACGCTCAAGGCTAGCCAGCGGTCGGAAGACACCGCGGGTAAGCTTGCGCAAATGGTTGCGTCCAAGCTCGAGTTCTTTCAGGCACTCCAGCCCGCGGAAAGCCATCGAGCTTATCTGTAACGAGAAACGAAGATTTGCTTCTGGCACGGGAACGCAAATCTTTCGATGGATTTTCCCGCTAACGCCGAGCGAATGGGAAAATTCTCGAGAGCTCTTTTACGTACGTGAGTGAGCTTATTGCCGGAGAGGTCTAATACTCGCAGCTGCTTCAGCGGATGGAGTAGGAGACTCGGCACTGTCTGCAAACTGTTCTCGCGGAGTATCAACTCGTCGAGCTTGGTCAAAGAGGAGAAAACTTCCACTGGTAATTCGTTAAGTTGGTTCTCATCCAGGTTTAATTTTCGCAAGTTGCCTAGCCCGAGAAAGCAATTCGCTGGCAAATCATTGATTTGATTTTTCGAAAGCAGTAGCTCCTCCAGGTTAGACAGCCCTTCGAATGCCGCTGTAGGTAATTCGGATATGCGGTTTCCCGACAAGTCCAGCAATACCATTGCCGTGTTGCCAGTGAACAGTTCTTCGGGCAAAGTGCGTAGTTTGTTTGTTGATAAATCGCTACAAATTGGAAGGAAAAGTTTAGAGGCGAAAAGGGAAGATCTCGATTACTTACAATATTTCCAAATGACGCATGCTAAACAGTTGATTTTTGTCAAGCTCTCGCAAAAAATTCTTACTCAGCCTCATGTGCGTAATGTTGTTCAGTGAAAAGAACAGGCTGATTGGCAGGTGTTCGATTGCATTGTCGTTCACGTCCCTGCAACGCGGCATAACGTAATATGTCGAATGCGCACTTCGACCGTTTTCGTCGTTCGTTCCAGCACACTTACAGATGTTTCAACTGATTTAAGCCAGCGAAAGCCTCCTTGTGCAGAGCCGTGAGCTGATTATCACTCAAATCTCTAAAGCAACGAAAGTAAGAAAAAAATGTGGTACGCAAAAGCCATCCGCGAGCCGACGGCTGTCGGATGACGCGACTTACAGTTTGAGAGCATCCCTCGGTACAAGTTGGGTGGCCGGCAAGTCGGTGAGCCGCATACTCCAACACGACAGCGAACGCGTTTCGGGCATACATCTACACGGACCTTGGGTGCACACATCCCAGCTGTTGCTCGCACCGCTGATCTGCCAAACTTGTACGAAACGCTTCCATCCGTAATCGAACGTTTCAGATGGAGTGTTTAAGGGGCAAACTTACCTGGCTGCTCGATCGCTCTGACGCGACGCTCGAGACTCGAAATTCGGCTTTCCAAGTCCTCGATCAGCTCCAGCGAACTGGTTACCGTGGGCCAAATTAAAACGATAGAGCAGAGAAGCGCAGCGAAGTCGCTCGTCGGCATTGCTGTCGCGGAGGTGTGGAAAGCGGACTGAAGAGCCGTGCAATCCGAGAGCTCGGCTTCGTTAAAGCGGATGCAGGGGATGATTGCCGGACAATGCTAGCGTCTGTCGCCCTTGTCAGTCTGCGGCTTTGTTATTTTTAATAAGTCTCACCGGAGCTCATTCGGCTCGGTGCTTGCCTTCTCGGTTTATTCGATTATTATTCCTTTAGCAAGACAATCGATAAGCTTACAAGCAGAGTACAGTGCTCGCTTTAGAAATGAATTGCGAAATCGATATAAGCACCTTTTCAGCAAGTTTATGCCAATTAATGTTCGCGCAGTGAGTGCTACAGGACCGAAGCATTCTTAAAGTATTTTGTAACTGGAATTGTCAACAAGTGGTATTTAGTAATAATTTATTGTTCATACGTTACAGCTATGAGTACATGTTAAATGCAATGAACATATCATTACAGTTTAATGCGTCTATCGTCACGATTGAATCGAGGCTAAAATAATACATTATTTTCTTGTTTTCTCCGCTCCGTAGAGACACGTGAGCCAACAGTCCTGACATTACGAAACTCGGACTCCTTCGGATCCTGGGCATGCACCCTTGTTCTTCATAACCAATTCTGAAAAAGAACAATAAAAAAAAATCATAAATTTTCGTTCGTTAATGAAAAAAAAGCAGTTTCATATCTCGTTTAACATCTTTAAAATTTCTTTACGACCACGAAAGAATGTTGTGGTTTGCGAGTACGCGACTCTTTTTTTACGGCTCGAAGTAACATTTTTACGATACGGCCGAAACGCAGCGCGCCGTAAAAGCGTCAATTAAGATAAGAAAACCTACTAGTTCCCATTTCGCAGTTGTGCGTCTCGAGCACGCATTGATTGCCGAAAGTCCTCGGCTTGAAGCTGGTATCGGCTGGATCGTGAGCACAGATCGGTTCGTAAATGGCAGGACACTGTCTTTGGCAGTCCTTCTTGTTCTGTTGAGCTGCCTTTATCGCGTCCTTGACGCTCTGCGACGCCTGCGCTGGCTTCGTCGTCACTGGCTTGTCCGTCACTCCAGCCTCGACCACGACGATCAACAGGAGGGCTATGGCATATGCGATTATTATCATATTTTACGCGTCGCCGGCAGATGCGAACTGTTCGCCCGAGTCTGCGATTGCGCGCGTGCCAAGGCACGTAAGGTCTTCAGATCCGTTGATATATGCTCGTCTACGTGTATTATTTTTCTTTTTAAATGGCGCATCGCTAAGTTGCATTAGTGTAATTGTCCGAAAAGCTTGATGCGCATTTTAGGAAAGCGAGACTTCTATTTTGGCGGCGGTCACCAGTCGCCCATTCAAGCTTTGACAAGATGCTAATGCGATCTTTATCCGCGAGACCTTGAGAAAACGTGATTTGTCTAGAAGATTCGTCCGACCGAAGCGGCATTAAAGAGCGATCAAGTTGCACTAATTAAAGAGAAGAAGGAATGAATCGTACCTCCAAGAGCAAGCGTGAGCCTCATAGTGCAGCGAAAGGTCAAATCACAGCACAATTATCACTCACTCGCGCGTCGAAGACTGGATTCTGTGCGGTTGGACCGTCGGCTTTTATATAAGCGTATTGCCAGTAAGTGTAAAATTGTCCTGGCGTCCGACGCGACTCCCCACTACGTACGTCTTGCTCATTGGGTCCGTCCTGTTAGTGTGCAGGTGAGCTGACACGAGTTATCGCCGGTTTTATGTCTGTTCGTAAACAACACCTCGCGTAATTCCTTCCTGCTGCCGATCACATTAGACGCGCTCGCTCGCTCGCTCGCTCAACTCGGAAAACACCTCCGCTCTATTGGCTTGAGCCAGAACAGACGTTGATGAGCAATCAAGTTTATTGACTCGACACTTATCATGTCTAACTTTTCTTCTTTTGCTTTCGGACTTTCCTGGTCATTCTTTAGTAGATTATGCTTATGAAAAAAAATGTACTTTATCTGTTTTGCAATCAATTTTTTCTGAAGTTTTGTGATTTCAAAAACTCAAATATAGAAATTTATTAAGATACTTATAGAGAGTCAAAAGAGTTTTAATATTCTACTTCGCGTGGATCGTTACTTGCTCGAGAAAAAAATCTTTGTAAACAAAAAAAGTTCTAAAAGTTAATTTGTAATTATCGTATCATTTAAATTGACAATTTCGAAATTTCGAGTTTATCTGGCTTTTCTTTGCCCTTTGCCATAACAATTCCACAGATGTATTCACGTCCCATTGCCAAAAGAGATTTGAGATTACCCTTGATTGGTGTAATACAAAGAACTAGATCTCTATGAATTTCAACTGCGACGCGAGCGATTTACCATGAAGAGCTGCTGAGGTCTAGATATAAATTTTATGTATCCGCGCCTTCGTACGCAGCTATTCAAAAGTCATAGTAAACGTTTTTTTTTTAACGCGAGCATTACTTTTGACGTGCCATCTTGTTTTCAACGTCGCAAAAAATAGTGCCGTTAATGAATCCAAGTGCAAGGTAAGATTTCTTATAAATATTAGATATAGTCACTGCTGGCAAGGTCGTTCCACTGTATGAGCATCAAAAATAAGGAAACCGCTTGTTTTGTTTGCGAACATTCATGCATTGTCTTTTAATATTCTCGTATGAATCTCGTAGAAAAAAATAATGAGGTTTAAACAAGCAAACAATTTTTTTATTGTTAACACATTGTATAAGATAATTATTTTGCGATACGTCGCATCGATAAGATTGATCGATCCGTACAAACTATCTCTTTGACGCCAATAAATAAATAGATAATTAAATAGCACGACTGACTAAAGCGCAGAAAATGGCACGAAGTAAGTGGTTATCGTCTCCTCCTGCTGTTCTGTTTCTTGGCAGTGAGTTGCTGCGCAGCCTGTTCTTCGGCGACGTAACTTTTAAACAGCCGTACGTAATCGTACCACGTATCTGTCGGAGCGAACCAGCTCCTGCTGAGCTGACATCCAAGCCCCGTGCATGACTGGCTTGCTGTCCCGTTCTTTTTCTTCATATTCTCGTACTGCTCAATCGACCTCGTGACTATCGACGTCAATGGCCGTAGCCTCTCCGACGAGAAATTCACTGTCAATATGTAAATATAAATTGCATTTGCAAGTCAATTCTTTTTCGCCTCTATCTATAAATCGATCCCTTTTTTGGTTCTTGTACATTCAACTTACGTTTGTCGCCGAATTGCCGTGCCTCGTCGTCGTCGTCGCTCTGCTCGGGTTTCTGTTGAATTATTTTCGGTATAAAGAGAAGAAGACAAATGGTTGCTATAAATTTGACAATCATCTTGAAAACCATGAGTTTGAGAATGATCTTGACGAGGGTGTAAGCGTTGAGTTTCAAAGATACTGGCCAGCTGAAGTCGAGTGGTGGGAAAAGTAGAGGGAATATGTCGGGCAAAGGGTGGGATGTACTGTAGGTCGCCTGTATAGATCCTAAACCTGCAAGAGTGAAACGTTGCACTTTAACATGCAGCCAATAGTTTGACTTGGTGATTGTGGTTTTTTTTAAGCGCATTGTTAGTAGCGTTTCATCCTTTTGTATTGCAATAATTTTAAAAACTTGATTGATTTCCGTTTAGTAATTATGGAGAAACGAATGAAAGTAGCTTTCGTATTTCTACATCGCTATTTTAATCGATCATTTTGTAGAGACTGGAAACGCCGGATCCAATAACAAAGAAGCACTCGGATAAAAAATCAAAAATCAATTGAACAAGCTGGAATATGTTCGCTTTTAAAAGTCCAAACGTCCCGCGGCAGTGAAGCAACAGTGCTGCGAAAAAACTAAGTCGTCCATACGATACCTCTCTCACCTTGCTGCGACGGTCCGTAATAGTGACCGGCGGAAGGGTACGTCGGTGATCCGTAGGACGGCTGCGGTGGCCCATAAGAATGCTGAGGCGGCCCGTACGAAGTTTGCGGCGGTGGCCCGTAACTTTCATAAGAGTTGCTGTAGTCGTTTGCCCCGAAAAACACTTGCGGCTGACTATAGGATTTGTCGGACAACGGAGTGTAAACAGGCGATGGGACGCCGGCATTGCCGTTGTACGAGATTCTCGACACTTTCGCGTCGGTTTCTGCAGAGAGTCGGCGCAAGCGAGGCGCGCTGTTAATCAGTAACGCCGCTACGATCGGAGGTCGAGCTTGGCTCACCTATGTTGTTGGAGCCGGTGGCGGTGCTGTCTTCGGGTCGATAAACTGGTCCTTGGGTGTACTCTCGCCTGGCTATTTTCGTCGAACTCGCTTGATGATCGCGGGCATCCTTGATCGTGTGCGAGTGCTCGAGGGCATCGAGGTAAGTGTTCTTGGATGACGCTTTCAAGATCTGCAATCTGCGATACCGCTGCTGCGGGGGACGGCTCCGCGGCGAGGGTGCAGTTACCGACATACCCAAGGGTAGCTTGTCGGTTTTCTTCATTCTCAGCGATGGTTCGACGTCCGGCGAGATCTTCGATATCGATTTTAAATCGATCCCTTTCCCGTCCTCCAATATATCTTGCATTTTCATTTGCGACCAATCGCCCACTTTTGCTTGCCCGTTGACGTTAAGCTCCAGGGACTTGGCAATTTCCGGACTCGACACGACTGGTCGCAACGTACACAAGATCAGCAGCGTGGACAACGAAAGCCGTGGTACGACAGCCTTTTCTCGAATTGGCCTACAAATGAGTTGAATTATAAGTACTTTGGCCACTTTACGACGCGCTCGTTCGGTAAAATTGATTCTGCACGACTTAAACGGGACTCGTTAGAATTCGATTCGACGGTACGGAATGTAGGTCTACAGTGGCATCTAATAATCGATATCTACAACATGACAAAAAAGAAAGCCAGTGCTCGCTTCCGTTCGAATATGAAATTGCAAGCTTCGTGTGAATATTGATTAAGCAATTCATTTTCTTTCAATTAAATGTATCGAAAAACAATTGGTCATTGTATTCAACTCTATTCAGCATCATATGTACGAATCGTTTTGTTTTATATTTTTCCCTACTCTGGAGTTTTATACAATTTAATATATTTAAAGTTTCTATTTGATGCTTCATTTACATACAGATTTATATTATTTTTCTTCACATTTATTTCACTTGAAAAAATGGAAACTGTAACAGAAATTGCAATGTTGAAGTGTCTGTTTTTGCGATATATAATCAGTGCGAGTAATCGCGAAAAATTCGATCCATCTGCGTAATGCAGCAGACAAGCACACACGACTGCATCATCGTGTTTAACGTTATTTTTATGCGTCACAATCACTCAAACTCACCTCATTATCTCGAGCCAAAATCACTGTCCACGGTTATGCCTAAAGATAACGCGCGCACGACACTCAACCGTGAAAAAGAAAAAATAAAAAAGAAAAAAAAAAAACGGGAAACAAACACAAATCCTTGCAGACAATTTGGTCCGATACAATAGGCTTCGCTCGCATGGAAGGTTGTGAAAAATTTTATCCGGAAGTCATGGTTCCCTCCTTGACACTCGATTCGCGAACCACGTCAACGATCAATGGTCGTGTGATGTTTGAAAAAAGTCACGGTCACTGTCGGCGACTTTATACGCTCGGGCCAGGGGTAGGGGAAATTTACTAGGTTACTATTTCACGCGACACCACCCGAAATACCGACAGGTCACTTGATTAACGCGATCATTGTTCTTTCATTACATTCACTTCGAGACGTAAACTGGCCATTAATTTGTTATTGGAATAATTCTTCGTAACGCACACAAACTAACGATCAATCAAATCATCACATACATTTTTAATGATACACGATCAATCTAGATTCAATTATTAACATGATCTAAATCTACTTGAAAGATTGCGTATCACCAAGTAATCTTAATTTCGTTGGATACATCGTAATCCATTCTGATAAGCAGTCGATGAAATTGATATTAGTTTCATTATCATTTTTACAGCTGCACAACAATCAAATTGCAATTGCCACGTAAAAAGTAGGCTTTTATAGACCTAGCTGGCTATTATTAGTGTCGTCCAATTGCTTTAATCGTCCGAACACGCGTTCTTATTAAGCAAGGTATATATATATATGGATCAGCAATCGAAATACTTCGAAGTCACAATGTTCATCGTTATGCGCGAGGCGCTGCAAGGTAGTAACGGTCTTCCATCTCAGCCTGTGTTTCTCGAACAATTGTTCGATCCAATGGCATACTTTTTCCGAGACAGAAGCGTTCTTCGTATGTAATGAGTCTTATTCAGTTGCAATCCTATGAGAAAACTGAATGCCCGCCTCTACTGCAAAATGACACCATTGAATGTCTACATGCTCGAGCGTCACCCATTTGTCTAGTCGGCGAAAAAAAACTTTCAAATGTTTTCACTTATTTATGACGGTGAAATTATGTTTATTCCTTTCATATTGCAGATGCGTCTAGCGTTGATAAAGGTGTGGCGCGGCGAATGCCAAAACAAAAGTAAAGCAGTGAAAAAAGTCGTATAACCGGTAAAATTTCAGAGATGCATGTTTTTATAATGGAATCCACCGACTGCGCGCTTCGGATCCTGTTTGTCCAGCACAAAATGTAGGCGGAGTCATATCGCGCTAAGGAAATTAAGTAGATATCCCTGTTTTTTAGAGCAGGTTATTTCGAGCAAATTTACTTTGTACGTCGAGGATAGGATACCTGGATTTTATTAGATTTATGCGTAAATAAATTTATTTTATTAGATGTTTAATTGCAAATTTTTAATTTATTTGCATTATACATATTTTACGTTTTTGTAACAACAATTTCTAATTTTATTGTGATCATAAGATTATCATAAAATTAATGCTAACATTTTCACTGCAATGATAATATTATGCTAAGTATTGAATACATTGTTTGCGAACTACCCTTCTGTTTCTAAGCAACACAAACAGTGCCTACGCGCAAGCTCCTAAAGGGTACAGTGCTCATATAACATACGCATAGGAGAAAATAAAACAATGACTTTTATGACAAAGTGAAAACTCTAAAAAAATCAGATTTATAAATTCAAATCATAATTTTACAATATAATAATTTTTTATTTAATTTATTTGCAGATGGATCAATACTGGAAACATCCATGACTTTGTATTTTTAGGAAAAGAAATTATTGCTACTGCGTGTGGAAACTATGTCATTTTTTATAATTTGTTGACAAAGGAAAAAAGAATAGAGTACTTCAATAGTCCATTAAGAGGAGAAGGAGCATGTTGCTTAGCTGGACATCAGGTGTGTGCATAAGAAATAAGAGCATTAAAGTGTAGTATCATCAGAATCAACATGATCTAATAACAATAAATTTTCAGGTCATGCCTATATTTTCCACCGCAGAACGCCGATTCTGTCCAAAAATTTATATACACACTTATCCAGAATTAAGAAAAGTAGCTGAATGTAAATTATATACTGATCTAAATGCATATTTGTCTTGCTGCTTTGTCGGTACAGAGTACTTAGTGAGCTTAACATCGTATCCACACTTTGAACTAATTATTTGGTTATGGAGAAGTGGGGAAAAAATTTACAGTATAGAAACCACGGTCATGGATATGAATCAAATAATAGAGTAAGTTTTTTTGCTTCTTTTCAAAATATAAGAGAATATATACATATAATTGTTTCTGAAATGCAGGGTCTCAATATATGCAAGTCAAATGCTTTGTCAATTTTCACCTAGTTCCGGTAAGCTGTGGACTTATGAAATTCTCACATATTCAAAAAAAGTGACAGTAATCAGGAATAATATAAAAATTAGCGAGAAAAAAATTACATCTGTCCATTGGCTGAATAGTGGTAATTTAATGCTGAGCGATTCATTGCAAAATGTATACATTATTGGCGTAGATGGAAGAAAATGTCAATTGATTCTTCGCAGAGATCTTAACATAAAATCCATAAATAATTTTTTAATTCTTCCATACAGTAATTCATTTTTTACTGTAGATAACGACTCTAAATTATCTGTAAGAAATTCAATTCCAACAAATTTTCTGATGAAGAGATTATTGATTTTATTTTAATTATTTATTTTTAAATATATTTAAAGTTCTATAACACGTCATATTTAGAAAATAATTGTGAAACATGGAATCTTACATGGTCGATCCAGTGTCAATCACATCCTCTAAAAATGGTACTTGCTCGTCACAAAGAGGCAATTTTTATTTATTGTCGAACTGGAGAAATATTAGAGTTAGATTTAATGCCCGAAAGTAAACTATCCTTTGAAAAAATATATACCGAATACCAAAAAATTAAGTATTTATGTGTATTAGAACCTGACGAAGTTAATGTAGCAGTTTTAGATTTTTCAAATTGTTTGTACATTATTGATGTATTTACTGGAAACTTGATAAGCAATACTATAATAAATCAAGAAGATCAAGGTAATATTTATTAATTAAATTGGTAGATCCTGCACGGTAGAGATCTTTAGTAAATGAAATTTTCTGATTTTAGTTATGTGTATGGTATCTCATCCCCTCATTCCTTTGGTAGCTGTCACGACATCAACAGGAAAAGTTATGTTTTTTATAAAATCAGATGTAAATTTGGTGCATCTAAAAACTTTATATTTACAAAAAGAATCTTTGACAAAGATTCGATTTGCAAGAAATGGATTTATATTAGGGATTTCATCTACCGTAACAAAATATTTTTTCATGTTAAAGACAATTGTAACAGAAAAAATTGACGTCTATTTCTATACAAAGTTCACAAAGTTCATAATTGATTTCTTAATATTTGAAAATGAACAGAAAATGATACTGTTGGTATTATCTCAAACAAATGCAGATATTGGCGTTAGTAATTGCATCGAAATTTATAAAATTAATGCTGAGGAAAACATAATTAGTGAAAAACGACTAATTCTTACTAACCATTTTTATAGACATTTAAATTATTCCTCAGAAAAATATGGTGATTTTCTAGGTTTACCTTATTTATCCAAAAAAATTGAATTATTTCAATTTGAAGTAATTAAATCTACATTCATTTGAAATTACTCGTATGTAATAATGCTCAAATAAGCTATATTTATAGGATGATTTTCAGTCTATTAATTTATTCAAAACTTGGAACTCAACACACAAAATTAGACAATTCCATATAGCGACATCTAAAGAATATTTATTGACGAGTGGATTGGATGGTTTCATTGTCCTGAGAAGTTATTCTAACCAAACAAAAATTATTAAAACATTTATGATACATCATTATCAAGATCGAGGATTAAAATTGTCTATACTATCACTCAAACATAACATTGTTATTTCTTTGAGCAATAATGGCTGTTTGATTTGTATAATGTTAAGGTAAGACTTGATATTTTCGTATGTGAATAAAACTTTAATGAACATATTTCACCAAAGTGAAACAGAAGAAGTAAGGAAATTAAAATCTTCGCTAGATCATAAAGCGATAAGAAATTTTATACGTTTACAGCAGGATAAATTAAAAGCTAATGAAAATATTGTTTGGATTGAAATTGAAGAGTTGAAAATCAATCAAACTAAAATGAACAATATTCTCGTTCTAAAAAATAATCTTTTGAAAGATTGGCAATCCCTGAAACAAAAGGTAAATTATAGTACTGAAATTTTCATATAAGTTGAATGATTATTTTTGTTTAAATAAGGTGCAAACCATCCTGGATTTGAACGAAATGAAAAGTATTGAATGCAGAATACCAATTTCATCTTTTGATTTAAACAGTCAAAGAAGACAGGAAAAAGTGGATTCTAGTGCAATCAGTCGAGAGGCTGAACAAATAAAATTACAAAATATTATTAATAAAAAAGAAGCAATTATAAATTATTTAATATGTCAATTTTGGAATACTCTTGAAGTACATGACTGTTGTCTTACTTCTTTTAATTCTGAAATCGTTGTTAAAAATTATAAGCTTTACCACTTTAGTAAGCAGGAAAAGATGCTTGATTTTTTTATTGAATTATTTGATATTCCTTTGTCAAATAAAATAATTAAAAGCAATAACAAAATAATCGACAAAGGAATTCATGAAATTTTGACTGATAGAAAAACTTTATCAAAAAATATTACGACTACAAGGAATATTTTATCGTCTAAACATAATAACGATACAATGTTGTCAGGAACGACCAGTTACAGGTATATAGTTAATGATATTACGTCAAACCAACTGTCGAACGTAGATTACAATACTAACAGTTTACAGCTTAGCCGAGAATATCAATTGAAAGTAAGTTTATCTTGTAAAAACAATTTTATTTATCAACTTAATAAAATACATTTTAGGTTTACTTCAATAATAAATTTAACGAAATGAAATGTTTGAAAAAGAAAGTTATTGATGAAACAAAGCAACAATTGTATCATTTAAATGCATATCAAAAAGAGATGCATGATATTTTTGGAGTGACTGTAGAAATTCCTTATAATGACGACTCCAACTGGCAATCAGATGAATCTCTATCAAATTTGATAACAACCACATTGCAAAATAGTTTGTCAAATAATCAATCGATCAACATACTAAATAGCAACTATCTCAATACGCCACAGGATTTATCGAACTCAATTGATCATTCCGCTATGAACTATCTACCAGAACATGAACGGTCATTTAGAAAAGATAAATTGATCGAGATGATGGACGGTTTGCTAGAAATTAGGTAATGAATACAAATATTTTGCTGGTAAGTAATTTTAGGATAAGATATTTACTGAAATATTACTATGAAATAATAGATGGGAGGATAAAATTAAGAAAAATGTTACAAAACCATATTGCATGCTTTTTAAACATCCTTCAAAATACACTAATGAGGATATCGAAGCTGTAGCTATTTACAAATTAAAAGTTGATAAGCTTCGTATCGAACGTGAAAAGTATAAAGCTCATTTGGAATTCCAAATTGAAAGCATAAATGGTATTTAAGTTTTTTTTTCTTTTTCCATTAGAAATTATTAATATTCATTTAACTACAATAAAAAATAAAATATTGTAGATAAAATGAAAGCTGAGATTGAAAGTTTTGATAATAAAATGGAAGAATTTTCATTAGAAAAAATAAAAGTTCAATCTGCAATCTCACAAGAATTTTTACTAAAATTAAATAAACAGAAGCAGCAATTTTTCAAAGATAACGAAAACAAAAGTAAATCTCACATCATTGATAATGAACGTGCATCTTTAGAAAATGAAAATAAAATGTTAATAAGCGAATTATTAAAAGTAGAGCCAATAGTCGTAGAGCTACGAAACAAGTACGATAATTTGAAGAAGCGAGATAAAATATTAGAAGCTAAGTTTAAAAGTGATTTTAGTGATTTGAAACAACCATTAGTAGAGCATTTACTCAGACAGTATAAACGACGTCCGAAAATAAATGAAATTAATTGTGCACCATTGACATGCTTAATAGAAACAAATAAATGTTTGATTGACGGAAAAAAATCCGTAATATTGCCTCATGCGTATTTAGAGTTCTTAAAAGGAATGGATGCTTTAGATATAATGCCAAGTAGTCTACCACAACAAATTGATGGTAATTATTGGCAATTACTTTGCAAACTGAGAAGAAATAAAGTGGAAATGGAAATTAAGGTAAACTGATATTAATTGTCAAAAAACAAAATAAATATTCATTAGAAATTGATTTTAGCTAAAAGTTGCTGCTTTAGAATTAGCTGAAACGGAGCAAACCTATTTTCATTTACAAAAATTAAGTTCTCAAATCCAAAGCAAAATATATTTCATAAAAAATCGCATGGAAGAAGAAGCCTTAAAAAATTTTAAATCATATAAAAATTCAAAAATTCAATTAATATTGAAAGCTGGACAAATAGAAATTCCTTTAATAGGTTCCATCAAGGACTTTGAAATATCTATTGTTGTTACATATGATGAACTGGTACAAATCAATGTTGATATAGTAAAAGAAGGTCAAAAAAAAATTGCCGCTATGCGAGCAGCAATGTTTGTCCAAAAGTCTATACTCTACAGAAACTGGAAGTATCAATGTATGTCTACAAAGTTAAAGCACCTGCAGGAGCAACTGATCATTTTACGAAATATCAAAGTAAAATTTATTTAAATAAAATTTTTAAATATTTTAATAAATAAATTGCTCTTAAGAGATATTCATTTATATAAATATTTATGATAGATCAGTAAGAATATGCAGAATTATTTGGTTGAACGGCTTAAAGGGAACATTCATTACAGAGATGCTACATCATGTGGTAAAATATTAAGTTCAACAGAAAAGGTAAGCAACATTCCACTGAAAGCATTACTAAAATGTGAAGATTTTAAAAACTTGTATAATATTCTTTCTTTTAGAAATTTCAACGCATGCTGAAGGAAGAAAAAACTATACTACGAAGAATAGTGAAAGAAATAAAATACTGGCGTAAGGAAAACGAAGATTTAACAAACAAAATTCAATTATTTAAATCATTGAAACAGCAGCAGAAGTTTGAACTGGAAGAAAATCAATTGCAAAAAAGAAACAGTGCTTTCCATAAGCATAATCTGTGCGCAATCATGGAAAGAACAAGTCTTATTGAAAAACTCAAAGAAAATCGTAACGAGCTTTTAAACTTACAAACACAACTGGAGTTGCTGAAACTAAAATCTTATCCCACATTACGTCTCAAGGATATTTGTCATCATATAAGAAGTAATGATTCAATGAAAAGTTAATAGGCATGTATTTTTATCGTACGTGTGTAATAAATATTAACGTATGTTCGTGTATGTATAACATATGATATTTTCACGAGGCAACATAACAACCATGTTCTCAAGCTAATGTGAAAAATAAACTTTCATTGATTAAAAAAAGAATCAGATCCTTATATAAAAAAAAACACGTTCCTATCTGGCTGAGGTTGTAAATATTTCGAAAGAGAAAAGAAGAAGCTGAAACAGAAGATCCCAGAGGATTTCTGTGGAGAGGTAAGATAAAGAACATCGGGTACATAAACATCTAGATTTTATCGCGGGCAAACTGAATTCTGTTCATACAAAGTTTCTTCAAATTCAATTTAAAAAAAATTTGTAAAAGATAATAACTCGTTTGAAGTAAGCAGCTTATAAAAATGAAAAAGAAAACTAATAATAATAGATGAATTTGAAAGACATATTGCATGTAAGAGTGTCAATAGCATAATACAAGAAGACGATTCAAGTCACGAATAGTGCGCGGAGATCCTTTCGCCTTCGGTTGCGTGCTGCAGGCTTGAGAGTGAGAGCGAAAGCAAGATAAAAGATCGGAGGAGCCGTGCGCCGTGAGATGGGTTTGCAAAGGAGAAGATCCCCTCCATTTTCGGTACGCCAAAGAAAAACAGCACTCCTATATAAGGTTGTTGCCGGTGTACCGGGAGTCAAGCCATCCTGGCGAACACCGTTCATCTCTACAAATCTCGCGATATTCCTTAGTGTTGTGATACATTTTTGTGAACGTCCAGTGTTTCTTTGTTTGCCGATCGAATCCATTTCGTTTATTTGCTCGTGCCTTCACAATGTTGCCGGCGAAGTGGTTGTTTTTAAAAGTATTGATGGCATCGATGACCGCTTCGACGCTCAGCTACAGGACTGAGAAAAAAGTGATTTGTAAGTATAATTACGCGATTCGTGATTTTCATGGGTCTCATTGGTTACATTGCTGCGCATATAAAATGTTCAAGTTGCACCTGGTACTTCATTCTGGACATTAAAAAGTTGCAATTAAGCCGCAGAAAATTTTATCGTTAAAAGTTTCCATGGCGCACTAAAGTTTCCTCAATTCCATGAAAATTCGGTAACTCTCGCTCGCGTCTATGGCGCTTGTGCGAGTGTGAGCGCGTAAGACCGGTTTCTTTCGCTGTGCACAACGGGCGAAAACTTTCTTTCCCGACTTGCGCAACGTGTGCATAACGAAAACTACGCTTCTAGTCACGATGTGTGTGCCCGAGATTTATTGGGACGACTGCATACAAATGAAGGTGGACTCGTCGAAGAAGGGCATACCGATATCCTGTATCTCGGGTCGCGACCGATACGAGTGCATCGACAAAGTCGGTCGCAAAGAGGCCGACGTTGTGGCCGTCGACCCCGAGGACATGTACCTTGCAGCCAAGCACGAGCTCGCCTCCAGGGCTCAGTACAATATCGTTGAGCAGGTATTCCACAATTGTTAATTAGCTTGAAGCGCGCGGAAGTGGTGGAGGAGGCGGAAGAGCATTGATCGATTGTCTAGGCGCAATTGTAGACTTGTGCTAGCCTAGATATATATACGATAAGGCGGCAGTGTCAACTCGCATTGCAACCGCTGTGTTTCGTGTGGACAAGGACAACAATAGCAATTATTTGAATAAGGTGTAATACGACTTGATACAATTAACATGTGTCATTTGTCGATTTAGATAAGGACTAAAGAAGAGGCAGATTCACAGTATCGTTACGAAGCAGTCGCAGTGATCCACAAGAACTTAAAAGTCGACGAGCCGCAACAGTTGAAGGGCTTGAGGTCTTGTCACACCGGAATAGGTCGTAACGTTGGCTACAAGATCCCTTTGACAAAGCTGTCCGCAATGGGGCTGCTGACGGATCTCAATAGTCCAGAATACTCATCTCGAGAAAATGAGTTGCGCGCGCTCAGCTTCTTTTTCAAGAAGGCCTGCATCGTCGGCACTTGGTCGCCTGATCCCAAGATCAATCAGAGACTCAGTAAGTCGAACGCTTATTCTGGCGGAAAGACACTGCTGAACCATGATTTTGACGTCCAGAGGAGACCTACAGCAATCTGTGTGCTCTGTGCGAGAAACCGGAGGTTTGCGACTACCCGGACAACTTCAGCGGCTACGAGGGCGCGCTGCGCTGTCTCGCTCAGAACGTCGGCGACGTCGCTTGGACCAAAGTCATCTACGTGCGTCGCTTCTTCGGGCTGAGCACGCACGAGAGCAACGACGCCGCTACCCCGGCGACCACGACCACGGCCAACCCATTGAAGGTCAAGGCGAGCGACTACCGCTATTTCTGCCCCGATGGCACTAAAGTTCCAATTGACGAGAAGACCCAGCCGTGCACTTGGGCGGCGAGACCCTGGCAGGGCTATATGAGCAATGGCGGCGTTGCTGACATCGACGCCGTACAGAGGGTGAGAGTTGTCAAACTGGTTTTACTTTGCCTGAAAAATACTCCAACAGTTTGTAAGCTGATTTATTAGGAACCATTTGATTTGCATACAGATGGCCGTTCGCCACTACGGCCTGTTTTCATTTTAATGGCCAGTGATTTTTCGTTGTCATCGTATTCTTGAAATTAAAATACTCGTTGCTGTGTTTGCTCAGGAGCTCACGCAGCTGGGTAAATTGGGAGAGGAGAAGAAAGCAGGCTGGTGGAAGAATTTGTTGCTGTTGAGCGAGGAAACGCTCTCGGTCGCCACCTCCCCGATCGATCCGGATCAGCACCTGAAAGTCGCCAAGTATTTGGACGTGATCGAGAGGAATTTCGGAGCGCCGGAAAGAAATGCGCGTTGGTGCGTTTACAACAAGAAGGCAGTAGAAAAGTGTCGGGCATTCTCTAAGGCTGCATTTTCGAGGTATTGCACGAGAAATGTGGTCATCGTAAGATATAACGATTCCGATTCATTTATACTCGCGTTGTTTTTTTAATTTTAGAGACGCGAGGCCGAGGTTCGACTGTATCTTAGAAAAAGACGAAGACGCGTGTCTAAAAGCTTTGCAAGACGACGGCGCGGATCTGCTGATCATGAGTGGCGAGAAGGTCGAGGAAGCCATGAAAAATTACAATGTCAAACCTATTGTCGCCGAGTCGTACGGTCTCGGTGAGACTGAATACAGCGAAAGACCTGCTGTCGCGATCACCAAACGTGGCAGCTACATCAAGTCCCTACGTGCGTTTCAATGTCTACCAATCGTGTCAATCAAATAAAAATACCACTATCAATGATTAATGTAGGCCACTTGAAGGGCAAGAATTCGTGCCATAGCGGGTATAAGGAAGACTTCGCAGGCTGGATAGCTCCAGTGCACGCGATGCGCAACGTCCGTTTGATCAGCGCTCCGGAGGACATGGCCGAGTTCTTCGTCAAGTCGTGTGTGCCTGGGGCTGAGCGCGACTCCTCGCTGTGCAGTCTTTGCATCGGCAACCTCGCCTCTAAAGACGAAAATCTTGCTGAGATGACTAGGTGCAGTTCTACTGAAGCTGAAGATTACAAGGGCGGACGTGGCGCTTTAAAGTACGAATGACCGATTATTTCGAAACGTTTTTAATCTCGTTTCATCGCAATATTCCGATGTTTTATCAATGCCAAAGCAATGACTTTCCATGGCCTAACTTTAATATTTTTCATATACGCGCGTTTATTTGTTTTTCTTGCACACTACACATCTGTGAATAATGGCTTTGAGTAAATTTCAGATGCTTACTGGACGGCAAAGGTCACGTAGCTTTCATCCCTCTGACAGCTTTCAGACAAGGTGGGTATACAATGCGAATAAATCAGTGATCCGCTTATCAAAACTTCAATTGAATGTCGTCGAGTCGAACCTTTCAACTTGCTTCTTAAATAAGATATCGATTTGCAATGAAGAAAGAAAATAGATTATGAGAAACAACGATTGCTTTTTATTCAAAATAAGTACTTGATTGAAATTATCGGTGCACAAACGCATAAACGATTGTTCGGATTGTCGAAATTAATTTTCAACGTTTACAGACCAGAGCACTTTATTAGAAATATGTGAAGGGAGCAGAGCTAGTTTTAATAAATTAATCTCATCTAGAAAACACAACAAAAATCACGGACTTCAATCTGGTTTGTCCGAACGGTGGCATCGCGCGCATTGACGACTGGCAGCGATGCAACTTTGGTCTCGAGCCGCCTCGAGTGATCGTCAGTTTTGCCGGCAAGTCGCCCAATGCCCTGGAGGAGCTGACCCACGGAGTTCTGGCGGCGAGCAGCCTCTTCTCGGAGCATCCCGATCTCCTGCGATTATTCGGCAGCTGGGCTGGGCAGTCTAATGTATTGTTCAAGGTACGCGCATGAGCGATAAGCTGATTTCGCTAGCCCGTTGAATCGATCGTAACTCTTGATCCGCACCGAAATATCGCGCAATGGTGTATTCATCCTCACCAGGAATGCGCACTTTGTTCGTTGATCAAAACCTTTTCACCAGCCTTATTACAATACTGCTCTAAATCCTCTGGTCTCGCAACGCTCAGCGCAACATATCGTTTGTTTCAGGACGAGACGCTTACATTGAAATCCATCGACAACTCGTGGAATCGCTGGAAACAATGGGCGGCATTGCAACGAGAATATGAATACTGATTTCTATACTTTCAGTTTTTTTCTTTTACTGCGTGCGCCTGCTTTTACGCTCTTGCATTTTCATCGAATCTCATTGCACAATCAAGTCTGATAAATAAAATGACATTTCATATTTAATCAAGCAAATGTGTTGTTAATGTAAAAATAGCTCTATTTTTTAATTAATCTCTTTCATTGAGTAAGTAAATCATGAAGAAAATATCGCATTAAACGAAAGCTAAGCGTAATATCATCTTTTGAAGAGGAAATTACATTATTTATGTACAAAATTAAAAAAAAAATATTATACGAATCACCGCGTCTAAAACTGAAATCGCATCAATGGATTAAAATACAATTGGACGATTATGACTACTGGGCTCGACGATTTTCGCCACAAAGAGTGAAGAAATTTTAGAGGTGAGGAAGACCGAAATCGCACCGTATCTCTTCGTGCAGTACTTCTTGTAAACGGAGTAGTAATCTCTTCCTTTATCCCTTGATAGCACAGCCATCTGTAGTAATCGATTTCTTATGTAGATCACCTCATTGTTTGGCAAACTAGAATAACAATTTTCATCAAAGTCAATAATTATTATTTCGGCGTTAATTTTTTAATAGAATTGAAATAAAAAGAGACACTCACACGTATTTTTCAAGTACTGGATTCGATTGGCGTATTCTAGCGAGCCAATGGTTCCATCGAGCATTTTTGATATTATCGCTGCTCGTCATGATGACAACAAGCGCTATTTCAGTACAGACTTCCGCCAAATGAAGTGCCAACACATCGCACAAATCGTTGTCCAACATTGACAAATCCATCTGGAAATATAAAAATTCAGGCTGTAAAAAAGCAATTAAGAAATGCTCGTACAAGTTAACCGATATAGTTTCAATTTACCAAGTAACTACCGCAATAATATAACTGTTCGATCGACGACGACTGTAATTCGCGAACTTCCTCAATCATAATTGCGAACAGAGCTAACATGGAAAATGGATCAGCAAAGTTTACTTCAAACTGAAGCAACATTAAAATTTTCTTCTCGCTCTCAAGTAGTGGCGTTTGATCGCCCTTGAATGTACTAGCTGCAAGCTTCATGATTGTCGCAGCCTAAATTAGAAATACATCGAAATTAGTATCACGAATAGATCAATTCTCGAGTCGCGCATAAACCTACCTCGGGTATGTCGTCGATGATTAAATCCTTTTTCTGAGCAATCCACAGAGCTGCCAAAGCTATGGTTTGCAGCTCATGAAGATGGACGTTTACTTTGTCAATGTAAGAGTCAAAGATTTTTACTGCTTGGTACAGTATAAATGACGGACACCTGTAGTAAGTCTGAGAAAAAAGCAATACCTTTTTTATACAACCCAGATATTTCTTGAAATGTATTAAATTTATTTCACTCACAGTGGAATCGATCAAGTACTTTACGATTAGTCTTCGCTGATCAGCAGTGATTCCTCTTTTCAAGAATGACGATGAAAGCTTCTTTTTTTCGTTCATTTCCATTTGGAATCGAATGTACTCCGTCATGTAGTCTATGTTATAGGCTAACTCTAATGACAAAAGCTCGTAAGCTGCTCTTGGAGTTTTTCGTTGAAGGGATTTGTTATTATGCTTTTCTTTGATCTGTAAACGAAATGTGTTTCATTGGCAAGTTAATTTTTCCATGCCTTTTTAAGGAAAAAATTATTACATAACACTGACATTGCAGACAGCTGGCTTTGTAATCATGGGTAGATTTTTCGGCGACTCTTTGATATCGAACGTTTGGCTCGACAATTTTTTATCATCCTTGGGCTTTTCCACAGGGGGTAAGCTACTGGGTACATGTTTTGTGTTGTGAACCGATTGCTGAAATTCCCATATCAATTCTTGAAAATTGTTTAGCTAAGAAGAAAATGAGAAATTTGTTAGGACTCACGAGCCATTTTTCAATGTCTTTCGTTTTCGAAAAGCCGTGCCTTTCCGTCGACTGCGCAATGCTTTTTGGTTTTCCATCGTCGTACACTGTAAACCGCGTTTTCACGAAGGCTTTTGTCGTGCCAGCATCACACGAGGATTGAACTCGCCTCCTCGGCACATTGTTCAGAACGTTGGTAGCAGAGGCTGGGAAATGTATCGGATGCGAGTTTATTCGACAATCATAATCCATCATAAAAATGTTTTGACAACAACGTTTTATTTTCGAAGTATTTTCAATGTCACGCCTTTTCAGAGCGCCTCGCTCACAAGCCATGCGCAGTTATTCAATGTTCACACGGACTTTGAAATTACGAAATGTCGATCTGTCCGTATAGCGAGCGGAGTTTCAACGAGATACGAAAAATTGCAATTGGTATAATTACCTCGCAGACCTCTGATTCGCGGCCAGCGATCGTCGCTGTTGATTCGCGATTTGGTATTCGGCGAGGTGACTTTGCGAGCAACGACATCAACAGTCGGCATTTTGCTTAGCTGCTCCGCGTTCTCTTTGTCGACACTCGATTGTTCCTTCCGTTGTCTCGACGTTGAATGCATCTTCATTCAGTCGCGCGCTCCCACTAAACGGCAAAAAAACCGACTCGGCTCCCCAACAATCCAGACGCGCTTTTGTCCAGCTGCCACGCTGCGCAGCGCTTATTCGTTGTAACTCGACAATTGACACGGTCACCAGTAATTAACAAAGAACGCACGTGCTGCACGAGACGCCATGTAGACGTGCGGCGACGATCGCGAGCGATAAACCGGCACTGCGCGCACTCTGATTATGACTTCCCGATTCGCTGCTGCTGAGCTCGCCGAGAGTCAAGCGCAAACGGATACAAGACGCACTCGCACACAGGCGCGCTTTGTTTTGATCGCGTGTAAACACGTATGCCTGTGTTCGATCATATGTGTAACCACTGAATGGCTCTATACCGAGGCATCACAATCGCGTATGCGTATGAAAGCTGACGATGAATTGACAGACTTTAGTGCGGATTTTTGGACTATCGCTTTTTATTCAGTATTTCATCATCTTTTTTTTTTCTTTTCGATTACAGATTGTTCTATTTACTAACAAGACGTTGTCTAATGAATTTAATTTTAATCGAGTCTCTTATATGATGCCAAAATTGAGAATGTTGAAATTTTTCTATAAAGAGAAACTGAATGCTGACGAAAGAGCCACCTAGAATAAGTATTATCAGCGGCAAAATATCAACGATTTCTACGCTCGTCCAGTTCTCTTGATTCTGAAATATACAAACATAATTCGAACAAGTTGAATTTTTGTATATTCTAATATAAAGCAAACGAAACTCATTACCATACGAATAAGAAAATATTTAAATGAACCAACCTTGGCAGCTTGCACGACTAACTCGGTTGCAATTACCCTTTGCAAAACGCCACTGTCTCCCATTAGTAAAATACTGGCAAAAAGATTTTGTGCGATGCGTATAATGTTAATTTTTCTTGAATTCCCATTAGTTTTTAAGGTTTACAGAATGTAAAACGTTTACTTGTTATTGATAATTCCACGAAACGGACTTCTCTTTTGCACAGCCATAGCAGCAGTCATTTGCATAATCGTGTCCAGAGATTCGAGTGTGCAAGGTACTTGATGCTCCAGTATTGAAAACATGTTATCCGTTGACATAAAAGCATAGGTATCATTCGTGCATAATTTCGTTAAGCCTTCAAGATAATGGTTTGGTAAATTTTCCTCCTCGTCCATTATTTCGTCGAACATTCTTTTCAGTGTTTTATCACTTGAATCCTAGAAATGTCCAGTTTTTATACGTTGGCAATACAATCAGAGAATAATTCAAATAAATTGATGCATTGCTTGGAAAACTCTACTCGGAAAAAATTGTAATCAGCAGAGTCACGAACTGTTCCTAATTGGTAAGAACCGTCTTCCAGCAGACCGTCCATCGTTGTAAATGGCATAATGAAAACCTTAATAGCCAAAAAGCTAATGAGCGCTGCGGAGTACGCCGCCAATATTACAACACCGGTCAGGTGAACCACAGCGTTTATTATACGTATTGAATCGACGGCGGATGTCTCATGACCTAAAATGACATTATCACTATGGGAAAATCATATAATATACTTCACGGTATACGTGAAAAGACCTTGTCCACAGAGTGCTCCAAATGCATAAAAGAACGTATCGAAGAAATTGTGCGACTCCTCGTCTTCATTGTAAACTTGGAGCAGTGGTGAATTTTTGAGTCCTATTAGTATAAATGAACTTGATAGAATTACAATAATAAGCAGCGAAAACCAAATGCTACTGTAGAATGGATCGGAGTAAGCGGTCCACTTCACTGCCGTGAACAGTGGTCTTTTGATAAATGTTCGACACCTAAAATTGAACCTTGTTCGCTAACTAAGTTCCTTCTAAAATCATAAACGAGCGTGATAAGGTAGTAACGGGAACGATAATTAACTTGGTTGAAAAGACGGGAGTAGTGAATTCTATAGCTTCTAGTCTATCGGAAGTCATCAATAATTCGGCTGCGGCGAGATCGATTTCCTTTCTAACAAGCATCCCTATGATTCCCGACCACGAGCCATTTCGTTGAATTGTACCCCAACCAACACTAGGTGTGTAAATAACGCTGAAAGTGAACAATTAGATAATTAAAACATTCTTACATGTCCGATGTGTCGCGGTCTAATAATTCGAGATTTTCTGCGCTAATCCAACGCCAACTTCATTGTTTCTATTGAACAAAAAAAAAAGGAAAAAAATCATAACCCTCCCCTTCTTGTATAAAACCACAAATTACGAAATTGAAATTAAAATTAAAATGTTCCGAAATTAATTGTAACAAGTGATGTTTCGTAAAATAATAACAAGTCTAAATGTTTCTGCACGACGAAATTTCAGGACGCAAAAGTGTCTTTACTACGAGCGCAAAAGACGGAAGGGAGATGGCACTAAAACTGACATATTTGAAGAGAGAGCAGCTGCTTCTCAAGAACAATATTTTCGTAAGGAAACGGCTTGGCAATTAGCAAAGATCAAAAAGGAATTGCAAAAAAAGAGAGAAACGTTAAAAGAAAAAGCAGGATCTGAAAAAAAGGAAAATGAAAAGACAACGAGAAATTAAATAACACTAAGAAAAAAAATACAAAGTAATTGTTACGTAAACGTGAATATTTAAAAATGTAACAGAAGCGGTGGAGATATTTACGTGCAGTTGAGATTTTCCTCGAGAATTTGAATTATTGTTCCAAAGAAACCTCTGATGCCCGTCATTTTCCCATACATGTCCTGTTCAATAACCGATACTGGCGGATCCTGTAAATTTAAAAATTTATTCTAATTTATTCAGATAAACATTTCAAAGTTGTACTAATAAATACCTACCTCGACTGTCGCGACTCGTATCAATTGCCCGTGAAGATTACCCCTTCGTTGATAAAGTGCTAATTTGGTTATTGATAATCCGTCATTTTCACTCCAGGTACCAAAAGTCTTTGATATCAATTCTCGACCTTTGGATATATGATAAACTTCCGTAAGTGTATACGTATCAGTATCATTCATCTTTTGCACGATTAAGAAAATGCAGTCAAGAGGTACGTAAATGTCGGCAAAAAATGTCTCGATGTTGGTGTCTTCTTGAAAAAATATCAACCAGTTGATATATGCCATAGCTATCCATGGAGCTATTTCCTATAAAGCTTGTTAATGTTTATTCGCATTTGACAATAAAATAATCAATGTAATTTATTATCAGTTACTTTTGAAAACTGTTGCCTCAATGCTTCTGAATCATTTATTAAAATAAACAAAGGCCTTTTCAAATTGAAATATCCATCTCCAATCTGCGGATATAACATAACTTTGATTAAAAATAAGCTAACAAAATTTGGTTAAAGTTTTACGTTGCGGCTTTTGCGTTGCGACTTACTTGTTTTTTGAATGATTTTATAGCGAAAGCAAAAGAACGAACGTGAAGTTTACTCGTGTAAAGTATAATTGACATAAGTTGTTCAGCTTCATGTGGATCTATTGAAAAAAATTAAATAACAGATTAAACTATAAAATCATTTACAACGTTTATCGAAAAATTGCAAGTGATTATTTACTCAGTGCTTGCATGGGATTTTCAACTGTGTACATGTATATCACACAAGTGTTATTAAAAATATTGTGAACTGCTTCGACCACATTAGTATAAATTTTAGAATCCATAATAAGCTCTTGTTTAGATTTTTGTACGAAACCAATTGATAGTATAGTAATAATTATAATGCAATACTTGATATATTTCGCCATAAGTAAAAACAATAATATTTATACGCAATACGAACGATAAATTTGGTTTACAAATTTTTAAGAAAATTTTTAAGTAAATTATATACACGATGATTTTGATAATTGATGTATTAATCTTTTCAAGCTTTCATATACACATTTACTACATAACTAATATCGCTCTTTACATAAGTACTTTCGATCAAAAGAATAGTTTGCGGATTCGATCGGATAATTTGATTTACGTCATCGATTTACTCTATCTATAATGCTAACTTGATACACATACATTGTTAAGACGTCAGTGATCATTTAAAATTTTATATTTACCGTATGATGAGAATCGTATTTCAATCTTATGGCTAATCAAGACGGGTTTTGAATTGATATTTCACTTAGAAAGGAATAGAAATTCTAAAGAAAACCAGTATCTACAAAAGAGAAGTACAAAAAATTTTTTTAATTGTTGATACATTTTTTTGATATTGTAGTATTTATTAATATTTTCTATAAAAAGTTCTATTAAAATAATCTGCGGTCTATTTAATCAGTAAAAAGTTGAGTATATTCAAGTTGGCAATATTTAAAAATAAAAAGCAGAAAAAAATTCTATTGATTCAAGTAAAATTCAGTCTGCAAATGTTTACTCATTACATTATTAATGAGCTATTGATTAAAAGCCACTATAGATAAAATTGTTGACACGCCAATTTGAAAATGAATAGTACGAAACATTTTTTTAATTTTGCACTTTTATTCAGAATGACTGTCAATTTATTTTTGGTGCTTAATAGTTATAATGAATAAGAATGTACGCAAAATAGTTGCTGTTTTGTCGTAAAAAGTACGTCATTCAAAAATTAACTTGTACACGAGATAAATATAATAAGCCTGGATATGCCATAATTGCTGGTGATATTGGTAACTTATATATAGGACCAATATAAATTTCTACCTTGCAGTGGATCGTTTGCTTTAGTTGTTTTTTTTCAGTAAAATATCGAGCAGCAAACGAAAAAAACGTGTTGCAAGTATGAGTTATCGAATTAACTCCTTCCTTTTATTGTTACTATTGTCAACTGTAGCTTGTGGTAAAAATAAGAAAGGATCAACAGCTGTCCAGTCTGGACATCCTGAGTCAAGTAGGATGATTGAAATGGGATTATTTAAATTTGACTAAATTAATATTGTACTCTAATGCATATTGACTAAACGTATTACAGAGGCAGTAATGCTAGGCATCATTTCTGACATGATTCTCATCACAAGACCGATGCTCGAGATGATGATGATTTTTTTCGACGGCTACCTTAGATACACAAGAGGGCAGTCATTGCCTTGTACCGTGGATACGTGGATTCCCATGGAGATCAGCTGTACGCCAGTGAAAAAATGAAATATTATTCGAAAAGAGAATTGATTGTTGAAATGAATGTCATTAAAGAAAGTTTTCTTATTACAATGCATTAACAAATGATAAATTTGAACAAATTTATGTGTAAATTTTTATTCGTAATAAACGACATATTGTAATACTGTGAATATTATAAAAATATGAACGATTCATTTGTTTTTCAATGAAACGAAAAGAACCTACTGTGTTGGTTGACATTTCTGAAAATAAATAACTTAAATAAACCATTGTTGTATATTGAACTGTCAGATTGTTTTGTTATTACATCGTCGTGATAATCATCTGTGTAGTTAATGTTAATAAAGTTGTCTTTTATATGTGTCGTTACTATTTGAGTATTGGACTTGCAGAATTGTCAGACTATTATTTTTACTAAAATGCTAATAAGTATTATAGTACTTGAAATAACATGCTGTTTCTATCACCTCATTTTTCATTATAGTTAATAAAAAATCATCAGTACAGGGAATAAAATCGTACTACAATGAAATCGAAAGTCAGCTCATAGTGATCACCGTCTAACTTGTAGCTTTCTTCAAGTGAAAAATACCTCCATATGCTTGCAGAGCTTTTTAATAAAACATGTTTTTATCAAACTTATAATATCAATTCTTTTTTATATAGAAACAAATGCAATATAATTGTAAGAGTTCTGTACTATTGTAGTAGATTTTGAAAATTTTGATGATTTTTTATGATAGATTGATTGCAATATAGCTCGACATGATATAAACATTTTTTTAAATATTTTTGCATACTGCACATTCAATAATACGTTTCTTTTACGTGAATCATCAATTTAAAATGTTAAAAGTAGATAACATTCTGCATACACAATTTAAATATTTCATACGTACAACTTGTTTCGGTTCCGAGTTACCTGACTCCTTCGTGTGTTAGCAGCAGCCAAGCTATGTCTCATAATTTGTTGTTTTTACTCGTGATATGTTGTCTATGCTGGACTATAGATGCTGAAATAAATAAAGGTAAACATTTTGTAATATATAATGTGTTCAAGGCTACATAAAATTATTTAAATCGACATGATAATATATTTCATAGATGAAAATTCAAGGGAAATTGCTGCAAATAACGGTAATGTTTCTATAGGGCGAAGAGTTACAGCTCTGCCAAAATTTGTTGTTCGAATGATTATGAGATTAGTAAAGAATATTTTCCAACATTTGAAGAGCATATTGCAGCGATTTGAGAAGTATGCAATATCGATACTAAGCGATGCTCTGGGTTTTCTAGCAAGAAGTGATAATACTGCAATTACTCGTAGACGTAGAAGTCCTTGGATAGGTAGTTCAAAGCAAAATGAAAAACAAAATGGCGGAGTAATATCAAAAATTTCAAATCTATTCATGGCGCCATTCAAATTAGCATTTGGTTCAGTTAAGTGGGTGCCGGGAACAATTATTGATAAATCAACTAAGCTCGGCGTCGCAGTGGCTGGTGACGTATTGGTCAGTCCCATGTTTCAATCTATGTCTCACGCAGCTGTAGCAACTGCCGAGAAGGTTGCCGAAGAAACGTGGAACTTTGCAAAAGTTAGTATATTTCCAAGAATGGACAAATGGGTGACAAGTATGAAAGAATCGCATTCATTACCGGACAGACTTTTAACGATTCTCACTGAAATGCAAACTGTATATCATCTCTACAAATTTTTAGGACTAGCTTAATGCTTTCAAGTTTTTCATTATTAGGTGAAAAAAATCTATAAAACCTTCTATGTTCTGATTGTAATAAAGAAACTTCCAAAGCAAATTTCTACGTATATACTAGACAGTGCTTGCCTCATTTTCAATTCACCTTATCAAATTTTCATTTCTACGTAGTTTAGAATAATTTCCTGGCTTCATATACAGGGAAAAAGTTAAACATAATGTAAGTAAATTTTTTTTTATTTATTGTAGCTCTACACACAATGTTGATTATATACGTTACAAATTAATTAACTGTCTTCGTGAAATTCTTACTTCATATCACTCTTGCGGCGAAATGGACCTTATAGACGTATATTTTTCAGGCATCACATTTGGAACTAGAAAAAACAATATCTTTTTGGCCAACAATTTAGCATTGTCTATGTCCAAAGTACCATTGCAAGTAATAAATTTATAACTGAAGTTACAAGGCATCATGCTGTTGAAGACTTTGCCAAGGCTCTTGTCGGAGAGTTGGTTGGATTGTTCAAGTATATTTAGGACCTGAGTAATCCATGGCTCAATAGATTGACCGAAAAGTGGCATCTTCCTTAATTTATCCAGCTGTTCGACGATATTATCAAAATAATCAATCTTCGTGTCGCGTCTTGCAACTGTTATAATTAAATGATAAATTCATTTGGAATAAAATTTTTCGTCGAATCTAAAATAAGATCAAATGAGTTATTTGAAGACTCACTACTTTTTGCATTGGTGAAATGGACGGCCATCAAGTGAGCTACGAATAAAATTATAGCAGATTTTCCTACAGACTGCATTTTGTATAATAGAAATCCACTTGAGATCTGTGCAAATTGACTGGCAAATCGGTTAACTCCGACATTTCTTTTATAAGTTAGCATTGACTTGTACAAATCACTCGAGAATTTTCAAAAGCGTGATATGCAAAATTCCAATGGACTCCTAGAAAGAATTACTTGAGGAAGCGTTTATCGCTTTTTCAGTAAGACGTCAAACTAGACGTTTACATTTCTTGAATTCACTTGCAAATAAATATTCCATGTCCATGCTTTTTATCGCTAAACGTTTCGAGGAATCGAAAGCAACTTCGAAACAGCAATGTTACAAATTTATTTTGTTACTCGAAAGTTATTAGATCCACAAAAGCGCTCATAAAGATTTGCCTATAATAGCACAATTGTAGGTGGTACCGGTAAGGTAAAGCGCCAAATATTTTACATGTTCTCGTATGACATTTCAGGAAGGCCGAACATTGCAGCGAAAAACGGGAAGACGGTCGTATGGAGAAAATTAATCATCATTGACTTAGCAAGTTTCGGTAACATAGTGTCATTAATAAGTTCTGTTGTAATTCCTACGATGCCGCCGTTTTTTGGTTTGCCAGTACATAGGACTCCTCGCATATCAATTGTGCACGGAGGATAGTCATTGGAAATCCTTGAAAGCGTCCCATTCGTAAATCGATCGAGCTTGTTCACTGACTCGCCCAAGTCTACAAGTGCCCTGTGTAAGCTATCGCCCATGAGCGGTATTTTAAGAACATCCTTTATTATTGTTTGCCAATCTAATTGGCTTTTACCGTCACTGTCAGCTTGGCGTCTGTGTCTCACTGTTGATAATAAGTGACGTTTATTTTTATGCTCTGATTTAGAAGCAGCGACTTACTGTGAGCTCCATTAATATCCGAAATTGATAGTAAAAGTATCATTCCAATAATGAAAACTCTCCGCGAGACAAACTTCATTGTGCTTAACCGCTTATTCAAATTTTGCAATTCTTCGTCACACCAATACGACATAAAATTTTGTCTATCTGATCGATTTGTTGTTTGCCGCGAGCTTTTATAAAATACGAATGTTCAATGTCAAAAAGGGTAGGGAGCCGCGCAATAATATTCATTTGCTGTGCGCATACTTGACGCAGACCGATGATATTTAATAAGCCAATGTAATTTTACGACTTGGCTTATCACTCGCCCAGTAAATAACATGCTAATTTATTTTAATTGTGATGACTACGCTGTTTGTCGGTAAAAATTCTACAAGACTCTAGCGCTTTGAAAGTGTCACATTATTGCACGTTATGAGGCTTGATATTGTCAAAAAATTGATGAAAAATTGTAGCAACTATAACGTTTTATATTGACTAAAATTCGTCGTCGACGCCGTGTATTTGACTACCGCTTGTATGCTGTTGTCGAGAGGCATGTCGGTAGCTAGGCAACATGCATAGTTGTCAAAAACTTTTTTATCTCTCCTGTATGAGACCTAACAATTTTATAAATAAAAAAATGTTCCATCTTTCTTGTTTTTCAACGAATAAACTATTCATAAGCTAGAATACGAAAACAATATTACTTCACTAGTTATGCTCACTTTCTCATAAGGTCACTGAAAATCTATAAATTAATAAAAGCAATAAAGTAGTAATTTGCACCAATTTTCACCATTGTTATCATTAATTCATCAAGAATTAAAAAAAGAAAATAATAGCTCAGCGAGGAGATAGTTTGGATAGAATATGCAGGAAATTTCACGCATGTAAATTGTTGCAGGAAAATGAGGCTAATGACACTACATCAACATTTTGCAATGACTCTACTAGCGAATAGTGAGTCACTGTTTTGATTGAATTTACGATATCCTCGAGTTACGTTAGCACCTATGCATTTGACTGTGACGTTTTACATTCCATATACGAATTCTCAGTGTACGTCTTATACTTAAGCTCTTGTTTTCGAAAATTATAAAATATGAAATTATAAAATGTTAAATTTTGTAGAAAGAATAAAATTTGTTGAATATTTATAATCAACGAATAAATTTAGTTTGAATACTCGGCCAAAATTCAAGAATGAAGCCAGCCGACTTTATCAACAAAAACGAATTCTACACAAAATTGTTCGAAAGAAAATTGAGCCAATGTACATCGATAACTTACGTAATGCTATTTTTCTAATCGAAAGAGTAGCGGAAGATAAAAAGCGAGCATACGAATCGATAGACAGATAGAGCACATAAAAAAGCGTGTAGAACTGGAGCAAAGGTAAAACACAACGGCACGAGCAAAAAAGAGGCAATGGCTTGATAGCCATGGGAACGTATGTAGGTACGATTGAAAAAAACCAGTGGATAGGAGCGTACTTGCGAAATTCAATCGTCCCACGCTCTTAATGTGACAAAGCGCGGCTTGCTTTATCCGGAAACTGGGCACCTAAACCCTCTCCGGCTAAAGCACGAAAAAGATGTACGCCAAACTAACTTTATAGTACACTAAAAAATTTGATATTTTATTCGGACTTACTTGCTACTACATGACGGCCCGAATCATGCGGAACGCGCAGCTAGTTTTCTGTAGGCCGGTGTACAATTTGATTTGACGAACGATACTTTTAACTCGTATATTTAATAAAAATTCTATATTGTACGAAACTGTAATGACTTTAAAAATGTATATGGGTGTAACGATGTTATCTCGTAGCAACGGCAATGTTCAAATAAGATCAAATTAATTTGTACCGCCTAACTTGTCTATATACTGTTGTGCTTTTATCAATGGAAGTATAAATAAAAATGACTATTATATTTTCCATTGATAAAATTACGAGTCGTCGCTTGAGAGCGTAAGTACGTAAAGTGTAATCAAAAAACAAAAAGCAGCAGTTTGGCCAAAGTAGCGCATGGCTGGTAAGTAGGCGACTGCATCAGCGAACCTTATCGAAGAGCCCCAAGCAGCACGTAAAGTGAGAGACGCACTATAACGCGATATGCCATTATTACGTGAACGAGAGAGAGAGTGAGAGAGAGAGAGAGAGAGATTGGTCGAGACGATACGATTATGCGGTCGGCATGGCGTGGCAGAATGTCAAGGTGTATATACGCGTAGGTGCAAAACAAAGGCAGCTCTGGCGATTATGTCGCGCAAGGGCGGAATGCACCTGTGCGCTGTACTCTTTCTCTCGGGCCTGATGGCAAAAACGGCCTTGAGCCTCGAAACCCAAATCCCTTTATTAGAAAGTACTTCCTCGCACGCTGGCCGACCGAGCGACTGCATAATGTGCTCTAATCGCGGTGCAAGCGCGCGTTTCGATCTCTTATCTGTGCCACACAGCTTTGTTCGCCCGGCAGAGCGCGGCCTACGTACATTACAATTTTATGGCAAGCGAACAAAGCAGATTCGTTATGTTTTTGCTACTTTTGACTTTGTATCATGGCACACCTCCCTGTTCGACCGAACCGACGGACTCGTGCAGTGGCACGAACGGTCGCGTTTACGCGGACATCGTATTGTCAATCAAGGGTTGATTTGCGTGTTTCAGACTCGTAAAACAAACGTCGCGCTTGTTCGCTCTCGCTCGCCTTGCAAAAGACTCTCACTATCCGTCGCGTTGAAAAATGGCAAATATGAAGCGTCGTCAAACTCCTACACTCGAGAGAATCGCTCTATCGCAACGCAGTTTCGTCTACCCGCATGAAGATCATTTCGACACTCCAAACCTTTCCCAATTTTCACGAGTCTTACGCTTTTCTATTAGCTTTTGATTTCAGAACAGTAACAAAGACTTGATAAAGAAATTGGCAAATGGTAACAAATGACGAGTAACTTTTCTTTCTACGTTTTGACACACGTGCGATTTTCTATTTTCGCTGATTCTTTTTATTTGTCACCTAGAAGTCGTGAAATAGTTTTAAGAAATAGGCAAGTAAATTATCTTATATGTCGAATTAAAATTCGTTGCGCCAAAAATTTATTACATATTTATTTCAAAAGTTTTGCAAGTTGTGATATTTGACATAAAATTTATCTTCTTTTTCAATAGACATTTCTATTGAGAAAGTCTAATAAGAATCAGAAATAATGGATATGTAAATTCGCAATCATAACATAAAGCATAGAGTCTTGGGTAAATGATTGCAAACACAAATAACGTCGAGTTAATTATAGACACGTAGTTCGGTTCTCCAAATAATTAGCGTTAAGGCAGGTATATCTCAGGAAGTGAATTGGGTAATGACCATCGATTCCGTAAAATTACAACTTACTCAATCGGTGATTTATGTCACAAAGGCTCAATCTTCCTTTTCAAACATAACGGTAAAGGATGTAGTCTTGCAATGTCCGAAAAGAAAATTTCTTTATTGCTGCGTAAAATTGAGTTACCTGTATATTTCTGTCAATCTTCACAGCAAAGCTGCACCTACCGAACAATTAAAATGATCCGCGAGTTAGAATCCGAACTCACCTTTGATGTTACTCTACCATTGTTACTGATAAAAGTAACCAATGGTCGCGAAGGGAGATGCAAGATCTGTCATTCTCCGCTGCCCAGCACCCGCATAGTTATGGTAACGGTAAGTTGCGTAAAAGAAAGAAAAATAACGAGTCGCGCGAGGATTGCCAGATCTGTGTCACCTGTGAATCCGTAGTCGTACAAGTGTCCGTCGCGTTGGTAGTCGTCGTATTATCGTTCGTTATTAGCGTTTGTGTTCCACAGGTGTAGCTGAATACTTTATGAAAAGATTCGTTCGAGTTCTGTTTGGCGATCCAATTTTCGTGACTGGCATTTCTGGGTGGCACCTGATGTACGTTTGCTCAATGAAATTGGTGCTCTTGCATCGATTCGAGCATGAAAACTGACATAGATAACTAGGAATTGTTTGTACATGTGGTACACTCCTGGTAACACGACGAGTCGTGAGAGTTTACGCGAAGTCGTAAATTGAAGAATTCAGTGTATCCTAGCTTGTCTACTCGGAAAACCAAGTAGGATAAAAGCTAATTGTCATTTGCCACAACCTCCGCGTCTCTGGCCATATCTACTTGCAATTAGACGAAAAGCCCGCGCAGACAATTAAACTTGTCTGCGTCGGTGAAACAAGTACTAAAAGTCCATTATCTCCTTTAGAGTTTGTGGTCTGGTATGCACGCCCATGTACACTTACATAAAATCCACGTGTGTCGCTCGGCTCGTCCGCGAGAAGGAAAGAGAGAAAGAGAGCTAATAGACTTGCGCACTAGCAGGCGCAAACACACACGCGCGCCCAGACATTCGGGACGGAAGTGTGACGATGTGTCATGTTCGAGCGGCTCCTCGCTGTTAGCGACAATGCAGGTGGGTATATAGGCGAACTTTTGCTTTTGCCCGCACGCGTTTCTGTATCGTACGCGCGGCTGTGTGTGTGGGTACGCGCGCGGCCCCCCGCCGCTTTTCTCTCTTCTGTCGCGGGCACATGTGTGTACTTGCCTATCGTGCGTACAGCCACGCTACGGTACATATCGCACATCACTTTTCATTTCGTTACGTGCACGCGCGCGCACGCGACCTGTCGCCGGGCGCTCTGATTTGATAGTTTTTCCCCGAGCTATCGGCTATTCGTGTGCCACTCGAGCTGGTTTTTCGTCCGAGCAGCGTTGGCGAATTGGAGGTGCTCGAGGTACAGCGCGAGCGATCAGTGCACGTTAGAACGCAACGGACGGCCACGTAAATAGAGACGCTCGCGGCAAATTGAAATGCCAATCGACGAAAGCGCCGGACGGACGTTGCAGCTTTACCAGGAATAGCGGAGCAGGTGCGCGCTGATTTTTCGCTATATTACGTAAGGTCGATGCTCGATCTCGGGGTATTATGAGGGGCCGAGTGGCGAGTTGCGACCCGCGGAAGACCGCGACTAGACTGCACGATTACTGAGATTAACCGACTGCTTCGAGCCGAGATCATGGGGATGACGCGTGGATCAAGCTCGATCGTGCTTGCAAGCTTCCTTGCAGCCCTCCTAACCGTATCAGGTAAGACATTTTTGTCGGATTTTCTACTTACCTTATTTGTTTCTTTTATTACAAGTTTTTTTGCTGGTCAAAGAGAACGAAAGTGTGTCGTGTCGTTTTGAGAAGGTTGCTCGTCAAGGTGCAATGCATATTTATCGCGCGCATGACTTTTTTTTCGCGCACGTTATGTATTGCATTTAAAATAAAAACAATGCACACTCGACTATACCTGCGGCGAGCGTAGCTCGGTTGCCGTTTCATTTTCTGCACATAAATATTTGTAAAATAACGAGCCGCAAGCTCAGAATAGAAATATCTCATTGCAGGCCAGACGCTAAAATGCCGGGATACCGCATGGGAGAAGGTGCGCGGCATGCGACCTGAGTCCTACAAGCCCGTGCAGCTCACGCAGCCTCTGTACACTGGAATGGATTCTCAAGGGATCGTGGTCGCTTGTTTCGAGAAGTAAGAAACTTCTTGCACCTTGCTTGTTCGGGGAACCTCGAATGAGAAATCGCTTTTTGTTCAGCATTTGGCCGCTGCTGTTAGTCACTCCTCGCGCGGTAATTTTCATGGATCAGAATGATACATTGTCTTGATGAATCCGTGTCGAATTCAATTTATGTTAAGCACTTTGACGCGTTGTCATGGCATATATTGCTCGTTAACGACTGGCAGATGAGACTGTTTTTTATGATCGTAAAAAAGTGGCAATGCACCGAAGGCTCTGCATTGCATAATTTCAATTGATCAAAGAGCACTTTACTCTAACTCGATGCACATAACGTGAATGGGATATAAAGGAATAGACGAATGCTTGCACGGAGGTATTTGCCGTACAATGCGCGAAATAGATTTGAACAAATGAGAAGCAATTGTATTTTATTTTCAACTCGACATTGGGAATGAGAATTCTTGTGAAAAAAAATGGTATCTGGTCGTAATTCACAAAGAGCTAATAATAAAGAACCAATTCCGGCATCCTTCCAACAAATGCATAACATCAATTCAATTATACAAACACGCATCGTAAACACGGCAGTTTCTGATACTCCGTAATTTTTCACACGAACACACGTAAAAAGCGTTTAACCATTCGCAGTTATAAGCTCCGTACAGAGAGCAGTCGCTGTTAACGACTCAGCGTTATAACGATTTATGCTCACACGAATCAGGTGCAGGAGTTTAAACTGCAACGCCTTCATCGTCGACCTTGAACGTAGCGTTTGCTCAGAAGTTATACCGGAGGGAGACCAGCTCACACCCGAGCCTAACGTCACCTTTTACCACAAGATTTGCTTGGACGGTAAGAATAAATGACTTTGCTAACAAAAACTTTTCAGGTCATTCGTCGAAAGTCGCCGTGTTTTTGCGATCTCCTCATTGAGCAGAAATCGCTTCTATTTTTCTTTCGACGACTCTTCGTTGCGTATCTCTGATGAGTCATTGTCAAGTAATTGTTCTAGCGAGATTATCAAAGAGTTGAGTAACAGACACTTAGGTTTTGTAACAACGTCGTGAAAAAAGCTGTAATTTCAACGAAATTTCGTGCAGACGTACTATACTTGATTGATACTTACGTTTCGAGCCTTTGATACCGGATGAAACTTCTTTGTCGTGACGTTATGCAGTATTGCGAAAAATTCCAAGAAGAAAGTCAAACATCGGACAGCGTCAACGCGCTTCTTTTTTTTTATTTTAGCTCCAAAGGCATGTTTGGCAACGAGGCTTTGGCAAGTGGAAAGGAGCTTGGGATCGGTGTTGCTAGATTCCGCTGCGAAAGTTGTACCTGAAATGATAAGCCGAAAGGACTGCTACGAGATGTGCATCAAAGGTATCCGACAACTTTTTGGAAAGACAAAATGGCCGTGGTATATAATGTTAAAATGAACGTATGGCACACAGAAAGAAGTTGCAAAGCCGCTCAGTTCCGCACGAGCACAGATCTGCGAATCGGCGACACCGCAGGAAGCTGCTCTCTCCTGACGATAGAACGATCAACAAAGCCTCAGGCGTACCGAACTTCCCCTTATAGAGACGAGTATTTAGAAAATCAGTGCCATAACATTTGTAAGTTTTGGCATTTATCAGCTTGGAATTAGCCGAGCGTTTGCAATAATACGCACGTCGTCGTTGTATTCCCGCAGCCAGAAGAGACTTTTGTTCGTACGCCGAATATCGGAGCACGTCACTACCCTATTCGGACGCGAGAATCGAGGGTCTCGACGGCAAGCAGGTAAGCGCGCGACGTGCTTCATTCTCGCGTCGATCCGTATAGATATACGCGTGCCATATCGGCCATTGTCGATTTGCCGTTTGACATTTGCCTCCGTTCAAGTGCGAACAAAGGTGCGACGAGAGCCGGGACGGCTTCCTGTGCCGGGCTTACGGGATCGAGTACTCCAGGACCGGAGAGCCAACTTGTTTCCTGCACTCGGACGACACAATGGGCGCCGGTGTCAGTACTCTCCTCGCCGTCTCTAATGCCTTCTACAAGGAGCGAGAGCCCTGCATCGACAGTAATTATGCTGCCCCGCCCCTCGAACGCCAGACAAGCGATCTGCCGTACGCTCGAAATGTCGATTGCAGTGACGGTGAGGTGCACCAACAAGTCGCTGACCGCGGAGCTGAGGACCGGCGAGCCCTTCGTCGGCAGGATTTACGCGAGCGGCCACAGTGAATCTTGCGGAGTGCAGGGACACGGTTCGAATATCACCAGGCTGGTGCTCAATCTGCCCGACACCAGCGATCTCACCAAGGCGGTTATGACCTGCGGTCTCACGCCTGTATTCTCCGTCGATCAAAACAATCAGTTAGTCTCTACACCTCTTAGCGGATATAGTAGAACGCTGCTTTATTCTCACTGACATTCCGCTTATCCATTAGCGTCTTTTACTGAACACTCTAAACTGGCCATGGTCCGATTGCCTTATTTAACGATCTAATTTCGAGCTGTATTTGTTTTGTTCATCTGCTTGATTATCGTTCGTCTTCCAAATACATGTAATCTAGACATTCTCTTTTTCAAAAAATAGTAGAACTGGAGACACTGAATGTTGGGTGTTATATTCTTTTCAAATTTCGAACAATTGTTACAGAAATAGATATCGTTATTTTCTCAAAATTTCATCCGAAATATTATTAAAATCAACAGATATTAACTTCTAAAAAATAATGGTAACAATTTTTCAAAAGGCTATGTTTCAAAAACTAATAAAGATGTATATATCGATTTTTTATTTAAAATACGTGTAAAGCTTTAAACTTTGAAAATATTTATAACAGTATCGAAGTTATTGAATCTAGCCATATTTCAAAACTTTTAGTTAAGAAATTTTTAAATCTTTTAACTGTTAAATATTATATAAACCATATATTGATTAATTAAATACTGATTTACTAAAAGTTAATAAATATTTATAAAAATCAATATTTCTATTAGAAAATTTGGGAAAATGATGACCACTATACGTACAATTATGCAGTTTGAAAAAAATCTGCCACTCAGTGTCTTCAAGTCCATCGAAATAGTGAAATAGCTATGAGCAACCCAGACTTTGTTTTCAATTAAAATTGATATAATAATTATCCACGTACTAGTATTATTCCCTCGGATGTTGATTAGCGATATCAGATTAGTCGTGGGCAAACATCATGAAAATTTCGTTAATGTCATTGAAACTTGCGAATGTTGCGGTGAATAAAGTATGATTGAATTTTCATATTTAAGCAGAAAATTAGTCAGAAAATTAGATTGAATATTCGCACTATGAATGCAGAAGTCGAGCGGCGATCTGGTCAACTGTGATAGTGCAGTTCAACCCGATAATTCAACGTTTGGGTGACCAGGCAGTCAAGGTCGGTTGCACTCTATTCGAGAGTAACGAAGTGCCGGAGCCTCGAAACATCACCGTCCAATCCAGTTACACTTTCATCGACTCCAAGTGAGCAAAACTGGTTTTTCCATTTATTTGTTGTTTCCTTAGTCTTCGCCTTCTCTACCTCCTTTTCGCGACAGCGTCCTTGCACGCGCATCTCATTAGCATGTATTAACCACGTGAACCCATACAACAGTGCAGGCCTACCGCGCGTAGTGAAGACCGTGATGAACACGTCCTCCGAAGTACCAGTTGTCTCTATGAATATATTGGACGAGACGCTGAATCAAGCCAATGTCACGCACGTCGGACAGAAATTGATTCTTCAAATAAAAATGACGCCTAGTAATGGTAATGATATCTACAATTTTTTTCAGCATGATCGTTAACACCTCTTAGATCTTTCGAGATCTTTGTCTATCTTTATTGTAAATTTTTTATCGAGCGCTCAAATTTATCACTTTTGAGAAGCAGATATGATTTATTAGATAATCATTAGCATTCCTCCACATCGTACATATCTCTGCTTCAATAGGCAAGCGAACGAGACTTTTAAAGATGAAAAATTTGCCTCGCATACAACTCTCCATTATCTTAAATAAAAAGAGTTGGATGAAAAAAAGTTTGTGGGTCGTACGAGAATAGCTTAGGAATGATGCAACTGAGAAAAACCAATATCGAATTAGCATAAGAAAAGAGGAATAACATAAACGAAAATAAAAAATGACGCCACAGGTCCGTTCGACATGCAGGCTGGTCACCTAGTGGCAAGTACCAAGTCTGGGGATCACTCGCTGTTGTTGCTCGACGAGGTCGGGTGTCCAGTGTCCACGGTATTTCCAGCTCTGTCCAAGGACTTCGCGGACAATCGTTCTCTCGTTGCCGAATTCAGCGCTTTCAAATTCCCCAGCAGTTTCCACGTGCGTTTCAACGCTATCGTACGATTTTGCCTGCAGAGATGCGAACCGGTAAGTGATGAGGCGCGTCATTTCTCCGTTTAGATACGGAAAGACAGCGGCAACTGTCTAAACGGGCGTAGGTTTTGTAATTTTTCTCTTGAATCTTATGCGAAATTGATTCTCAAGGGGAAAATCACCTTATTTTAAGTACGCGATTTTTCGCTTGTGTGATGCTAAAATGGCTTTCAATTTCAAGGTGAAATGTAACAAAAATCGGCTGTCGTATGGTCGCAAGAAGCGGTCATCGGACGAGCCGGAGATACCGAGCCCCGGAAACGTTGAGGAGCTTCACGTGTCTACCGGCAACGGCACGACCGCTACCGAGGAGTTGTTATTGCAAACGTCAATCATCGTTCAGGATCCACGGGACAATCAAAATATTCATCCCAATCCCCTACGATCCAAAGACAATCCAGATACGGTCGTTCTTCTCGGCTCTGGTAAATGTTGACTATACACTTGCATAACCTACCATCCCGTTGTAAACTCGGTCAAAATTTCACTATTGCCGATTTCTATTTGCAGACTACATGGACAGCCAGTTTTGCATGAACGCAAGCCTGGCGCTCTTCCTGCTTATATTCCTGCTGATCATTCAAATTTTACTAATAGGAAGCTGCGTGCTCGCGGTCAGGACTTATAGGCGCCTGGCGATACGCGCCGAGGAGGACCGAGCGGATATTTTAGCACGGCATCTGTATGGCTTACACGGTGGTAATTTTGAAATATCGAGGAGAGTTCGGTGGGCAGACAACAACGACTCGACTCTAAGTTGAGTTGAGCGCTCACTTTCGTTTTCTCGAGCGCAATTTTACGTAATAATGTACATATAGATAGTGTTCAATACAAGTCGTCACTGCCTTAATCTGTTTGCGCAAGCTTGGTAGCTCATGTTTTTTATCTTTCTGCGCAGGCGATTTACCTTCTGGCAATCATTTTTTGATACGATTTAGATGTTTTAAAAAAGTTTATTACTTCAAGCTCGATTGCTTGAATTATTTTGTTTTTCATTTTCAAAGTTAATATGTTAAGTACTCGATAAGTGCCACAAATTCAAGAATACATGAGATTTTAATTTGCAATATTTTTGGAAATGGTTGCTATCGAACATCTTTATTACGCAAGGTGTTTGCAGTCAAAATTCAATCAAATTTTCTCGCAGCAGTAATGTGACCAAAGAGTTGTGTTTACTCAGCATGTGTATTACGTGATATTCCTGCAGTACTTAGTAATGATACACGCATAACGATAATACTACTGTTTCTAAAAAGGGGTTACCTTAATAAATATTTTGATAAAATGAAATGATAATAACACTGCTCACTTTGAATAAAATGTTGAGATTTCTTTACAAAAATTTACATTTTTCAGTAAATGTCATCTTTAAATAATAAGAAAAAACTTAACCACTCGATCTTATAGTACTGGAATATTGGTTGCATGGAGCACGTCCTAAATTTTGAATAGCTGTGCGAAGAAAAAAAAAATACATTACTAGCTGAATATAAAATACATATTATTTTATAAAATGACTTACGATTTCCACAGTTTATCGCACAATTTATAGCTCCAATATTTTTGTAAGTAACACCATCAGATCCGCACACCGGATTAGATTCTGAGGTAAGCTGCGATAATAATTATGTAAAGTGAAAATAAATTTGGAGAATTATTTTTAAAAAAACTAGTGTTGGTCTCTTACTTCGCAATTATCGACACAGTTATTGTATTGTTCTTGAGTGATTCGTCCATTTTCAGTAGTTTGACTGTTTATTGGTTGAGTTACAGGAATGGGAGTTGTAGTAGTACATGGAGCACGACCTAAATTTTGAATAGCTGCATCGAAAAAATGCATTATTAATTGTACTTAGATAGTATAGAGTTATTCACTATCTTCTTTCAAAAATTACTCACGATTTCCACAACTTATTGCACAATTTAAAGCTCCAACGTTTTGGTAAGTGACACTATCAGATCCGCATACTGGATTATATTCCAAGGTGAACTACAATAATAATTTTGCAACTTGAAAACAAAGTTGAAGAGTTTTTTGAAGAAAACTAATATTGGCTTTTTCTTACTTGGCAATTATCGATACAGTTAATGTATTGTTCTTGAGTGATTTGTCCAGTTTGGCTAGTTTGACTGTCTGTTGTTACAGTTGTAGGAGTGAGAGTCGTGGTAATACATAGACCAAGACCGACTTTTTGAATAGCTGCATCAAAAAATGATGTATTATCAATTTTACCTAGTTAGTGTAACTATTAATTATCTTCTTTCAAAAATTACTCACGATTGCCACAGGATACTGCACAATTTAAAGCTCCAATATTTTGATAAACGATATTATCAGATCCGCACGCTGGATTATATTCCGAGGTGAACTACAATAATAATTTTGCGATGTAAACATAAATTTGAAGAATTTTTTTTAAATAACTACTGTTCACTTTTTCTTACTTGGCAATTATTGATACATTTTATATATTCTTCTTCAACCATATTACCCTTTGGATTATTTGGATTGTTTTGATTGTTTGGGCTGTTTGGATTGTTTAGATTATTTTGATTGTTTAAATTATTGGAATTATTTGAATTGTTTGAATTATTTGAATTATTTTGATTGTTTGAATTATTAGAATTGTTTGAATTGTTTGGGTTGTTTGGATTATTAGGATTGTTTAGATTATTTGAATTATTTTGATTGTTTGAAATATTAGAATTATTTGAATTGTTTGTATTGTTTGGGTTGTTTGGTTTATTAGAATTGTTTGGATTATTTTGATTGTTTGAATTGTTTGAGTTATTTGAATTATTTTTACTGTTCGGGTTATTTGGCTTGATTGGATTCATAGGATATCGTAGAGGTCTTTCAGTTTCTCCAGGGAAAATAATATCCTACAAAAATTATTAAAAATGTTTTCAAAGCTTACAGAAAAACTGCGTCAAAACTATTTTTCTTCTAAAATATATAATTTTATATTAAGTTTGATAACTTATACAGAGGATATAATCATATTTACCTGTCCATAGGAGTGAAATATACAACTTGAAACTATATATAACAAAAATTATTAATAATTTTTTTTAATGTCTGCGAGAAGAGTTGGTAGCCTGTTACTTACAGCTGAGAAGAACGATCACGGTCACGTATGCTTGCATCATGTTGTAAGACGATATGCGCGATGTAAAGTGCGAAAGACAATGTCAATCACAAATGTGCGAGGTATTTTATAACTGATTACACAAATGTAAAATACCATTCTTTGAGTACATGCACATTCATAATGATTCACTTATCAAATGGAAATCACGAGTTTTTTAAAGTATTATCTTCAGGAACAAATAATTTTGTCGATTTATAAAGCCGTGATAAATAACAATTTCAGGTAGAATAAATTAATTTTTCCTCTAACCTTCTTTTATGTACAATGAATTTCTGAAGGTAGGAAAATACAGTATGACGATAGTTAACAGATGCACATTTAAATTACTGATATGTAAATTAAATGTATCAGGTACGCAATGTCGTTTCGACTTCCAAACTAATTCAGAATTAATTAACATCTAACGTTTCTATTTAGAGTGTTTACAGCTCAACTAAGTGAATAACATAAATGTCGTGTAAATATTATTTATTTCGTCAATTAATCACTTTTCAAGATAAATATATTAAATATTTGAATCAGTAGATTTTCATAACTACACATCCCGAATCCTAATTATAATTTGCATTTGCCGTTGTTATATCAGTAATATGAACTAAATTAGAAATTGAAAAATCGGAAAAAATAAAACAAAATAGTGGAAAAAATTCAGACAATACTTTAAGAATTTCATTTATTGTAATTAATAGGTTTTAACTTACATGTAATGAGAACTAATAAGTAGTTCTTTCAAGTTCATATTGATAAAAATTATCTATATACGTATCCTCTAATTCAACCTGTTGTATTATTACTGCACCGACCATATGCAATTATTCGAAGCTCACGGTTTCCACAATTTTGAGCACAAGCAAATCTTCCAGGATTTGAATAAACAGCATTGTCACTTCCACAAATTGGATTGTATTCAGATGTCGTCTGAAACGCACAGACAAAATTTATTAAAATTGTATTTTATATCGCATTATTTAAATACTCATTGTTATTGGTAATTTTAGAAATATGTCGTGTTAATGCATACACATTAATTGAAAGATAATAAACATGACTTACGAGACAACTATTTAAACATTCATTATATGTGGCATCAGGCGTAAATGTTGTAGAGCCACCACCGTTTGTAGATGGTGAAGTAGGCTCACCTGGTCTGCGCGTTGAATTCAGTGGGAATTTTGGTGAACGCTCGGTTTGGCCAGGAAAAATAATACTATCATTATCATTCTGCTGCAAACAAATAACTTGTAAAACAACTAATTTCTCAAGACTAATTTATTTTAATGATTACGGAATTTACTTATATTTATAAAGAATTTTTCGAATTACATATCAATGATTCAGCAAAAATATTGAGAAATTAGTACCACATTACCTGTGCTTCAGAAAAACCCACAGAAACTGAAATAGATGAAGTTTTATGAATAAAGATTGTATGGTAAATGAGAGAAAATTTCAGTAATATTAACGTGGAATTATAAACAAAAAATATAATACCATATTTATTGTGTATAAATAATATAATCGATTGACTCTAAACTTATTTTTAGTTATCGCGGTTATTACAAATGTGGAATTTTTTTTATCATTCACATTCACATTGCAATTAGTTTTTACTATATATTATAATAAATATTATAATTTAATTTGAATTTTATAATTATTAGTATATGTAAAGAAGTAACTTAAGTGTAAATGTTTCCTCCGGGAAAATTTCATCCAAAAAATATCCACTCACTGATTAATAACACAAAACACCACATTATTCCACATGGCATTATTCTTTAGAGACTTAATTCCTCGGATTACTCTAAGATTCTCGTAAACAAGGCGAAAGGCAACTGAGTGGATATCCCCGGCACGTTTGCTTTTATAGATTTCCCTTCCCCTCTCATAAAAGTAAATTTTTGTCATCGTTCTCAACTGCGGTCATCGATTTAGATCCTTGTACACATTTTACTTTTAACTGGTAAAAATTCTTTTTCTCTCGTATTTAAGATACGTATAACATTATCCGCCAAAAGGAAATCTTAAAATAGTAGTTCGTACAAATATCAACAATTTCGTTTGATGTGCAAAAAACAAATTGAGGATGTTTTAGTGAAAGCAGCAAGTAATACATTGTATAATTTTTCAATCCCTAGACTTGTAATTGTAAGCAGAAAAATAGTTCAACGATTTAGCTGTGTTATAGTTTTATATGAAAACAACATTGATTCATTATTTTAAAAGACGAATAAAATTTTTTTCAACGCTTCAACAAAGGTACCTGAAAATGTTATAAACAAAATATTGTTCCAATATATAAAAGAATTTTTCTTTAAATAATCGGCTGCGTTTTCAATATTTTTTAAATAAATATTATTACTGAACATTTTTTAATGATTTTAAGAAAATTACGTTATTGCAATACTTTTTATTCTCGCAAAACTCGAACCACTTGAAAAATTATTAAATAAACTTAGAAAATATATGTAGTATTTCGGTAATTATTAGATCGATTATACGTTACATAAAAATGGATATTATTAAAATTAATGAAAACAATTATTTAGGTTTATATAAACAATATTTAATACAAAAAAGTTGAAACTTATCTAATGAACATTGTGATTAATTGAACGTTAACTCCGAAAACTCAACCAAACATTTAATAGATGTATTTCAATGATTAACTCGCGTTCTCGTAATAGCTCAAGAGCAGTTCGAATGAGATTTGACTTGGTAATTCCACTCATTTTCAATTTCCCATTGGCTCGTCGTACTGACGCATAAAAGATCGTCTTTCGTTATCGACTCCGTGTGTAGTTCTTGTTTGTTAGCCAAGTAGTCAGTTACTCACAGTGATACACAGAGCATCAACACAAATAGTGGGACAATTTCATCACGATTTGAAGAAATTTATCATTCTAATTTTTGAAGTAACTATGGCAACGTTTCATCACGTTTGTTTAATAGCTTTAGGTGAGGTTATTATTGTATTACGATGTTATCGAAATTCCATGACAATGACAATATTTTTTTATCCCCGTAAAAATTATATAAACAATTAAATTATATTGTATACAATGTAGTTTTCATAAACGTAGTTTTTAAAATAATAATAATAAGAATAATAATAATAACAACAATAAAAATGGTTTTTTTCATATCGTCTGTTGCATATGAATCAAAATACATTCTAAATGTTTGAGTAATCTGTTTGCACGATTTATATATCGAATGTGCTGATGTACTAATCTACATTATTTCACTGTTAGTTACACTGGTATTCGCTGTAACGGGGACTCCAACTGAACATTACAGAGAATCTGTACCAAAAGGATGTTCATGTCCAGCTTTTGACGACATTGATCCTGTTTGTGGGAACGATGGTGTGACGTACCCTAATCTTATGACGTTGAGATGCGTGGATAAGTGTGTTAACTATAGTAAGTAAATGAGGAATAAAATTTCCCTACTTTTACTGTCTGCTTTGGCCGCTACTATTCAGTATAATTATTATATTTTGTTATTTATCCCAATATGTATTTCTTTATTTTTAGACATTGACCTCATACATCATGGACCTTGCAGAACATGAGGCTCGCTCTATATAATTATGATCGAGCGTAAAGTTGAAAAAGAAATAAAATATTATACACTAACTATATTCAATAGTAGCAAATGTTTCTATGAATTTACTTGTAAATGAACTAGAATATTTAATTTTAGCTATTTTTAATACTCATAAATTATCAGCAGAAGGACAATTGATAATAATATCAAATATAAAAATGTTTATTATTATTTTGTTGAGGGAACATAAGAAGCACTCTTTGACCTGCTGAGATAATGAAACTAATAAATAAAGATGTGCATAGTACTTGTAAAAAAGAAAATGACGTTTTTATATAAATAAATATAATGACGAGAAAAGGAAATCAAGAATTTCTTTCATTCTTACACCGTTAATGACGAAACCGTTACTAGTAAAATGTTACTAAAAATGATATAAATTAACTGGTTGTTTTTTTATTTTGAGACACTTTGAAAAAATAATTAATGACCGAAAGTGCTCCTTTACAGAAGATAAATACCGTAGCATCATATGTATACGCGTTAGAGGATTTTTAAAAGCCTAAACTGGTTACAGATTATCAAGCGGAGGTTTCCAGTTCGAGTTTTAAGAAGGCGTACATATAAAGTTGCACTCTAGTTCTTCGCGACACTGTTGCGTTAGTTCTGATAGTATAAATACTACAGTATTATTTAAAAAAACTAAGCTTTTGTAACGAAAAATGTTTTATTATATTAGCTTTCTAACGTTTACCGGTATTATTGAGCTTAAATATCAATAATAATTGTATAACAAAAATTTTTTTTAATTTATTTATGTGATTATTTTAGTGCTGGCTACTGGTTTATTGAATACAGAAGAATTAAAATATGAGTTGTGGAATATTGATAGTTTACGTGATTGCAAATGTAATTATACCTTGGATCTCAGACCAGTTTGTACAAATCGTAAAACTTCTTACAATGTAACTGAAATGGCAAATTGTATAAAAAAATGTTCGAAACAAAGTAAGTTGATGAAAGATAATTCATTTTTATATCATTGATTTTTATTGCGTAATGGTAAATGAAAGAAGATATATCATTACATTATTTTTTATCAGGTATGCATATTTATAGAATACACACCCGAGATTGTCCTGAAAAATTTGATAAATTTCCAATCTTAGTCGAAAAATGCAATTGTACTTTAACCAATGACTTTAGTCCAATATGTGGAAATGATGGAATTTCATACCCTAATCCCGCTTATTTTAATTGCATCGCAGATTGTAGAAAACCAGGTAGGTAGTAACAAGAAAAAACAATTAGTTGCTTCTCGAATATTTAATATTATGCTTTTACGTTAATCTTGTCCAAAAGATCTAGAACCAATACAATGTGGTTCATGCTCAAAATTCGATGTAACGAAAGCGTATGGAAATATGCAAATAATGCCTGAAGATCGAAAGAGTTTATCTCAAGAAGTTTTGGACACTGCAGCTAAATGTAACTGTGTATCAAGTTATGACTGGGATCCTGTTTGTGGGAATGATGGATTAACTTATCCAAATCCCTCAATAATGAATTGCATTAAAAAATGCACAAGAAAAGGTAAGCAAGTCTAACTAATTTCAATAGAAAGAATAGTTTTGAATTAGTATTAATTTTAACAACATACATTTGTTCTTGGAAGATCTTAAAATTACATCGTGCGGCAGATGCTCAGCACTAGCAACTATACCGCCGATATTATCAAAAAAACAAGCAATTTTCAGGCTATCGGAGAACGTTAAAAAATGCATAGAAAATTGTCCAGTGGCACTGCGCGTGAATCCTGTGTGTGGTAGTGATGGTTACACCTACAACAATTTTTCAGAAATGAAATGTTATAATTCTTGCACGAATAAAAGTAAGTACTGACGCTTCGGCTAATGAAGGCAAAATTACAAATACAACGTCTCATTCAAAAATCATTACGTACGGAACATTTTAACAGATATAAGTATCAAACATTCCGGGCCCTGCAAACAAAAATGCGATTGTCGAGTAACTGATGACATTGACCCAGTTTGTGGAAATAATGATGTGACTTATGTAAACGGTGCCAGTTTATTCTGCGCTAAAAAGTGTGAAAAGTTAGGTAAGTTATTCTAGAAGTTATCGAACTCTTCATCCTGGGAACATCGTTATTAACAATGATGTTTTGCAGATTTACGCGTGATACACTGTGGTTCTTGCATCAAAGACGCAAGTAAAATATTCAAATTGTCAGGCTATATTTCTGAAAAACATGGTTGCATAAATTCTGAAGAATATTCTGCAGTTTGCGCTAATAATAACGTTCTGTACAATAATCCATCTATTTTCTATTGTAGTACGAGATCTAGTAATCCAGGTGAATCCATAACTAATTCAGTAAATATTTATGATATATGTATTCTTTGAAAATTCATTTCAGATTTATTTATAAGACGTTGTGGTCTTTGTAAAAAAAATTATGAGGAAACAAGAGTAAAGAGTTTTGAACCTGATCAAAAAGGCTTAAAATCATTATCAAGTCAATTTCTTAAATGTGATTGTGTGGCAACATCATCGCTTTATCCAGTTTGCGGGAACAATGGCGTTACTTATCCGCACCCTTCTCACTTATATTGTATTAAAGATTGTAAACATAGAGGTAAACTTTATTATTTCTGTTATTCAAATTTTAATGCGTGTTTTAAAAATTACACAGAAATTATCGTAAAAAATTAATAACGACGTGATACATTTTTAAAATAGTCCGGGATCTTCAAGGTTTACAATTAGCTTATTGTGGGCCATGTAGAGAAGGAATGCCGAAAATTAATTATTCAGATAATCAAGTAGAAATATCTGCCGAGTTACTTCGTACTTTTGAAGCCTGTCAATGTAATATTACCAGAGAAAAAAATCCCGTTTGTGCATCGAACAAAATTACATATGATAATCCTTCCATATTTTATTGTACGAAGAAATGCTTAAACTACGGTGAGAAAAAAAACAGCTTACAAGAATGAAGGCATTTCAATAACAAAATATTTCTATAAAATTCGGTAAATGTTATATTTTACAGACATACATATTAGCTATTGTGGTGTTTGCAAACAAACGGTAAATTTAGAGGCTTCTATAGATGAAGAGGAAGATCCGTATAAATGTCAGTGCACTGCCTTAAAAAGCTACGTACCAGTTTGCGGAAGCGATGCAAACAGTTATTCTAATCTGCCAGTATTGGAATGCGCTCAAAAGTGCCTGAATAACAGTAAGTGTATAATATAGTATCACGCAATTGAAACTTCAATGTAGGTAATGCGTTAAGGAAAACGTTTTATTAATTGAATAATTTGTTGGAAGGCATAACATTAGCATACGCGGGTATGTGTGATGATGAAAGAGAACCGAGGACTGGCCTAATTATTCGTGAAAAACGATCCCCTCCAATATCAGTGGGATTTTACCTGCCTTCAGAATGTAAAAGTTGCATTAAAACATATGACAGCTTTTCTCCAGTTTGTGGAACCGATGGGCGAACTTATTCCAGCCTTATTAAATTGGGATGCATTAATAGGTGTATGAAAACGAGTAAGCTCTTTTCCAATTAATTATGAAATTTGAATTTACAACAAGTTAAATATTGAATTAAAATTGTTGTGCTAAAGATATAAAAGTGGCACATAGTGGAGCATGCGCGGGTTCACCAGTTTTAACTCATCCAACACACCTGGTTCCACCTTCATCTATTGGCATTCTTCAGGGCTGTCGTTGTCTTATAAAAAAAGATGGTTCGAAGCCTTTTTGTGGGACCGATGGAAATACTTATTTGAGTGCTTCACACGCAAGCTGCATGAGTGTTTGCAAAGATAAGAGTAATTATTCCTTCATCTTGTATTCTTTCATATATGCGTACATATATATTTTTTTAAACTTTCATAATTCTCTTTCACTGAAATAAAAATACTTTCAGTTATCGTAAAAGATCACGATGGACCATGTTCCAATAATAAAAAGTGTCCTTGCTTGATTACTGGCAAGATCTCTCTGTTATGTGGATCTGATGGAAAAACTTACGCAAACCTTGCAGCATTGGAATGTCATAATCGTTGTGGCATTGCGAGTAAGTTTGAATATTGAAATATCATTTCTATAATACATTTAAATGTAATTGTGAATTTTTAACTGTTTTAGGCGTCGTTAAGGCATATAATGGAGCATGCAAAGGCGATACAAGCATATCCAAAAATAGGGACGATATATTCACTCCCCGATTGCACGACTTTTCCTAATTTATCCTATACACGTTCATACGTGCACATATTATAATATAATTTTTACACAACCTTCAACATTTATTTATCTTTCTCTGTCGTTTTATGCAAATATTTCTTAGCCAATTATACATAACAACTACGAATTACTATACAAACTAAACAGTCGTTAAAAAGCTGGCGAATTTTAAACTGACCTTCGTTTGGAAATATCTTTATTCTAAAATACGCTCTCGAATGAGTAGAATCGTCTATCAAACTATTAAATATTTTTTTTATCAAGTGACTAGATTTTAAGTCGACGAGAAAAATGCGAATCAATAATGATAAATTTTCAACGGCCAAATCGAAGATGGACGGTTTAAATCCCCCGAGATAATAACTTACTCAATTTTACTAGTCTATAGAAAAAGATGAATGAATTTCAAATTACAAAGCTCATGGAAACACATTTACGTAGATTCAGGTTTTGTGGAAAATCCCATTTTCTAATTAGTAGGATGAATATAGATTCAGATATGTACTAGTAAGTATATGTTTAAAAGGGAATCACCAATGGTATAATGTTGATAAAATAAATAAATCTAGGTTGAAAATTAAGCTTCTTTTTCTTTCTGAATCGTTAAATTTGAAATCTGAAGTTTTTCAAAAATGTAATTCGTAACATATTTATTTGCTTTTTATTGTTGACTAGACTATAATAATATATTACTTAAACGGCGGAAATCATTTATCAGGAAATTTACTTTTTTTAGATCTTTGGGTAGCATATTTTGATTTTTACAATGATCTGCAAACGATATGAAATCGAAAGTGCTATAAGTGCAAGTACATATCTGTAAATCTACTTTAATAAATTATGATTTCCTAGAATATTTAACAATATAAAAATTGTAAAATTTAATATATTATTAAAGTTGAGATTCCAACAAAATGAATTATAACACAAATAAATAAAGACGTAATTTGTAAATATGACCTTCATATATATATATATACCTCAATAATCTTATCTAAATTAGTTGTTGATAACTGCGCAAGTAAAGGGTGTTAGAAAGAATAATTTAAAATAAATAATAAAGATTTCTCAGTTTTATTCACATTTATTGCTAAAAAATATATATGTACACTTCTACAACTCGTCATCAATTAATTTATTAAATTTTTAATATCCTGAATTATATTGGCATAATTAATTTGATCAATTATTATACTCCTACTATGGTTCTTATATGCATGCAATAATTACGCTATTTACTATAGGCATATTAAAAAGAAGTTTAGAAAAACTAGATAAATGAAATAACTGTATTGCCGAAAACTTTCACATTAGCGTTTACACGGAAATTAATCAACTTTGAATGAACATAAGTGGTGAGCTAAAGGAATGAAATATTTATATACAGAAAAATCTATGTACATTACTTTTTTACATTTAAGCAAAGATAATTTATGGTATCTAACTAACATTCAAACGATTAGTATAAAAGGAGACAAAATACTATGATGATTGATGCAATTATTTAATAATTCATAAATTTTTGATGATTTATATTAATGTTAATTCCTGGAAATTATTATGGTTTTCAATGTACAATATGATCAAGAATTTGAAATTTACGAATATTATTGGAATGAAAAGCTATTTTAATAATTGCTTTTTCTTTTTAGTGGGCAGTTTAAAGGAATGCAATTAAATCTCAAAATATTTTGAATGTCAATATTGATACGTAACTAAATAAAATAAGTCTCATAACTGTATTATGTTTAACAAAATTTACTGTTGATTTGCGACATAGATAGGTCCAGCTTTCTGTTTTGCGAGATCAGTTGCTTTTTTAGCTGCATCTTTCATTTTTTCAGCTTTGTCTTGTAGAGAATGTTGAAAATCTTCTGCAGCATGTGTTAATCTAATCATAGAAGGTTCTCCAGCCTATAAAAACATATTTCATTATGTCTAATCTTACATTCTGAATTAGTTAAACATTGTAGATAGTACAATGTTCTAAATTAGATAATTAGTTCTTTGAAAAGTAATTAAATTTTCACCTTATCATTAAAACCCATTTGATAAAGGTTTGGATTCATAAATTGTGCAGTTTGTGGAAACATATTAGCAAGTACATAATTGAATCCATTTGACATTTTTACACAGTTCTTTTTGAACCTATCAAGTCCAAAAGCTTGAATAGCTCGACTGAATCCAAACACTGAACTTTCAATCCATGCCGACCTTCTAGCAATAGTCCATTGTGGATTTTCCTCAGATACTCTATATACAACTTTTTCGATAACGCTCTAAAATAAGATCTATGTTAAGCACAAATTTTTAACAGCTAAATGGATAAAAATAATATCATCATACCATGACTTTGGTGAATCCTAAGTTTCTAGTATAAGTTGTAAGAGTCTTTTCTTTAGGATCAACAATACTTTCTTCAATAATCTTAACAGTACCTTTATTGCTAATAAATCTTTCACCCCATTTTGGTACTCGATTAGTCTTAGTTAATAGCCTTGTTGAGTACAATTTGCCATCTTTTATTTCCCTTGAGATAGTATCTTCGCTAAGTACATGTGTGCTGTGCTCAAATTGTAATTCTTAATATATTATCAGTTACAGAGTAATCTTTGTTACATTTTAAAATAGTAGCATTATTTTACCTATTAGGATTTGGGTATCTGCGCCAAAATCCTTGAGCAACTTGATCCCAATTGAATTGAAAAATTGTGCTGCTTTCAAAGTACTTAACCATGTTGTACAGTGAAATTGGTTTTTATTTTTGACCAGATCTTTTATTCAAGATTGGTAAAAATAAATGAAATGTCACAAGATACCATTGAATTATTTTATTTCTTTTTTCAAAATTTTTTTTGTTGACCTAGAAAATAAGAAGTCATAAATAAAACAAAATTTTAATTATTCGATCATTAGTCATTTTTGTAATGTTTTCAATTTTTGTAAAATAATGCATTCATTATTCAGGAGATAATGTTAACTAAATTATATAAGTTGAATTTAGAACACATTTCGCAATTTACGGCATATTATACACACATGCATTCATTAATCGCTAACGATACTTATAACGTTATCTATTAAATAAAAATAAGTACACACATACATACATACATACACATACACACACACACACATCTACGAAGAAGCCATAAACTACCTACTAGCCTAAAATAACTTGGATTATTTTTTTTCAGACTTCTATACACTCGCTTATACTTGATTTCTGTTCTTGAATAATTAATTACATAGCTAGGGATTTAATTGGGTAGATCTTATACATTATAGTGAAGCGATTTGGACAAAAGTATTTATGTCAATAACATTGCGATAACTCACCGATAAATAAGTGGGTTATTATTTTCACAAAATTTCCAGACGCGTGTTTTTGGAGCAAATAAATATAGTAGAATTCGTTGATTTTACTGGTCATACAACTGAGCCATATTATGTTGATAAAAGCGTTCAAAGCAGACGAAACGAGGTATGTAAGAGGAAGGTAGTATGGATGTGTGCATATGCACACACATGAGGCAGCCGTGACGGTCGCCGCTGTCTTTTTCTTCTTCTTCTTCTATTGGTCAAGACTCTTAGAATCATTCTAGAAATCCCAGAAGCATAATTACGTGCGCCATCTGCATTTCTAGCACCTAACCTCACTTTTTGTATTGATCATTTTTTGTATATATATCTTTCATTCGTATTTTTTTATTGAGTTTAACTTTTTCTACTATGTCGGGGTTGTTCGATCAAATTCAACATTTATATGATCAAGCTTTGTATTCTAATGTGATTTCCTTGGTAAGTATATTGACTTGTAAATTATTTAAGAAAGTATTAGAGTAGTTTTGTTTACGTTTTTCAATTTAAATTTTCTTAGTTTTTTCCAACTTAATTTTCAGTATATTAATAAATTAAAAATTGTGTATTATCTACAGGCTAACTTAGTATTATCTCTGAGTGATCACAATAATGATCTTTTGCCAGTAAACACAAAGTTTCTGGTTTATGTTTACTGTGCAGACTCCTACTTTTATCTTGGAAAATACAGAAGGGCAGAGTCTCTTTACAAGAAATCTTTACAATTTCGAAAATGTCTTCTCAAATCCAAGGGGACCATAAAACCAAATCAAGAAGGTCAAAAAGAATTAGCTTCAGATGTAGATTTAAAGTATCAAATTTATGCTTGCCTTGTTAAGTTGAAAAATCCTCAAGAAGCTTTACAAGTGTTACAAAGTATACCTGGAAAACAACGAACACCAAAGGTAATCTAAATTTAGAAGAAACTAAGTGATTTTGAAGAAGTAATCTAATAAATGTTCAATTTATTCGAAAATAAATTGTGTTCACTTTTTTAGATAAATATGGCTCTAGCAAAGATGTTTCAAGAGCAGGGTATGGAGAGATCTGCAATTGCAACGTATAAAGAAGTTCTTAGGGAGTGTCCTTTAGCACTTGAGGCAGCAGAAGGATTGTTGGCTTTGGGAGTAAAAGGCATTGAAGTTAATTCAATAATTATGAGTTGTAATTTGAATCTACAAAGCTTTGACTGGCTAAATACATGGATCAAGTCACATGTTCACATACATAATCGAGAATACAATCATGCAGTGACAACTTTACGGTCTTTGGATAATATAAACTGTTTAAGAGACAACTACAATTTACTTGTGACTATAGGTGAATGTTATTACTATGCAGGCGATTATAAAAATGCTTTAATGTGCTTGAGACGTGCAAGAATTATTGAACCTGACTCAGCTAGAGGGTAAGATTAGATATTTAAGCAACAAATTTTTGCTGTGAAAACAAAGAATATTTATTATCTATTCATTAATTGGTGTGCTTACTTCAGCCTAGATATATATGCAGCTGTACTACAACGAACTCACCATGTGGCAGAATTGGAAAAATTAATACCTTTTATATCTGGAATGAATGAGTATTCAACTGAAGCTTACATTGCGATGTCATATGCTTTGTTTGCTCTGCACAAATTAAGTAGAGCTAACACCATTGCTAACCAAGCAATGCAAATATCATCCAATAATGTGGAAGCAATTATTCTCAGAGGTAACATTCTCATAGAGCAGAAAAAGTATCAAGATGCATTGCATCATTTTCGTCAGGCACTGCAATTAAAACCTCATCGATATGAAGCACATAAAGGATTGGTTGACTGTTTTGTTGGTATGCATCGCCTTAGGGAGGCTTCAAATATAGCTAGTAGTGCTTACAAACAACTTGGACCGGCTCCAAGAGTACTTACGGTAAATAAAGTAATTTTTTTATTCAATTTTTGATAATGTTAAAATTTTAATATTAAAATACATTGAACATTCTTAGCTATATGCATCAGTATTAATGAAAGATCCAGTAACTGTTGTAAAGGCTAAAAATCTTCTTGAGAAAGCGCTGAGTCAAGAAGAAACGTATTTACCGGCAGTATATTACTTGGCAGAAATTTATGAGCAAGAAATGAATTTTGAGGCAGCCATTGATCTTTTGGAGAAGCAATCTGATGCACAATCAACGTGTAAATTACATCAAATGTTGGGTGATCTTTGGGCGAAAATACATAATGCAGAAAAAGCTCTTGACCATTACGCAATTGCTTTGAAGTACGTGATTTTCAAATTGTTTTATTTGTTTTAAGCATCATACAGAGGTAATCTAAACTTTATAAAATAAATATTTTAATACTGGTTTATGCATTACAGTATAAATCCTGGCGACAGAAGAGTATTAGAAGGTATGCACAGACTCGAAAGTACATCAAACACAATGGATTCTTCGTCCTATTACGTGGCTGTTGGCGATGAGCATACAGATCCCACTTACGAAGTTGGTGAAGGTTTACCAGATACGGACAATGACGAAGCTGCCGACGAAAGTGAAACCGAGGCAGTTTGGTCGGATATGGACTTAGAAGCGAATAGTCAATAATCATAATACATCGTTGATAGTCTATTTTGTAAATTTTTACGTTGTTTATCTGTTTATTTATAGTGTAGATACATAGGACGAACTTTTTTGTTACAGTTGTTAATACAAAATTATAAAAAACATTTTGGTACACTTGCAAATCGTTAATTTCTTTCACTGGTACTAAAATGGATTTTTTGAATTACAGTAATAATTCATTGTAAATAACTTAAATTATAGCGGAAATTCAAATGATTTGCCATAATGTCATGTGCGTATATGAGTTTTTATTTTGGTATTTCACATAAATGAAAATGCCACTCGATCAACGAGTAGTCTTACTTGTACATTACATTGTTTGTTTTATTATCAATGACAATGCAGTATAACTGCTTTTTATTAAAATTTATCCAATTTTTCACGAATTTTTCAACGCTTCGATATTGATTCTAAATTAAATTAAAAAATTTTAATTGCACTTCATTATAATAGGAAGACTGCGCCTCCGTTCTAGAAAATACATCGTTATAAAGTTTCGTTATATAAAAATCTGTTACACATTATTAGAGAATTGCTTCATATAAATGCGAAGCTTTGGGGTTGTTTGTACGAGTAAATACTTCACGGAATTGAATGATTAGAGTAAAAAGTTGCGAATATGAGTTTTTCTTCAGAGATCATCGAAAATTCGATTTGTCCCACTGTAAATTTTAAGAAATCCACTACATCGTATCTAGCAGTATTAATAGTTTGTTAAAAAATCTTAAGTTAACATTACGGTCAAAAACGCCATAAAATAATATCAAAATGTCTATATTGTCTACTAATCTACCATTTTTGTGCTTTGGAACACTGTCTCAGAACATCATCAATTACCTTTGTCATAATTTGATGTTCCTATAGTGCATCGTCACACATAAACGTTTACTAACATATTAGTTATGACATCACGTTAGTTATCGTTTAATAAAAAAAAAACAACAGTTTCGGCTCGAGTACGGAGCCTCCAGCTTGATCGTGAAGCTCAGCTTCGCAACATGCTGGAAACATTGTCATACACACATACAACATACATACTCACAGTCAATAATAATGATTGTTAATCTGTTTGCTTTTTAATGTCCTTCGAAAAAATATTTTGATTATGTGAATTCATTACTCGAATTCGTTTCGAAGGCCTCTACCTGAAATTTTTCGTTGCTCTATTTTTATTCTCTTTTATTTCCTGCTATAATCGTATACTGACTGATTATAAGGCCTTTTTCTATAAGACACAACACTTTTTTTTATTTTTCTTGTAAGAAGGTTTGAGTGGTGGCCTTTCCGAAAACTGAAATTTCCTTACGATGCGAACGAGTTCGTGAAAAGCTTGGTCGACGTTCATGCGTAATTTGGCACTGCATTCAATATACGGAATTCTCAGTTGCCGCGCTAAATTTTGAGCTTCCTCGACAGATACCTGTAATCATCAAAATAACGAAATGCCGTAGCATAAAAATCATCTGTAAATACATTTTTTGGCCGATGATGCGATGCAGTATTACTAATTAGATATTAAAATCATTATAGCGAGCTATCACAAGTGACACCACATTATTTTCTGTATGATTTTATAAAAAGAAAAAAGGAACAATAATTTCCAATAATTTTACAAATAAATAAAGTTAAAAGTATATTTGAGTGTTTTTACCGCTCTCTGATGATCCAGATCAGCTTTGTTGCCGACCATAAGCATAGGAAATTCATCACGATCTTTTACTCGAAGAATTTGCCTATGAAATCTAAAAATCTCGTCGAACGACGAGTGATCCGTTACGGAAAAAACTAACAAAAATCCTTCGCCGCTTCGCATGTATTGTTCTCGCATAGCGCTAAATTCCTCTTGTCCTGCAGTGTCCAAAACTATTTTGTACAAGAACAGATTAATGTTAATTTTACACTTATTTGTTTTTCATACTTACATGTCTAATAAAGTTTGTAAAACTCACTGTCAAGTTTTGCTGGCACATCGTCAATGACACATTGTTTCGTGTACGAGTCTTCGATCGTTGGATCATAGTCGGTAACAAAATAACTCTGTAAGATAAAGATTTTTATTAATTTTTTCTATCGGAGTAAAATTCAACAAAGTGGAAAAAGTCTATGAATAATTTTAATGCATAATAATTGCGTGAATGTGCCCTCAACAGATACATATATGTATACAGATGTAATTTTTTCACACGTGTACGTAATAATTTCTCGTCTTTCATTGAAACTTTCTACAGATATTCTGAGTGACTAATAAAAATTGCTTTTAAGCTGGCCCACGCAACGCCCATACGGATATTGAATTTTACAATATTCTCGCTTTTTTTGACACGTGCGTCCAATAATACATATATAAGTCTTTGGCAATAGTAAGCTTTCGAAAAGAAAAAAAAAACGGGAAAGTAAGCACCAAGTTGCAATCAGTCGAATTTATCGAGGCGTTCTCTCGTGATTTTAACAGTGAGGAATCGTGAAAGCGATGCGGTATAGACAGCAAATATTAGCCTCAAATATATAACGTCAATTAAGGTGTCCTAAAATAATATAGAACGGTAGCGCGGAGCTCAGACCCAGTTATTGCCGCTCGCAGCCGTCGCGCGCGCATAATAGATTATTACGAATCAGAATAGACGCACAATTTTCCTTACAGTCTAGCCCGTAAATACATTCGGCTATACTCAATTAGTTGGCTCCGTTATTAACTTTGGCATTGATCACCTTTTCTCGACTCTCAAAGTTTTTACACGCTAAAAGCTTCGAACCGTTGTTACTATACCTGAAACATCGATCGACCTACTGAGCAGGCAGCGCCGAGATTCCGTATTTTAAGAACGACAAGCTTATTTAGAGAAAGCAGTTCAAGTTTACAAAGCGACGCCTCAATATTATTTATGAAGATGCGTGTCACAATGGCATCACAAACTTGAACTCGAAAATGTGAAGCAGTTTTGTTACCACATGCGCGGGATTGTACTGTTTACGTATGGCATCAATTTAGTACACTTATAAACTCGATCCTGCTAATAAAAATGCATGTAGCATCATCGATGATTTAAAAATACCGATTACGATTCGTTTATAAATTTGCTTTAAAATTTCGGAACAGCTTCAAAATAACTCGTCTAACCGAGTCTAAGCGAATTTTAAGCCACGCCTGGCCATCTAATAAAGTAAATTCTATTGGAAATTTTAAAGTTTGATATTCGAATAGATGTGCAGTGCATTCGGCGCATCGGCTGCTTTGCGTTGATTGGACATGACTCTTTACAAAAAAATTGACAAGCTTTCTCAATCGCCTGAGTCATATAAATAGAATTTCTTGAGCAACAAGTGCACAGCACGCATGTATGATAGCTCATATTGTTTACAAATCGTTTTTTCCAAATTCAACCAATACACAACCATAGATGTTTTATTCATAAGCACTGCGTCAATACAAATGTAAAGACGTACAAAGCGAAAAGAAGAAATTCAAATGGCATGGTAGATAGAAAGACGACAGACGCTTAGAGTCAAAAAAAGGCGTGTCACGGTCACTACACCGTAAGAGGGAACGTAAAAGAAGAGAGAATGTAACAACCTATATATAGAGAGACTTGAGTATGTTGCGCTACAAATAAATCATATAATAATCAGATAATAGTTCACCTGTATGAACTGTATGGTGACGGCTGATTTGCCGACGCCTCCACCTCCGACGACGACAAGCTTGTACGTCGACGAGTAATTCATTCTGTCGTTGTTTGCCCAGTATATATGACGTAACACGATAGCTGATCTTTATTTTCTCAGCAGCAGCAGGAGATGATGACGACGATCAATGAGTCGAGGGATTGGCTTATTAGATCACACTTATATACCGCAAACTGCACTATGTTCGATGAAGACGAGTCAGGACACCGAGGACGCCATTGAGAACACGCGTGGCCGTCGATCGAATATACATCGGCTACTCACGCGTCAAGAAGAACGACGGATACAACGATGACTGACCGGCTGCGAGTGCGGTTACGACGCGACGGCGGCTGCTGCGGTTTCTCGAGTTTTTTCGCCGCGCGCACAGTTTCCTCGCAAGTTTTCCCCCTCCCGCGATAACAGAGTAATGAGAGGCATCGACATATAAGTACTGGCGCGCGCTGTGACTGCCAAGCGCAACGCACCGTTTTGCGGCGGTTGTGCCTGCCTCGTTGCCTTTGCCTGCGTGCACCACTCTCCAGACAAACTTTCAGACACGCTCCTCTCCTCTCTGCGCCCATTTCGCCTTCGCATACTCACGGGCAACAGCTGCGCTGCACGTGTGTTGCATCTGTGTGCCGCACACTTATTCATACGATCATTCGCACCTTGTTTACGTTCAAGTTTTCGGAGGAACTAGTTTTTTATTCTTTTTATTGTCGGGCGAACGTCTTGCTCCTTTGACGTAGCTTGCCACACGATCCTTATCGATCTCTCGATCCTCGAGATGGGCATTTAATTTAAGTTTTTTAGTTTACTGATGTTTGTATTGAGATTTTTAATAAAGATTTTATCTTTAAATGTTAATAATAATTACTCACTATATAAATTAAAAGTAAATAATAAATCAATTCCTATATCGTAATAGAATTAAAATGAGATTAATTCTGCATTACCTATCTTTTTGTAAATATTCTTTGAATGAAAATTTGAATTTCCCGGCATAATATTATCTGAAGTTAGCTCCCGGAAAAGCGCGGGCTATATAGAGCTAGAATTGGAAGCGCTATATAGAGCGCTCAACTCAGAGCGCTCGTAAGTTTGTCAACATGAACTTTGTGTGTATTTTCATCAGCGTGCCGTTAGTTTCTGCTCAATTCAAAAGATAAATTACTAACCGAAAAAAAAAGTGATTTTTTTTCTAAATTACTTTAAGTGTACTATTAATGCAGATTGCACATCTTGCTGTAGCTATATCAGTCTTAAAATACGATGCAAGGTGACGTTGTGGAATATTGTGATGAAGTTGAACCTCGAAGAATGCCTAAACCGGCGACTGCATTTGACGTAATATTGTTTTATATTAAAAAATGAATATTTTTTATTTTTATGATTTATCACTAATTTTTTAAGGTAATTTTTAGTTTCTAAATCATTATATTATTTTTAGTCAAGACCTTTCCCAACGGTTCCAGAGGTGTCTCTAATTTTAGAACAGCAGAAAAAAATGGAAAGGTCTACAGAAAATAACACGCTTCAAGTCACATCCAGTATTACTCATGATGCTGCTTACAAAGCAAGTGAATCTTATACAGCATGGAAAGAGAAACAATTTCCTCAAAGATCAACTATATCACCCAATCGTTCGCATCAAATTTATTCATCTACTCACAATGCCAGTGCCTTGCAAGATCCTCAAAACTATAAGAATTTTCCAAAATCCCACAATCAGCTAGATAACAGAGATTATAATACTAAATATCAAAGTTTGGAATATGACTTTCCAAGGACACATCAAGTACCAAGAGTTCCATATGATTCTTCAACAAGAGAATATAATGCTTTAAAAGGCTTAAGAAATGAGTCACCTAATAGGTATAATATTCAAAAAAACCATGAACATTTTTCAGATAGTAATAGATATACTTCAAATCATTCATCTAACCATCATGAACTTAATTATCATAATACTGATAGCCATATTAATAGAAACTGTGTACCAAGATATAATGTTGAAGATGGAAGAATTAGTCCTATTGTGGAACATCTGCCACATCGTCTATATGAAACAGGCTTTGAGGCTTGCAACATGAAACAAAGACCAAGAATCTACAGATCAGCTTCTTTTTCAAATACTGATAATTATACTCATAGACACATGCCATTAGAGCATGACTACGATTTAAAACATTCAAAATCTTTGGAGCCATATCATTACAATTCTCAACATTCTTGTTCTCATTCTCATTCAGGATGTTGTTCAGGAAATCACAATAATACTAATATAGAAACAGAAACTGTGAAGAATCTGTTACAAGTGATTACCAGTCAAAATGAACAAATAAAAAACTTACAGAAACAAGTAGAACGTCTTTTGAAATTACATGAACAAACTTTGAAAGAGAGAAAACAATGTACATGTCAACCAAATGGGATTGCACATCCTAATATTCAGTTGTATGATCAATCACAACCTGCAAATGGATCCATTGTACATAATAATTTTGTGAAAGATAATGAAAAATGTTTTCCTGATTTAAAGCTACAAGATGACAAAAATAAGAAAACTATTTTGGAACAAAAGGTATCTATTGGAGTCATGACAAGTTTTGAATTAAAGGTTCAAAATAATCCATCTTCAAATGCAGACAATCAAAATCAATCAAAGCAAAAGAGTAGTCAAGACAAAGTAGTTTCAAGTTTAGATCATACCTCTAATATTCTCAAGACTCTTGTTAATGATACTGGAGAAATGATTAGAAAGAAAAAATCAAATTATTATAATCCAACTGCACTTGAAAATATTAGTGAAGGTTCAGAAAGCCATATGTCATCTTTTCGACAAAGCCATTTGTGTTCAGATACTACAAAACAATCAACTGAAGCTCAAGACTCTACCAAAATTCCATATACTGAGTCTCATAATGAAAATTCCAAACAAAATGAAATCATAGAATTGCATTCAGAATCCAGACAAAACTTGAATAGGTTCAGTAATAGCAATCATAGAAATTTAGATAATTTAGATTATGGAATTGAAGAATCCACTTATAGGGATACTAATGAAATTATAAACGAAGCTGCAAATAGATACAATTTTCAGTATGATGAAATAAGAAGTTCACCTCAGGAAGCTTTGAAAGAGAAACAGTGTAACCAATTTAGATCAGATGAGCCTTTAGTAAGAGATATCAAGAAAATGAAAAATACCAAATGTGATAATTTAGCAGATGAATGTTTGAGTTTAAGTAGTAGTGATCTGGATGTGGAGGACTTGAGTCCACCAAGTCCTGAACCAAGCATTCACTTAGATATGCAAGAATTTTCAGATGAAGGTGGAAGTTTGCCACCTCAACAAGCTCCTAAACCAGGCTGGACTTTGTATAACAATGTGCTTGATCAAGTAAATCAAATCTTGCAAAACTCGCCTTTAAATGACGATATAGATAACGAATCGAATGATGGTATCAAAAATAATAAGAAAAGGGAGTATGACAATAACGTAATCATGGATACTGTTAAGGCAGCTACTCTAGAACAACTGACAAAACTTGGGATCAGTTTTTCGGATAATGTGGATCAAAGAGAACCGGCCTACAACAAAAAGTAAATTTATATTTTTTCAGATTCGTATTTTTTTATATATAATTTATTTATAATGTTTAATTACAGGGTAGTCTTTGATGCATCATCTTATCAAAGACAAGGCCCTGAAACTCACTTTGCTACAGCAAGTGCCAGCATTGAAACCAATACGAGTATGCACATGAAAGCTTTAGCTATGAAATATTTTAATGATGAGCAATTAGCAGACTTCCAAAAGTCACGATCCGGTACGATGAAGCATAGTTCCAGTGGAATGCAAAACACAAACATGTCTTTTGCAACGATGCACTATTTGCAGCGGTACCATTTACTTCCTGGTACTAATTCTAGTCCTAAGAAAGGTAAAATCATAACGTTATTTTGATTTATTCAATTAAAAATAACTTAAATGAAACAAATTGTAATAAACACGATTTTTTAGAAATTCCAAGAGAACATTATCGAGTGTCAAGCCCAGGTATGAACGAACGAATAGTAAGACAAACCGCTGAAAGAAGAGAACCGAGTCCTCATAGATATGGCCCGTTTACGGGAACATCAAAAGTCAGTTATCCTAGTAAAATTTTAGATATATCAACTTTGAAGCAACAGCCGAAGCTTTTGTAAAATAATGTTTTTTATTACGTTTATGAGATTTGTATCTAGATGATTTAAATATTGTTCATCGTGCCTTAATCGACAGTTTTATACTTTTGTACAATGTAGAATTTAAGATCTTGAAAAAATAAAATTGATGATAACGTTATAGTAAATATAAATTAATTTTTTGATTTCGTTCCTCCAACATTTCTTCACCAAACGAATAGTTGCAGGGAATGACTAAATAGGACGATTGGCTCGCATCGCTTTAATTTTACATTAATTCAATTTATTTTTCATTAATTGATACATACACAGGTCAATTGTTTCTACACAAGTAACAATAATACATTGATATTTGTCATATACACTATTTGATATATGAGCGTATGGAGGCGCGCGTGCACATGAAGCTGCACATATATACATAAGCCTGTGCACGTACGCGTATATACATACGCACGCATACTCATTCAAACAAAGTGTTTGTGATTTTGTTTGCATGCTCACTATACGCATTGATCTAATGTTCCATCGGGCGTGCGTTTAATAGCTCTCCACTGTGTGTGACTATGCACATACAATGCATAGAGAGGGCTTGTCCAAAAGAAAAATGACTACAACGTATAATAAAATGTATTCGTAACTTTTTAGACAAATTAATTAATAAAAATAATTGTAACAAACAATTAAATTAAATAGCTTAAACTATCGGCAAATTCATAGTTCAATGTATCCGCGCTATACATCTTCTAAATTTCTTCTCTTTATCTTGTTTAGGTGTATATAATATTTATCTAGAGCGCAACGTCAACGATGAGCAGCCTAGTAACGAGCTTTAACATGACATATGAAAATGATTTTTTCGACACTCCGGGCGCAAAGTGCGTCTTTTCCGCACGCTCGGGAGAAAACGTGCGTTGAAAATCGCACTTTTCACACGTCGCATCAAAAAATACGGTACGACACACGTTCGGGAAAGCGTTTCTCGTCTCGTGTGCCTTTCCACCTTCGTTTCGCTCGGGAGTAAACGCCAAACGAGACAAGAATCTGCTTTCCCGCACTTGTATCGTAATGTACTGTTGATTTCACTGACTTACAATAATTCATTAAAATCTATTTCACAATTATAACAAGTTGAAAAGCGCGAAGTGACTCCAAAAAATGAATTTCACATAATAATATTGAATAGCAAGAATGTGAGCTTTTTTCGGCAAGTTCCAAAGTATTGACTAGACGTTTGGAAGAATTGGAAAAAAAATTTATAAAAAGTCACTTAAGCCTGCGCGCATCGTTCGAATAAGTCGTATAGTTCGTTGTGTTTATATATTAGTTATATATCTTTTTTTTTTGCGTTAAACATCTTTTGTCTCTTGTAATTGTACATATCACACCACATGACAAATATGCTTGTTTGTCTAACGAGTAAATAAAGTTTTAGCAACGGCATTCGCCGTGAAAAGTAGTGGCATCGATGGAAGACAAGGATTTGTGAAAAATGCTCGTTTCCACCGCGATCTCCCTTTGCCCGCTCCCTTTGTAGCACATCTCAAAATATATGTCGGGGCGCGCGCCCCAACTGCTTTGTCACATTTACATTGCCAACAGTGCACGTACGGAAATAGTTCGAACCGTTATTGCAGCGATCAAGCATTTTTCTCAGTAACTTGTTATTCTTTTGCGCGCGATCTCTTGGAAGATCCTTACGTGTACTAGATATGCATGTGTATACATGATAATATATACATGTGCTTGTACATGTATTTGAGTTACTTTAGTGAAAATATTTATTTACCACGAAGCGAAAGCGAAAACAAAAGGTTGCACGAACTTTGGTCCAACTGCAAAATAAACTTTGAAATCGATAACAACGAAAACTAAGCGTAGCCTGACGCTTACGTATTCAAGCGCAACTAAAAGTTTGCACAGTTTGCGGCGAAGGGTTCTTTTGGCCCACGAAACGAAAACAGAACGCAAACAAATGTTTTCACCAAAGCATGAAATCTTATATCGTTGATAAAGAATTCACGCGTGTTTAACTTGAATCCACAAGTTTGGTTTTGCCTACGATATATCCGTCCGACTTGTATTATTAATAACGATTAAAGTGCTTTGTCTTCTATATTTGATTCTTTAATAATATATCTGTAGTTATGTATATATGTATATTGTTATTCGTTACAAGGACTATTTATTGAATCATTTTAAAAGGCCCTATGATGATACGTTCGTAACTATATTTTGAACACCTTCAGATCTAGAGTACAAATACTAGTCTTCTAAGGCTAGTAAGTATGCTTGCTTGACGCAAAGTGATATATACTACGTATTTTGCTCAGCAATAATTGTTTATATTTTCCTTTCTTTATTTTTATTGTCAGCGTGCCTACGTCGTTTCTTTTCTTTTCTTTTTTTTCTTTTTTTTTTCGCGCTTCTGTCACTCCCTCGTTATCGTTATCGCTTGACACGAATTAGCGTTGCTCGACAAGCAGTGTCGCCGCGTCGATTGTCAATAATTGCAATTGACGCCAATCACCAATAAACATCTGTTTCATATAGTTTTGTACCACACGTTTGAAATGCAACTCTACTTGGTAATATCTGGCTTGAATCTACTTGAATGAACAGCTAGCTTGTTCATCAATTTGTGTGCGTGTATATGTGCTCATTTAAATTTTAAATGCTCATCTTTGTATATATCGTAGAGTAGGTCCGATCGACTGATCGTTAAGATATAATTTGTTCTCTATTAAAAATTATCGAATGTAAAAGTATAATTTGTAAATGGAAGACAGTGATTCTCTCTTTTTTTTCCCGCAACTTGATTATGTTTCAGTTTTAGTGTAGACATATAGTTTCCTATAATTTTTTCTGGTCATTGTTTTCTTTTTATATATTTATAATAATATAGGTAAGTTGCATAGATTTGTTCTCTGCTTTGTTTTGTCTCTTGGTCTACAAGCTATAGCTAGCAACGCGAAACTCAAGAGGAAAGTTCTGCGCACGTAATGAGACTGCAACTAAACTGTACGAAAATAAGAATTTATTGTCAAAAATTTGAGCGATTCGGATTGTTTGTTCTCTTGATAAATCATTCGAAAAATGTCTCAATGTAAATATATCTATTTAGAAATGTATATAAAAAACTTTGCTTTCGTCCCCTATGTAACAAGAGTCGGATACGTTTTGGAGAAACGAAGGTTATTATATACGTATATATAATACATCAATGGCGATACAGAGTCACAGTGGTTGATTTGCCCCTCTATCCTGGTTGCTGCTTAGAATCCAATAAATAACGATTAATTTGACGATAGACCTAATTCCGGCGTAATTATCGCTCGACGATATGTTTCATTGTGTATATTTATATCTATAATATATGAATGTTTGTTGTTTTGATTTGTCGATCGGTGGATCGCCTGAATCGAGGATGTGCACGCGCAAGGTTGTCGATGTCTGTTGTCCTCATGTTGCAGCTAAGACAATTGGAGTGGTTGGCAAGCCTCGGCCAACGACCACGAACAAACACTTCTGCGAGCAGCTTACGGCGAGACGGACTATAGGGGCGTCAGTTCCACGCCCGAGTGGCCCATCTTTTCTCGCAGCTCGGTCACGCTGTCCTCTATCCGGATCAGCGTCTTGAATTTCTGCGCGCGCCGCAACAGTCGGATTAGTCGCTGATATCGCACGGCCGCTCGACCTTCGGGAGCGCGTGCGCGCTACTCACCGTCTTGTTGTCGCCCGGGGTCTTCATCCAGATGTAAATCATGTAGCCGGGTATGCAGAGCATCGAGGACAGCGCCGTTATCCAGCCGAGCACGTGAGACCACCAGGGGTACTCGTAGTCCAGGTACTTGATCGGCGTCCACTGCACCAAGTTGAAGAAGAAGACTCCCTGTCGGGGCGAGGCAAGCTCGTCAGACCGGCCGCAGAGACAGACGCGCCGAAAGCGCAGCGAAACTCACAATGCATATCGACGGGGTGGCGATCACCCAGCAGAACTTCCACCAGATTATCGGATAGTAGCCGATCATTTCCTTGATCGCGTCGTAGAAGCGATTCACGCCGAAGCACCAGCTGATGGAGATGCACTCGAAAAAGATGAGGAAGAGCAGGCAGAATCCGGAGACGGCGTAGGAATCGAGGATTTGGAAGACGTACATGCCGCCCTCGGATATGCACGACATGCCCACCAGGTAGGAAAGCAGGCACACGATCGCGATGAATATCTCCTTGCGTCGACGCAGCAGCTTGGGCCACTCGTCGACCTGCCGGCCCGGCGCTCGATCATTGACGCCCGACGGCTCCTCGCGCTCTCGCCCACACCAACTCCCGTCAACTCACCATAGCCGTGATGAAGCCCTCCATGGTGCAGAACTGCGAATCCAGGCCGATGAGCAGCAGCATGAAGAAGAAGAGGCAGGACCAGACCGGAGCGCCGGGCAGCTGCAGCACCGCCGAGGGGTACGCGAGGAAGGCCAAGCCGGGGCCCGAGGCGGCCACCTCGGCCACGGGCTTCTGCTGCTCGTGGGCCATGTAGCCAACCACCGAGAAGATCACGAAGCCCGCGAACATCGAGGTCGACGAGTTGACCGAGCAGACGATCAGCGCGTCCTTGTACACGTTGTTGCTGAACTTGTTGTAGCTGCCCAGAGCGACCAGCGTGCCAAGGCCCAGGCCGTACGAGAAGAAGATCTGCGTCACCGCGTCTATCCATACCTGCGGTCACGCTCGCGTTTTAATTTGCCCCGCAATACTGCCCATCATTCGCAGCGGCTTACCTCGGACTCTCGAAGCTTCGAGAGGTTGGGGCTGACGTAGAAGCGGATGCCCTCCATGGCCCCGGGCAGTGTGATGCCTCTGATCAGCAGCACCGTCAGCAGCACGTACGGAAAGAGCGAGGTGAAGTAGACCACTTTGCCGGTCCACTTTACTCCCTTCCAGATGCAGAAGTAACACATTATCCAGACGAGCAGCAGGGTGCCGGCCAGCTCCCATCTTATGTTGCCCACCCACTCGACGCCTGGGCTGATCTGCAGGGCCCTTCGCCTGTAACGTCGCGTTTTCGCTTTTCATTGTCCACCGCATCGACCGCAGACTGCTACATTACAGCGCTACATACTCCCAGAACTCCTTGACGGGATCGGTGAGCTCGGTGGCGCTGATGTTGACGTGATTGAAAGTGCACATCTTGACGATCGTGTTGTTCACGCCAAACTTGTTGAAGCAATGTAGATTCTTCCGCTCGTACGGGTTGACACAGTTCTTCGTGTTCCAGTAATTGTGGCAGCTGCCCCAGGGTAGTTCTACCCGAAAAAAAACAGAGGCGTGAATGAAGAAAAAAAGCGCGGCCTTCACCGATTATCTCTCTCTCTCTCTCTCTCTCTCTCTCTCTCTCTCTCTCTCTCTCTCTCTCTCTCTCGTGCACGCGCGCACGCGCGCGACAAATGAGAAAGAGATGAACAATATGTACGTGTTAATATGAAAGACAAAAAAAGAAGCTCGAGGCGTACACGTCAAATATTACTCACCGCTGCGCATAGACATGAAGAAGTAAAAGATGGCCCAGGCGAGGATGACGATGTAGTAGACGTTCATCCAGCACGACATGACGGCGGCCGCGTAGCCGATGCCCTTGAATAGGGGTGCGATCTTGAAGACCCCGAGGCCGCCTATCGTTAACATTTGGCCGAGCGCCAGCTCCATGAAGAACATGGGAATGCCCGCGAGGAAGAGCGTGATGAAGTAAGGGATCAGGAAGGCACCGCCTCCATTCTTATAGCACAGGTACGGAAATCGCCACACATTGCCCAGGCCGATCGCCAGACCCACCTATCGCACGTAATTCATTGCTTTCACACTCGCACTAACACCTCGTCGACGTTGAAGGCGCTTTCGCTAGCATTGCGTGCGCGTATTGCTGTGCTAATGACTTCGACTGAAGTTTGCGTTCGAAGCGCTCGATTCACCAGATGCACACGCCAATTCAATTATTTTGGATTTTCAGTAGAATAGCAAAATTTCAGTCGGACATCGTTATCTGCTGATTTTCGCGCGAGATGAAACACGATCGCGGTAACGAAACGCAACCTCGCCGATAAGACGAATAAATAAAGCAGAAAAGTTAGTGTTGGACTCGCGATATCGTAGAACGATAGCGCGTTCCTATAGAGCAGAGTGATATACAGGCAGCATGCAAGCTATTAATAATACAAGTGTCGTTGGGCGCGCGATGCCATTAATTATTGCTTGCATTCTGCTCGTGCGTATCATACCGCGTCTCGTATGAAAGCGGCAGCGCTAGCCGCCGACCCCCGATTCTTCCCCCAAAATTCTTCCCCCGATCGCCATCGTGATGCGTCAAAACACGTTTGAGCATCTTTCCGTCCGCCCCGCGCGGTCGTATCTCGGATTCCTCATCGATTTTTTGCTTACCCTGCCGGCGAATCGAATACACTGATCATACCCTCTCTTGTCTCCCCGCTACAGTGACACTCCAAGTGACATTACTTTGTACGCGGCAATCAGGGAGCCTCGAGAGCAAACAACTTGGTCAATTTATCAGAGGCTCGTGCCATTGGCATGCCGCTGGGCTGTTGTGATAGATGCATACGGAAATGAACGAGGAAAAAAAAGACGAAGAGATTCGGTTGCGCGCGAGGGAGGAATGAGACCTTTATAAATGGCCAGGCATATGGAACCGAGCAGATCGCTAAATCAAATCGCTATTTACTTGAAGTTTGAATTGCCTGCCCGAGTTTATCGTGGTCGTCCGCAAGCTTTCGAAAGAAATGGCGAGCGACTGTTCCCCGGCAAAGTTTCGTAGCGAATAGCGACGAGGCACTTCCATTGTAATGGAATTATTGCGCATTAATCTCGCCGGCGATTCAGTGGCTGGCAGTCTTTTGGCAGGCGGCATTGCGCGAAAAAATGTCCACCGTTCAATCTCTTATTCGCAAGATGAGCAACAAGCGTTCCATCAGCGGTAGGCAAATCGATTGGCAGGAGTCCAAGAATAATTTGACCTACAGGAAAGCAACGCGTAAAGAAAACGAATGGAGACTCACCACGCTGAGAATGAAGTCGAGCTTGGAGGACCAGCTACCTCGGTCAGGTAAATCCTTTTTAGATTTGCCGCTGGCGTTGAGGGCCTTTGCCCCGTCGCCGCTCTCCGGATCTAGCATCTCCGTCTGATCCTTGCCGCTCGTCTCCGCCATATTTGCCGCCGCTTGTCAAAGTCGAGGGTGAGCCCCTTGGTTCTGAATTCAGTCTAGCCTACTGTCGTTCTGCGCAGTGTGGCTGGCTCATAACAACGTGTTCTGTCACATATCAATAATTAGCTTTCGCATTATCCGCTATTCTCCAAAATGTCTGATATGGAAAAATATGATTCATTTTTCGTAATACAGTTGAGCTCAATTCGACGTTTATTTAAACGTAATCTTCTTTTATGATTTTCTAAAGAAAGGCACGATGCGGGTAATAAAATATCTAATGATTGAACTTTCAATAAAGTACATCCAAGCAATGCGCCCATTTCCGATTACTCTTTTATATTACCCACGTGAATCCGCAAACTTTCCATTCAGTTCGTTCTACTTTTCACTCAACCAAACGTGCTTTAAGCTCTTTTACATTCGAAACTTTTGGGATAAATTGTTTTTGCGAAGGTTATCATCCCGCGTATTTCAGAAACTTGGTTAACTAAAAGCCCGTTTCAAATTTACCAATCATTTTAACAGTTAACTCGGAGAAAAGTAGCATTTAACAAAATCATTATAAAATCCTCAGGTTGTTAACATTTTTGCATGAACTTTTGTCGAACGCTAAAAGCAACTACCGAGTTATCAATTTTTTCTTTAATCGCGATGCTCGCCCGTCCGTAAAAAATGGTATACCAAAATTGCCATTTCATTGAACGCGTGCGGAAACAAGCTGGGCAGATTGTTTTTACCGCTGGCACAATGAATTTCACATTTGGATGAAAATACAAGTGAAGCCGTGATATGTAATATTGTGATTGTTTTTCACGCAAACACATCGCGTGAAGCAGCACTTAATGCGCTTAACCTAATTTCGCCGAAAAGCGATGATGGGGTCGTAACTCTCACTCCCGCACGATGTACGTCAAGTCACGACACATTTCAAATGCAAATTTCAGCGTCATCGGGAGCAAATTTTAGATTGCCCTTCATAGGTAAAATCCTTCATTCGCCATGGTGGAATAAGCAATGGACTTTTAGCTTTCATAGTGGAAAGTGGAAAAAACTGGTGGAATGAAATCTTTCTTTGATAATGTAACTTAAAAAAAGCTGCGATTAGTGATTATAGCAAAGCCGCGACTGTTAGTCCAACTGATATCCGAAATGGAATTAATCAATGGCAGTTCTGTTATCGGAGATATTTCAATGCGGAATCTCGGGGTTGTAGATATACACATATTGAATGGATAAATGTATTGGGATTCCGAAATGAAACATCCCCGATAGCAGCGAGCTGATCACTTGTAATATCGAAACGGAACTCCGATGGACTATTTCCTATGAGACTCGCTCAACCGATGCGCTGAATTATTTCTAATTATCTATAACGTTAATTAAATTCAAATCCGATCGGGAATAATGTTAGTTCGTGCAATTAGACTACGCTACGTTGAAAGAAGAATAATGAGAGAAAATGCGGATATCAATTTGAATCTGCGATTGGTGGAGAGTTTAATATCTCTCATTCGGGATTATGAAAAAAATTAATGCTCGAGGTCCGTAAGGCAATTGTAAGAAAAAAAAATCGATGCGAGTACGCTCCCCAAGCGCTCAAGCCAGTCACGCGCGAAATGAGCAAACGCAAAGCGCGATTCTTTGAATATTAAAAAACTTATAGTCATCAAAATACTCGAATTTTTCTATTAATCGGAGTGTGCGCGCGCGCATATGTGTGTGGGTCAGCGGCTATAAGCCCGACAGCAGCGCCCGACAATCTTGCATTAATTTTGGATCATACAAAAACAATCACTAAAGTTTGCTCGTTGTTACAATTATTCCTGGCTTTAATATGACAGGTGCAAAGATGGTTGGCAAGCTGTAAAAATTATCTTTATTGGAGGGAGAAAAGTCAATAAATTTTCACAATCAATTACACTGTAATAGAAAAAAATATATCGTAAACTATTGGATTTCCAGACGACGAGGCAAACCAATTGCGATTAAAAAATAATAGCTGTTTGAAGTTTCGATAAGAGTAAAATACGGAATATAGCACTTTACAAACATTTATTTTTTCTCTTTTGCGTGCTCGTGGCAGAGAGAAATTTCTCTCTTCAGGAGAGAGAAATTCTGGGATCTCAATTTCCCGAGTATCTCGGGCGGGGAAAAAAGAAAGCGGATAACGCCCGAATGAACGCGAAAAATGTGCATGCCCGAATAATATCAGAGCGAGCGCTGCGCGAGACACACGCCCTCCCCAAATCCCGTGGGCTCAAAGGTGTCGTGCGCGCACGCGTGGGCCAATTTTACGTATATACAGTGTCGAGCGAGCGTGAATCTCTTCCTGTTGGGTAGGATGTCTTGGCTTGCGAAAAAAAGGACACGGAAAAGCTGTGGCGCTCTAGTTTCAGGGCTCGGAAGACAAAGAAAATTTGTGGCACGCGTTTTCTGGGGCGTCATAATCGATCTAGTCTGAGCGAGAGTGAGAGAGAGAGAGAGAGAGAGAGAGAGAGAGAGAGAGAGAGAGAGTGAGCGTCCAACCGATACCCCTCTTTAATTGGAACGGTCGCAGCTCCAATCGGTCGACCTCTTTTTCTTTTTCTCTCTCTCTCTCTCGCTCGTAGCTTTTTTTGCTCTCTCTTTCTTTTTCTTCTTCCTCTCTCAGCAGCTGTAACACACATGGGGTAGCTGAGTAGCACTTATGGGTAGGTGGGGGGAGGTGCGCGCACGACGTAATCCCTACCACCAGTCGATAAACAATCACCTAAGCTAGAGAGAGAGAGAGAGAGAGAGAGAGAGAGAGAGAGAGAAACATGTGTGCGTGCCTACCACACATAGCATCTCTTTCTCTAACTTGCTTTCTCTGATCTACTGCAAATGTACTGTTTCAAGAAATTATTACGCAGCAAAGTAGGGAGGGAGGTAAGAGAAAAGGATTACGGTCGTACTGACGGGATTATTGAAATTCCATGTTGCCCGATTCTGAGTCGTTATCTCGCAAAAAAAGAAAAAAAACAAAGAAAAGACCAAAAGAACATGATGAAAGCTACTCTTGGAGCATAGTCAGAGTTCGTAAAAGTCCCTATTGTGCAGTCAGCAGTTGGTCCTCAAAGCTACATCTCTTAGCGCTTTGTTTTGCCTCGTCTATTATCTTCCTTTGGCAGAGAGCAGAGCATCGTTTTGTCACGTCTTTCTCAAGAGATTAAGACACCATTTCTCATCGATCTATACTCTTTTTTTTATTTTGTCGAAAAGACGAAAAAGAAGTGAAACTTGCACGCGCGCATTCAAACTGGAACGAAGTCGCGCGCACGACGCGGAGAAAAAGCTGCGAGCAAAAAAAAAGGTTGTTAGATAGGACGATAGCCGCGCTAATATGCATGTCCGGCAGAGACAGGGGTCCCGTGTAATAAATACAGCGTGCTCCTGAGCTTGGCTCCCTCTTCCTCTTCCACGCTCATAAAAAACAGCTATATTCTAATTAATCGAGGCCGAGAGAGCGAGCGAGCGAAATCAAGCTTGCAAGCTCTCTAGTCTATGTGGGTCCAATTTGCCGCTCGTCGTCGACGTCTCTCTCTCTCTCTCTCTCTCTCTCTCTTTCTCTCTCTCTCTCTCGGTGAGCGCGTAGGCGCGCAGACGCGCACGGGAGCGACCTACCGAAAAGTGGCCTAGTCCTGCTGCTGCCTCCCTTGATTCCGTCCCGCGCGAGCCATTGTTTACCTGAGGTTGCGAACGCTTCAATTGTTCCGCGTTGCCGAGATTGCAAGTCGCCGGGCGCGCAGCGACAAGCGAAAAGTGCGCTAGTCGAGGGATAAACGGGAATTGAATGCTATACGCACCTTTGAAATTGGAGCCGACGCGGAGTGAGGCTGGGGTCCTGAACAGGCGACGGCAGCAGCAGCACTGCTCGCGAAAGCTCTTGCGCCGAGCGCCGCCTCTCTCTCCCCCCTGCTATTGCGCGGGGATAGCTGCGTGTCCCTCGGGATCTCTCTCTCTCTCTCTCTCTCTCTCTCTCTGTCTCGCTCTCTCTAGCTAGGTGTGTTCAAACGGGGCGCCACCCAAACCCTCACTAGCGAACTGCTCTTCTCTCCTCTTTCTGCGTCTCTCTGGTTGGGAGCGTTGCGAGATGGGTGAGCGAGCGGACGAGTCCTGGTGCCGACGTTGTCGTTATCCACGATGCGGAGTCGCGCACAGCTCGCGGCCGACTGATCTGCACTCGCACTCCTGCCGCGCGCGCGGACCCGCACTGATCTGCAGTCGAGCGGCCGAGCGACGAGTCTGCGAGCCATAGGCAGCGGCGGCAGCGGCGGCAGCGAGCCCGGCCTAGCTCTCTCGGGCAGTATATCATCATCAGCCGCAGCCGCTCCAGAATCCCACTGAAGACGACTGCTGTGCGCTATCTGCCGCCGCTGCGCGATGTGTGTCACGCGTGGAAAAAAGAGCGCGCGCGCGACGAGTCCTCGCGCGAATCTTTGGACTAATTGCCGCCGAACTACGGAACTTCCTATATCCGGAGGGGGTCCGTCTACACACGTGACACCGATACGACCCCAAGCATCCGCTCCGACGTGTGTGCAGAGCCCGCCTGTTCCTGAGCCTCCAACTGGGCTACACTTATTTCGTCTCACGACACAACTTGCGCAAGTGTTCTCGAGGTACGCCGCGCGGGCCCTGCTTCTGGCCTGCGCGTGCTAATTCGCGTTTTTCGTCCGCCTTGCCGGCAACTACGGGGAAAAGCGTCCCTTTTGCGCCTCGCGATGCGGCGGCCTCGGCGGAAAAGTTCGGCCAGCGATGAACTGGTGAACTGGCGAGTTGGCGAGTTCTGCGTGAGTCGCCAGTTGCACTTCCGAGCACACTCTTTCCGGCGAGCAGTTTCTCGAGGCGCTAACAAGTGCAGACTTGTTGCTGCCTTGTGCAAGTCTGCTGCGCGTTCGCTGGCTGGATTATTTTATTAACGCCCGAGAGCGACAGACAATTAATTTGCCAATAACAAAGTTTTCCCACTAAACTTGTTCTCCGACAATGGCGGCTCAACGAACATTCTATTCAAGTTTAATTGGGTTATTATATGCCTACTGCTGCTCGAGCCGAGATATGAAACAGGCGTTGCAGCTCAGCGTCAACAATGTATTCGCGAGTACGGCTGACGATTACTTTTGCAGCGTTGTCCCCATCGACATTTGACAAACAAAGCTTAGCTCAAATTTAATTAGGTAATAGGATTGCATCCGTCGCTCGAGTGATACGATTGACGAAATAGATTATGACATCCAAAAACAATTACTATGTTTAAAAAGATTTGGCAGAGTTTCTTGAGTGAAACTATTGTGACTGAAATGCGACAGAGGCGTAGTAAGATAACTGAATAATCTATTCATTGGATTAATCGTAGGATAAAAGAGACCCTCGAACTTCAAGATCCGCGTCAGAAAAAGTAAGCCGATTACTATTCAACGAATATTAAATAGGACTTTATTGACTATTGTTTTTCAATAAATGCTAATCAATGTCATAAAAATGTAATATAATTTTAGATATCTCGCTCTGCTATTTTGTTAAATGATATTGCTCTCAATATCAATAATTGAGTATCTCTTACAATTACTTGGAGCTCTCTTCCAACAATAAATTTTGATAAAAGTTATTAGAGGTTGCATAAGCGACCCTACTCATCTTGTAATTGGTGACGTATGACATTAATTTCTTTTACACGTTCAAGTTTACCGTTACCTTATTAATAGCTTCGTCTACCGAATTTTCAAAACTATGTCAGTGAGAAATTTCATTGTATTAGCGCGAAATAAAATGGTTGCGCAAACTTGAAATTGAATTAAGCAAAAGTTGCAAATTTCAAAGAATGCAGGACGATCGAAAAAAATTGGCTATATTGTAATACACACGCACGCATACACACCAAGCAGCTATGTAGCGAGGAAAGTGTAAAAAAAATTAAGTTTTACACGATAGATTGTACTATTGCGAATTTACATTGAATCAAAGTTTCGCACTTTTTCAGAGTCAACTGCTCGGCTCGACATTTTGATAAGAAGCGCCGACGAAACTTTGTTTTGCCAAGCTGCGAGCTCGCGCGCGGCAATTCAGTATTCGCAAAAAGTTTTGCATTCAATTCTGTTTGACGAGATTGGTTCTTTCTGTTGAGTTAAAATATTGTGTCTTAAGAAGTTTTCCTTGTACAATCGAGAGAGAGAGAGAGAGAGAGGAGGAGCGCTTCAATATCGAAAGCTTTGTGGAGATTGAAATTCCTTCAAGAGCTTATTAAAAGCTCGTAATTTATTGGCATCTTATTCCTTCATCAAGAAGCATCGAACTATCTCCGATATTCGCAAATCCCCGGCGAGTGAGGTTCATCGGGACGCGTATACATCAACGCAAGCATGAGCGAACTATATCGCAAGCGCGTCTGATCGAACGGAGCTCTATTCCAGAAATAAACTGCCGGCGGCGCGACTTTTTCCCTCTTTCAATAAAGTCCTATCGCTGATTCGCACGTTCGATTGTATTGGAGTGCGCTGGGCGCCGTCAGAGTTTGCCGTTCAGTTATGCACGTAAACGAGTGATCGCGGCTGGCTCTCGTCGGCCCGGTGTGTAGCTCCGTGTGTTTACGCACGTAAAGCGGGTGAAATTGATTGTAACGCTCTTTAGCTGGTCGTCGCCGATAGTCGAATCAATAATGCAGATTACGCTGGCGACAAATCAAATTGATTGCTGGGCTTGCGCGTCAATCGACGATGAAATTACAAGCCAGCTGCTATCACTCCGAAGGCAAAGCAACGATGAGCGAATGAAAAGCGAAGCTTTCCCTGGCCGGGCGTCTGGATCCAGTGGGAGCATCGCGATTGCCACCTTCGATTATTAGCACGCAATGTCGACGATTTGGCCGCACGCTCTCTTCGATTCCAATTGTAAGTGTACGTAGTATCTCCGCCCGATTCCTCCCAGAAAACGGAAGCCGCGATTGCGAATCTGTCAAAGATCTCTCCGGTAACGAGAGACCAGACAATACACCGAGACGTCAGCAATTGACTTGTTTCGCGAGATGATATCATTGTTTTTTCTTATGGAGTACCGAAATCCTTTGAGACTTCAAACTATCAAGTTGTTGGGTACAGTTGATTGGCTGCGCGTCGTCGAACGCGAAGTGCGACTTGGAAATAATATAGACGATATATTCGAGAAGTTTGATGACTAAGCATAATAATTAATTAGCGCGCTCTAATCCTTTAATTTTTGCAATGTTATAATATATGATATTTGTCTGGCGTTCTTTACCGTTAACAAGAGCGCCATTCGTTTCCGTTTGACTGATCCGCGCGTTCGGAAGAAAGAGAAGCGCACTCGGTATAAGTTTTAATCGAGAAGACTCTTTTGTTGCTCGGCTGATCGAACTGCAAGTGAAAAGATCAATAGAGCGTCTGGCGCTGGCAAACAGCGATTTTCAACTCGGCAATTTAAAGTTTCTTCCAACTGTTCCGCTAAGAACGAGCTGTTTTTACGCAGACGAGTTTTTCGCCGCTGGAGCGCGCGCGATTCAATGGAATTAAACAACGCGTTTCCTCAAGCTGGCGCGCAAAAGTTTGGCCCCGTGAAAGGGGGATTAATTAGTATCTAATTTATACAAAGAAGTTTTTAAGCTTGGCAAAGTTTGGCTGCTCACAACTAGCCTCCAAGGCTCGACAGTCCGCGGAGACGTCTTTGATCTTTTATTCTTTTAGCTCGCGAGAAACTTGGTTTGCTCGCGCTTCTTCCGCGCGCCTTACTTGGCAAACTTTGCTACAACTTTGCCTTTCTGCTGTATAACGTTTACGAAGAGCTTTTATACTTCCGCCTGCTCCTACTTATCTGCAGTTGCTGGACTTGGCTTCGGGTTATGTGCGCGCGCATACAGTGTGGGCGAACCGGCTGCCAGATTCTTTACCTGCAACAATCACAAAAATGACATAGTTCAGCGAGAGCCCTTGATCAGCCTTCGCTTACCTTCACGTTACGTCACATGAATTGATAACATTATGTGTTTTTTGAATTGTCGAAAGTGAGCGCTTCTCCGTCGTAATTTAGTGTTTTTGCGCAATATGTGTGGCTAAAGCTGCTTTAGGAGGTTAGGTACGCTATCAGATGACTGTATTATTAAAATTTTTTATTTACAGAATAAGCAGTGTTTGTTGTTGAAATGAGGGGTACGGGTGGAATGTTCGATCTCCATGAATTTGGTAAACGAGTGCGACGTTTGCTGGATGGAAATTATTCTTGCAGAAAGATTCTTGTATTGATTATCATTTTGGGAGGCTTACTTTTGTATCTTGGTCCATCTGTTTTTCAATGGCTATTCTCTAGTGCTAGAGAGCCAATCGAAGGTAAATTAATTATTGCATTTTTTACGATTTTTTCAATCTCATAGTTTATAAATATAGTAAAGCTTTCTTTGTTTCACAGCTTACGAAGAGCACTGTATTAATGAAAGGCTTGCTGGTTTTTACTTTGATTCTATTGAATACAATGCCAATGTGCTCTATGAATATCCAACAGAAGAGCAGCATCAATATCTACCTTATGTTGGAAATGGAATATTTGCAGTCCCAATTCAACCAGAATCTTGGCTTTACATAAAGAATGGTAGAACGTTGTCATTACCTGTAAACTGGCAGCCTCTAGTTATCTATCAAATATCTGAGGGTGCTATTTACAAAGAAGCAACTGTTACTCACTACACAAGAGGCATTGTATATAAATATCAGTGTTTTAGAGATGGTTATCATATTGATTACCAGTATTATGCCCATCGTGAACTCGAAGGGATTTTCGTTCAAGAAATAAAAATATCAAATCCCCTTAGCCTATCTCAAGACTTTCCATTTAGACCACAAGTTTCTGTTCATTGGTCTGACTCGCTCACTGAATCAATTAAGTAAATTCCATTGTCACTTTCATTATTAATGTTATTTATCATATGACTAGAAATTAAAAAAATGTTTTTGTATTTCAGCATCCAAGTAGAACATGTCAATTATGAATTTAGTCTGGTATCAGGGCATGTAAATTTGCCAAATTCAGGTAAAGTTATTGCTGTATCAATAATTTATCAAGAAGCACACAAAAGTGTTGAAATCAAAGCTAGGGATTCATTGAAAATGGAATATCTTACAAGTATTAAATATAGTGAACCAGTTGCAATGGAGCAATTTGGTCAAGAAAGGGATAGGGTCAGAGAAAAAGCCATTGCTGTAAGTTCGACGAATTATTTGCAACGCAGTTTTTAAGGAGCTTGAAAATTTACGCTTTTTTTTTTCGAATTCTAGCATATGAAAAAAGCTCTCATTAAACAACACACGAAAGGTTTATTGGAAGAGCACGTGAATGCTTGGAAACAATATTGGCATACAGGTTTCCGAATAAGCGATTCAAAAGCAAAAGGAGCTATGAATGGGCATAAAATAAACTCGACAATTTATTATGTTTTGAGCCAAGTTCCCAGGGGTTTGCCCAATGTTGAAAAAAATGTAGCAAATAACGAAGGCTGCTATCGCGGTCATCATACTTTGTAAGTATTTGATTTATCATTCAGATATCAATCTTTTAGATATTAGATAGATATTCCATTAATTTCTACAGAGATGCACGTCGCTTATGGAGGGATACGTCTTCTATTGACGCTATCAATGAATTGGTCAAAGCATGGACCATAACTCTTGAAAAGCAGGATTGTCATAGATTGATGACCGGCAATCCATCTGCAGTATTACAAGCAATAGTCTTGAGTTTGGGGGGATTGAGGTTTAGCAATCAACATTTGGAATTCAACATCGATCCGCAACACTTACACAGGGACTTTTTATTCAGGTAATTTGTTTTTAATAATATAATTGCTATTTAATTTTTACTTCAATTTACTCAAATTTATCATTTTAACAGACGAATCAGTTACGGTAACGTTACGCATCTAAACATCTCAGTTCACGTTAATGAAGATAATAAAGCAATTTTAGGAGTAGCTCTTGATAGAAGTGAAGGTGTATATTATGCATGTGATGCTGGTTGTCTGGATGCACCAGTTCCACTTAGCCAGTCTTACACATTCTTCCCTGTAAAACTAACTAATCCATTGACTGCAATTTTGTATATTACATCAGACTATCAACACATGCAAGATTTACAAAATGCCCTGCATGTCCATACCGTCGATGAAGGTAAATTAATTGTTTGATTACCAAATTTTAGAGAGTTAATATTTTAATAATATTTCTAAATTTTTTATTTAAGCTCCAGCTCATGACCATCACGTTATGGCATTGCACAAACACGGTCACCAATTAGGTGGTTTACCTACTTTCTTCTGGGTGAGCATATGCTTCCTCATCATTGTCTTCCATCTGTTCTTGTGTAAATTAATCGTTTCGGAGTTTCGGGACCAAAAAGACCGCGTTAAAGTGCGATACAATAAGCCCTAGTTGTTGTAGGTGAATTTTACATCTTTGTTGTTGATGGCTCTATGAAAGTAATATATTTTTTACACGGCTATTAAAGATGAGAGAGATGTACAGGCTGCGATATTGTTAGATACGCGCAATCGATAATTTTTCAATTATCGTTATGTTAGATCATTCTTGTACAGATATTTCTGCGATAATTTATTATATTTACCATTGAAAATGGTGAAACGTTGATTATGGTATGGTATGATAGACTGTGTGCATTTACTCTTGAAGTTTTAGTAGATATGATTAATGAAAAGATAAATATTTGTAATGTTCTTTACTTTTGGCAGTATTTATTTAAATAAACATAAATTGAACTTGTATAAATCACATGATGAAGTACATCAAATTTATGCAAATATTGGAAATTTGAATGAAAATTGCGGTGCAATAATATTAAAAACTTATTTTGTAATTTTATTATGTAAACAATCATCAATTGTAATAGAGAGAAATGCAATATTCATTTGAAATATCTTTACACATTTCTTTAGCCTTTATACTTCGAAGTTCATACATATATATTTATTTATGTACGTATACGATACCAGTCGTTATACATGCTTTTCTTAATTTGTTGCACAGGTAATACTGATTGTTGAGTACTTCATTTCATTCACTCGATTGCATAAGTCATTAAATGCTCTTTTTCATAAATCTCTTAACGAACGATCACACACTAACAAACAATAAAACTCAGTTTTTATAACACTTATATCTAAAAAACGTTCTTCGCGCCGTAATCTTAACACTCAACCGGCACAACGAGCTTTTGTCGTCTATCTAGTTTTTCTCCTCGTGACATACTGCTATGATTATTATACTTTTAAAAATAACAGATTCAAAGGATGATCTCTTAAAAAATAAAAAAATATATGCCTATTTTATCGTGAAAAGAGTATCTGTAATAGCCATTGATTTGACAATGGTTGTCTGATCCTGGTTAGAAAATATGACGACTAAGAGGAAACATAACGAGTATAACAAATTAAAATTTTTCACACTGATTGTTAAGATTCATTGAATGTTAATAGGTAGATGACTTTGTCTAGCCAGGGAATGTCTAGCACATGAATGTAACTTGAGATCTACTAGAGGCTTCGTCGACTTAGTAAAGACGACTAATAAATAAATGTATAAATATTGTACTGACGATTACGGTGATTTTTTTGATTAATCTGTAAATTACAGCGATTATTATGGCTAGTGTAGACTCGTAGATCTTATGACTTATGTACATACTATACATAGAAATTCTAAGAGTAAACGTACTCGTCTCGACGTTGGTTCGACAACGGCTTATTTTTTATACTTCTATAAAGTATAAATTCTATGATTTTATATAAGTCAACTAGCGTGTGTGCGTAAAGTGCGACATAAATCAATTACGGGATATCCATTCCACAATATGAAATCCGCAATTACACTACTTGCTATACATCTTATATAATATCAATGTAAAGAAAGAAAAGAAAAATACAGCTTTGCGCATGAGAATCAAGTTTTCTTTCTCAGCCAGAACACCTTTGTCCAGTCCGCTCTCATTGAGAATCAAAACTTGCTCCGACAATATTATTATAATTTTTATAAAAATGATACAATATATTGCTCGCTGCATATAAATACTTCTTTACAACCACGTAGTCTCTATCTTTATATTAAAATTATATATGTACAAAAGTACCCTGTTAAAAATTCGTCCAAGTTATGTAGCGCATACATTATTGTAGTCTATTGGGAATACTATTGTCGACAAATTATTTGGTATAAAACAATTGCGTGTTGACTCCAAAGGAAAACATAAAAATTGTTCTTTTAGTCAGGAAGATGTAACGGAGCAGTAGTCTATACGAATTTTGCCTGAGTGAGTGTGTGTGTGTGTGTGTGTGTGGGTGGGTACGGGAGTATTTAAGCCTATCGTAGGTGGCTTATATTAGGAAGATCTAATCTTACCTAATGAAAAATGAGTTTCTTTTCTAACATTTATTGGCCGTTGTGAATACTTGCAGAGCCGCTTAATTATCGACCACCAAATCTCGCACGAGAGCGCACGCCTCGACTTCGCGAGCTTTGGCTTTGAACATATTCTAGAGCTACTTTGACATTATCACCAAAAGTCTTTCGTATTAAATTTTATCATACTGGGAGGAGATCGCCGTCGATTTACTCCAAGTTTCTTGTTCGTCCCTATCGTTATAGGTCTTACGAGTTACGTATCGCTTTATCTAATAGGTAACTTATTCAGTTTTTTCTCTGTTCGCGCTTAAATAGATGTCAACCACATCTCACGCGACTATATTTACATACACACGTGCTTAATTCAATTTATGTAATGCCTTCTCCAATTCTTTTGTACAGACTTCTTTTCTTTTCTTTTCCATTATCGCTTCGTCGCCATCGGTATTTACAATTCAGACGAGTTTTTTTCCTTCGTATTTCTTTACCCCTTTTTTTTTCGTTTTTTTCTTTTTGAATTTTTCTTTTGATTTGCAAACACGAGTATACAGTTAGAATATACGTGTACAATTTGTCTTTGTGGCATTTTTGTTCGAAACGACAGGTACGCCAAAACACCGAGCTAAAAGTATTCGTGAATATACATCATATTTCATTAATAAGCGACGACCTTGCGACTTGTATTTTTCTTTTATCATTGTCGGGACGTGAATTTTGATTTGACCTCTGCGACACGCAAAGTCTACAATGTGCCCGTGCGTTGAGATTTTCAAAGAGCTGAGAGTTCCGCGCGATCGCGTTCGAAGTGGAGATTCTCGGGGTGCACGGCGAATGAAAGTGCGAGCGCCGCCGATTCGCACGGGAATTTTGCATATCACGGCAGATTAAACAGCGAGCGAGTTTGATCTGCATTCGGCGAAACGAGCGAACTCGCGTACAAATCCACTGCGACGACGCAGACAGATGGAAAAGGACGAGGACATGCGGGCTATCGATATTTCACACCCACTCGATTAGACTCTACGTGCCGCATCCGATCACAATAGCGCTCGAGAGATCCGGCCCTCGTAGAAAAAAGGAAGGAAAAGAAAGCACAAATTTGCGCGATCGCGCGCTGGAAGATGTATCCTCCGTAGTTTCTGTGCGTCATCTCCCGATTTAGCTTCCTCGCTAAGGTCAGGAGATGATATCTCGTCCTAAGGCTACCTCGGCGTTCGATATTACTTCTATTTTTGCCACTGTTCTCGCGCAATATCGCAACGTTATACTACATCCTATTACATCCTTGCCACGGTCACCCCGTCTCAGTCGTCCGAAAATTGTTTAACCTCTTAACTAGCAATTCTTTTTGTGCCTATGCAAGATTCTTCATCTTATTTGTTTATAGTTTATGCGTTAATAAATGTATATATATATATATATATATATATATCTGTCTATAACGTATCACGTAGTTAGAATTGTTTTTGTATGTAACGTCGACACAGCTATTACAGTTTATTTTGATCACACACATGATATCATAACATATAGTTGTCCTATGCTAATATAAAAATGTTATACGTTCGCACATCGACGGTTATTACTTGCTATCTAGTCGCGTATTTTTTTTTCCTTTTTTTTTGACATACTCATCGATCGTGTATCTGCGTGTAAAAAAAGAAGGAGATTAGCCTTTCGAGCGTTAATTCGTCAATTCTCAACCTGAAAAATTTGTCGGGGACGGGGCATTGTAAGTTTACATCTCGTAGAAAAAACATCAGCCTAGGAGGAAAGTACGAATCAGTCCTCTCAGTAGAAAGCGATAAAAAATCCGCACGACTTGCTTCTCCGTTTTTCATTTGTTTCATTTGTTCGAACGTTCCTCGTCGCATCTTGTATACGTAGACAGTCATTTACAAATCGACTCGTAGAAAATTGCAGTCCCTAGTGGGCATTTGAGTGCATTGTTGTTGTTGTTGTTGTTGTTGTTGTTGTTGTTGTTGTTGTTGTTGTTGATGATGATCGCGACGGAAAAATGGAGAGTGGGGGATATAGAGAACCTAGCAGCTGACGGTCTCATTTTGATAATGTACTCGTGTATTGCAGGTCTTGTATAGGCGCGCGTGTGTGCGAGTGAACGTGTGTGTGTACGCACGGGCGCGAGTAACGCGGAGGAAGAGAGAATCCGAAATGCAGTGTAATATCCATTTGCTATGGAGCTAGCTCGTATCTGGAATAAAATGTGTATAGCTACGGGCGAGCAGCCGAGAGAAAGCCTTATCCATCGCGCGGCGGCCGGCGGTATAAAGTCCTCAGGAAAAGTCGTTTATAACGGCGTTACAGAAAGGCGCGTGCAGCAGCAGCGGCAGCAGCATCACCACCTGAACCGAAAATATTGGATTTCCGCGAGCTAGAGGGCCTGCCTCCCGGTAAGAGAGATGTGTACAGGGACATCGATACTCGAAGCGCGAATCAAGTTACCGCCCAGCGAGACGGATAGGTGGAAAGGCATTTCTCGTCGAGTTTCGTCCTGCTCTCGAGGGCGAATTGACGTGACGAGCTCGCGGCGAGGCGAGCCCCGCGCGCGGACATCCCGAGCTCGCGCTCGTTCGCGTTTCAGCGGCTGACTTCTCCCGGCAAAGGGAATGCATTAGCAGACGCACGCGCGCGCCGCGCACCCGCGCGGAGCCGAGTCGCTGCGGTCATTGGAACGCGTACGCCTCGACCAGCCTCCAGTCGGCGTGCCGCGCGAACGTACGCGTTTGTTTCGTTTGTACATGTACAAATACGTGGAAGACTTCGGCTTTATAGTGCGATTCATCATTTTTCTCGATGAGATTCCCTAAGCCAGACAGATCGGGAATCGAACTCTGCGCCTGTGTGACGGACAAAAGCGACAAGAGCACCAGCGGAAAATAGAAGACAAGCGCTCTCTTTTCTCTCTTTGCTGAAATAAGAGTATAATTAATTCGAATTTGCGAGCCTGAGCATATTCGATCTGAAATTCAAATAGGAGGCCACAACAACGCGCCACGCGAGCTTCGAAATTCAAAGTCCGTGGGAGGAGCAAAGGAGTGGAAAAAGGAGGATGAGGAGGGCACAACGAATCTCTATGCTAATTGGATTTCGAAGAGAAAAGTGCGGTGGCTCTGGCGCAGAGGGTCAAGTCCGACTGACGGGCTCGAGTCGTCCGGGTGCTCAGTGGGCCTTGTGCTTCTTCCTGCGCCGCTTGCGCATCGGCGTGGAGCCGGCGGTGTCGAGGGCGACCGCCGGCTCGGCTGAGCGCTACGTGAGGCTGGTGGCCGCGAGCTCGAGGCTGGAGTCCTGGCTGCCGACGGCGTGCGACTGCACCTGCTGCTGCTCGTCCTCGCTCGGCACGGGCTGCAGGTGCACGAGCGCTACCTAGCTCACCGAGCTGTCGTCTGCCGTCGTCGTCGTCGTCGTCGGCGGCGCCTCGATCTGCAAGCAGCCGTGGCACGTGGCCCGTACAGGAGAGACCCGCGAGCACGCGGCGGCTGCGGCTCCGGCAGATCGATCCGCAGCGAGGGCCCGTGCTCGCACTGCCTGCGGCCGTCGCGGCGCTTGTGGTCATCGATGCGCGCTCGGCATATGTTTATTAGCGGCTGGGATACGGCCACTGCTCGGCGTGACACGCGCCCGATGGCAGGGTGTCGTGACGGCTGACGCGCGCTCGTGCAACGCCGGCAATTACAATCGAGAGGTCATTTAATACCCCTCGCCCGGTGCTCGCGTTCGCGCCGCCAATGCTGTTTGCACAGTCGACCAGACGATTGCGCGTTCGCCTCTCAGCCGCGTGGCTTCTGCTGTTTCAATCGACGCTGTTTAATTTATATGAATTGGCGAGTGCCACGTTGTACGCTCGCCTCGCGGATACTCCTCTCGGTATGTATATGCAGTTTTTTACGTGGCCAGCCATTGTCATTCGAGCTTGATTCAACGCACGTGAAGAGCTTCAGGATGCGATTTCTGTAGTAGCTACCGCGTTACGAGCGCCAGTTTTTATATTTCTGAAAATTCCTCGCGCGGTTTTTCACTCGTCAGGCCTCGACAAGCGAACTTTTATTTCAGCCGGCTTGCGGACCGCCGCATAGAAAATTTCTCGCGAGCCGTTGAAAAATTCCCCCACCTCCATCCCTTCCCAGCTTCTTTCTACGTGGCGGCGACCCGCGCGGAATTGAAACGCGAATTCTCGGTGTTTCACTCCAGGCCGGGCGATGGCTGGATCAAGGGAAAATAGTCAGCCCGGCTTTCATTTCCGTCGATCCGCGTCGAGTCGCGAGACGACACGACGCCCCGTCGAAACGTAAGAGAAGGAGTGGCGTACCTGAGAGCGTTGTTGCGGTTCTCCGTTGGTGGAGGCGTGCTTCGGCCGGGCAAGCGGCTGCGACTGACTGGCCACCGAGGAGGTAGCGGCAGTGGTAGTGGTGGGTCCGGCACTCGGCGGTGGCGAGCTCCGCGATCCCGAGGTGACGCTCTGCATCGTTTGACTGCGCGCCGTCGTGAATCGCATGCTGTAGGCGCCAGGTCGGTAAGTCGTCGCCGACTGTCCGCTTTGCTGTCAATTCCAGAATATAATAATCATCATCGCGAGCACAAATCAAATTGCCTCGTTTGCCATCGGTATACACGACGTCGCGGACGAACAGTTTTGGTAGCAGTCGCCGCGTACCTTTGCGCGTCAAGCTCTTTGGCCTGGAAGAGGGGGCATTAACGTTTGGCTAGGCAGATTCCCGGATGCCAACCCTTCTATAACCAGTAGAGTAAACACGCGACTACCGATTTGATTGCCTAGGAGCATAGTTACTTAACGCCGTCTCGCCCTCATTTTTTCCCCTTTCCCTGATTTCCCAACAAAGAACAAGATGAAAAAGCGCGAAACTCTGTTAATCTAATTTCGAGATTAAAAACGAGTCGTGAGAGGATTTTTATTCCAGGACGCGAGGTTTATCCGAAAAGAAACTTTGTGCGCGAGAGATAGCCGTGCAGCTGAGAGCGCGAGGAAAAAGGCAGGAACGAGGAACGAAGAATGTAATGAAAAATCCGCCGCGATACAGTGGCTATCTGTCGTCGCTCGGCTCGCTCGCTCGCTGGCTCTCGTCCCGTCTGACCACACGTAGGCCATATCTACTTGCCTGCGCGCGTGCGAGCGATTATGGAAACTGAGTCAGGCGCGAACTTTGACGTTTTTACGCCTCGTATTCAGTCGACAAACATTTGTTCGTCGAGAAGTAAAAATACGCCGCCTCGAGCGACGGTTCGCTTGCTCTCTTTCTGTAAATTTCTGCCTTGTGAAATGGGAATAATAGAAAGAGCGAACATGTATGCGTGCAGTGTGCACGCTCTCCCTCGTGTGTTTTCCGAGGTGTGGCCGGCGCGACTCCAGCGAGTTTTCTTGCGGAGAACAGCGTTTTCTCCTGAGATTTCTTTACGAGCAACGCGTCTGTCAAATAATTTACACGTGCCGTGGTGAGAGAGGGAGGGAGAGACAGAAAGTCGCGGAGGGAGGCTGACGCCGAGAGTGCACTTCACGAGTGAACCGATGATGTACACGGATAATTAGGTCTCAATGGAAATAGCAACGACAGATTCGCTCGGCAAAGTTTACTGTTACGCGCACCTTGTAAATTTCGAGTTCGCGGTACATTGTTCGGGCGTCGCCTTCGCGATAAACGCAAAATATTCGCGTAATATTTTTGCGACACACTTAGCTAAGTTTGCGTGTATGCGGCAACGTGGACGGCGCGCTCGCAATAAAAAGTGTAAAGTTTTCGGCGAGTTGCTCAGGGAGCAAGTTTTGCAATAAGTTCTATCTCGCTGGAGCTAAGATAGGTATATTGGGTTGTGGGTAGAAGGACGGATGGGGGGGGGGGGGGGGGTGAAGCTTGAATCGATTTTACAGCGTGTTTACTCACATTGTGCCGAGTGTTCTTGTAGGGCTGGAACAGCACGATGTAGACCTTAGGTGTGAATAGGCAGCCAAGCGCCACCGTCGCCGAGATGCTGATGCACATACACATGCTTGCCGTTTGGATCTGTAAGCAGACAGAGCGAGGACGTCTGTAGGTACGCGTGGCGAAGCGACGCGCGTAGTGCCCAAGCGAGATCGAGTCCGTCAAGTGATTGCGGCAACGAATAACCGGGTAGCGCTGCAGCTGCTGCGCGCCTCTTTCAGCCATCGCGGTATAATCGCCAGACCGCCTGCTCTACCTCTCGGCCTCGCGTATATCATCGCGCGCTGAGCCCTCGGATCCGCGCCCACCTGGATTAGGCTAGCCATTGCTCGCGTTCTCTCTTCTCTGTTCTCTCTCGTTGCCATCCCGCGTCAGATTAGTTAGCTCATTAACGTTAACGTCCAACTGCGACTTACGTCGAGAAAGGGAGAGAGAGAGAGAGAGAGGGAGCGAAAGCGCGCTTCGTTAGCGAGAAATTGCAGCTGCGCAGCCGTTTATTGGATACCATCGCGCGCGTTATTACAGAATTCGAAATTCACATCTCGGAACGGCCCTGTTAGCGAGTTATTGCCAGGTTAAAATATCGAACGCGAATTGATGCTCAACGCACGCCTCGGCAAATTGCCGCGACGCATTTGCTCTAATTAAATTCTTCAAGGCTATATCACTCAACATCACTGCTAAAATATCAATTTACATCTCGTCTTTCATTTAAACTCACGCGTTGTACATCATTGCAGCCGTCTTGCGATCCCGATGTGTTTGTGTGTGCACATGCGCGCACACCCACGCTCGTATTGGCTTACCTTTTTCCATTCGAGTTGTGACATACTTTCTGTGCTTTTACACGAGCTTTGCGGTTTTATCCTTGTGAAAGCTAGTTTGAAAGAATTCTACTTCAAAATGAAAATAACAATCCGTTTGGTTGCTCGACTGCGAGAATTTTCTCAAGCCAACGCTGCTTAAAATTGCTCAATTTTTCAAGTATTTTGAAAATTACTAATTGTCACGTATTGCATGAGCAATGCATAAACGCGAAATAGCGAAATGATAAACGCGCGAAGAATTAGTAATATACGCGTAGCTTCTCCTCTTCATTGGATTTGCGGATTTTACATGAAAAGGGTCGGCTCTCGCATTCGTCACAATAGGAAAAAAAACCGCGCGGAAAAATGAATACAGACCATATGAAATATTTCGATGCTCTTGCGCTGGACAAATTGATGTCGTAAGTCGCGTTTATCGTCGCGAGCGTCTGTCATTGCTTGATCGTTCCCGCTAGTTTGCTATTCGATTTTTATTATTTTCCAGCGCGCCCAGTTTTTATGCCATCGATGCCGGTAGCACTGCCCGCTTCTTTTGCTCGCTCTCTCTCTCTCTCTCTCTCTCTCTCCCTCTCGCTTTCATACTCTCTCTCTTTCCGCGCCCGGCCGCTGTAAAAGCTTTACAAGAGGCACACTTCCGCGAGGGCTTTATGAGAGGGGATCTGTTTTATAGTTGCTTTGATATATGGCGTTTTATGACTTTCTGCAAATGGGCCGCATCTTCAAAACTACTAGCTCTCGCAGCGTAACAAAATAAACTTTTGACCACCTCGTGGTACAAATTTATCTGCTTTAATGTTTAAAGTGTGCGTCGCGTATCGAGTCCATTGCATCCGAGATAAGGCAAGGCGACAAAAATACCGTCGCGCAACGCGCGTCGCTCCGTGTTGCTGGCGAGCTATATTTGCATCGCAACTTTTTAGGTCGCGCGCGAATCCTCAAGGTGAATGGCGCAACTAAAGGCACTGCAATTGATCGTCAATAACTGACAATCCATTAGCCAGCAACAACGCGCGGACGCCCTCGCACGCTTTCCGATCACGTTCACCCGAGTTCCGGGCATAACAGTGCAGCGCACGAACGCAACCGTGCGTCGGTCTGAAAAATAAAAAAAAAAGAAAAAACAAAAAAGGGTCATCAGCAGCAGCGGCAAACGTAATCACGGATGCGAGCAGGCTTCTTGATGTGCTACGGGCGAAGCTCGATCGCGTCGAGCAGAGAGGGGGGCGGGGGGCAGGCGAGCGGTTGCTGATTACCCTGAGCGCGGGCTCGCCAAGGCGTCGTCGCAGCGGGTGCGCGTCCGATTTTATCGACATTTACAATTGTATCGTTGGCTGCACGCGCCAGTGCCCACGCGATCTCTAATAAAGGCTCGTTCGTTCACGGGTCTTCTGCAGAGCGCGTCCGCCGGGCAGCAAACGAATGCGAGGGCGGCCCGGGCTTCTACTCGATTGGTCGTTCGCTGCCGCGCTCAATTAGCGGAGGCGCGCTAGCTAAATCGCGGGCGGCGATCAAAAAGCAGCGCGTACGTGACGACCAACCAGCCGGGCGATCGGCGAGCGAGAGCGCCGCGCCAGTTAGCTGTCGGCAAAGTTTGGACAGTCACGTGCCGCGCCAGCGTTGCGTACCTTGTAATCGTTGTTAGTACCGAAGTAAATGGGCACGAAGGCGAGCCAGACGATGCAGGTGGAGTACATGGTGAAGCCGATGTACTTGGCCTCGTTGAAATTCTCCGGGATCTTGCGAGTCTTGAAGGCGTAGAGCGTGCACATGAGGATGAGGATCATGTTGTAGACGAGGGACATCATCAGGGCGAAGGTGGACACTCGGCAGGTGAGCACGGCGGTCAGCGGATAGGGATAGATCTCGCTCGTGTCCGGCGGCTCGATTATCAGCCAGATGATCGCCCCCACGAGCTGCACCGACGTGATGCCTGCGCAACAGCAGAGGCGCAGAGGCGGCCTCGATTAGTCGCCGAATTTGTAGGCAGTGCGCGGGACGCGCCTGCAACGCGATCATCGGGGCGAGAGCTCTTTCCCCGGCCACGCCAGTGCAGCGCCATTGAGGGAACATTGAAAAGCGAGCATCAACAGAGGGAGCGCGCCCAGAGGCGAACTTGCTATCCGTCGAGGCGAGCATCGCGTCGACTGCGGCTTCCGAGCCAATCCTGTCTTCTCTTTCTTTCTGCGCCGTCCATCGCCCCGGACATTTCTTTCGCGACTCTTCCTTAATCTATGCAAAATATTATTTGCTCTGTGCCGCTCGATTGATCTCTTTCCCGTGCTATTCGGCTAGTCGACGGACTGACGTCTACGGGATGACAACCGATATATTCACCATTGTTTGCCCAATTACGAGCGCGGTCAAGGCTTTATTTTGCAAATTACTAGCTATTTGGACTGTCATCGTTCCCCATACTATCGAAGCTCTACCGCAGAAACTACACGAGCCACATCCGATTCAATTGGTGATCATTCGATATCGTCCGTGACAATTATGAAGCAATAACATATCCGGCTTGTCTGCCGAGCTAGCAGCAATCGCGTACATAGTTAATACTAGAGTGTAGTACAAAATGCGGAACGCGCGTCCGTGGTATAGCGACTAATTTAATCGAGGCAATGTCTACAATGTACAATAGCAAAGGAAGGGAGTCCACAGTAGTCGAGGGACAGAAACAACAGAGAGCGCATAGATCGACGCTCACCTACGGATATGGCGATCTGGCTCTTGGGCGAGGTGTACGATGGTCGCTTGATGCTTTTCCTGCCCCGGTTGAAAATCCGCGAGATGCGATTGGTCTTGGTCAGGATGGCACTGTAGCACATACTCAGGCACAGTCCCAGTCCGATTCTCAGCAAAGTGCAGTTCCACTTGGTCGGCTTGCTCAGGATCACAAAGCTCATCAGATAGCACAACAGGATGCCGAACAGCAGCACGTAGCACAATTCCCGACCAGAGGCCATTATCACGGGCGTCCGATTGAACCTGCAACCAGCACGCGCACACACGAACGTTTCAGCTCGTTGTGCTATTTTTGTATCGCGCGCACCAAAGTGCAAAGTGGAAAGTGCACGGGACGAGAACGGTCGAGCTTTTCCAGCCAACAGCGAGCGCGGAGAAGAAAGAGCAAAGAGCAGCGAAAAGGGAAGATGGATGCGCGGGAGCGCGCAGTGTATCGATTGCCGCTAATGGAAAGCGCGTAATTCATGCTGGCAGCTTAAACGCCGCCAAGCTGCGCGGCGTCGACCTCATAAGCACGTGAGAGATGTCGGAGCTCGTGTCGGTTAAGAAACGTTTTACTCTGAAAAGCTTCGCGTGAGCTATGTTCGTTGTTCCGCGGGGAGGAGTCATGCGAAGGAACATCGAAAGGTAAATAAAGGAAAAGAAGAAGAAGGAAAAATCGTAAAGGGCAAATGGGAACTTTGATAAAACAATATCAAGAAAAATAAAATTTGCAGGTATTTCATTGCGTTCCGTTCTATTAAACTTTTTATCGCTCCCTATTGTATGAAGTTATGGAGGCGAGATTGAACAGCTTGCTGGCGCGGCAGTAGAAAAGTCAGGCTTTGGTCAGACACTTATAAGTATGCAGCAGTCTCGCGGTATTATATGAACTTTTTACGCCACCCTTTATTACATCATCGTTCAAGATTTAATTCCACGGTTCCTACATGTATTTTTCTCCTGTCTCTCTTTTTCTCTTTCTCTTCCAAGGCTGCACATTGCCATGCATATGTAAGGCGCAGACTCCTCGATTTATGTTTACAGCGAAAGCCGATATCAATCTCGCGTAGGGCGCGCTTTACTCACCGAGGTGTATATAAATTGCTACTAAAAATGACGAAAGTGAAAGGCGTCAGTGCTTTATAGGTCATGATGCCAAGTAAATCTTCTCCATGAAGATTCATCGTCGACTCGCTAACTTATTTGCCGCGGCGAGTAATTCGATTTGTTCCGTTTGGAGCTCAACAGCGCCCAATGTCCAAATTTATTGCTGTTCTCGAAACTTTTCTTTGCGCGCACGCGCGAGAAATAATCTGCCGATAATGTTGACCAAACTGTCGACGAGCCTTTCTTTAGATCGCGATTGTACGAGCGCCGAACAATAGGCCGCGGGAGGCCGAGGAGTATAGCGAACGTTTATTCGGCCGCTTTCTCTTTCTCTGCGCAGCTCACGCTGCGTAGCCCGATCGAAGCGTTTGTTACTGCGACGCCTGAATAGAGTCAATTCCGAGAATGGCGACGCGTGTAACAAAGAGATTTCCACCGAAAACAACTAGCTATTCATCGCTCGCTTTTTTTGTTCCCCCTTTCTTTCATTGATATTTCCTTGCCGGTCTATCGATAATTTGATTATTCTCGCGCGAAACAGCTTATCGCGGAAAGGCGCTGGAAAGGTGATTGCATTTGGCACTTGGCAACCCTAACCGAGATCGCACCTGCCAACAGTTCGTCCGACGCTAACAGTGCCGTATAGTTGGCGTCGAGCAGCCATGCCGTCATAACCAAAGAGAAGTGAGAAAAGCGAGCGATTGCCGTTTGCAAATAGTTTGGCTCAAGTAGCCGATCCGCGCACAGTACCAGACAGAGAGCTGCGACTTCGCGTTTGTGCAAAATGGAGCCAGCTGTCGCGTCGCCTGCGAAAGCTGCTGGCCTGGAAATCGTTATTATTCCAGTCGCCGAGAGCGCGAGAGCGTATAATGCGCTGCAAAGAAATAGCACCTCGGCACGCCTTTGCGTCGCCGATTATCGCGCGCACGGGCCGAAGTGTGCGTTTCTTCTTGCGGCGTTCAAGTGGAACTCAAAGTATTCTTGTCGCAGCACGTACCCGCTTTTTCCGCGCAGCGCTCCATTCAATCTGTCGTTTCCGAGGTACGCATCTCGCGACCAAGCTTCTTATCGCGCGCGCCAAGAAGATAAAAAATGTCACGTGGTTACTCGCCCGAGCTTTCAAATATTGGTTATCGACAGCGAGGCCCCGCAAAACATATTTGTCGCGAAAATCCCCGCGCATCGTTATTATAGCACCAGCAGTAGTGGAGTCGGATGTCGGCGGAACTACACGTTTCGCTGCGAAGCGCATCGATCGCGCGAGCGAGCGAGCTACTTGGCCAAAAAAAGAAAGCCCGAGTACAGTCAAGTGCACGTAGTCGACGGCGCGGGTTCTGACATTAACCCATTACGCCGAGTGTGTTGCCTCACTCACCAGATGAAGACGGCAGTAGTGAAGACGGTGCCGAGGATGCCAATTGTCGCGAAGGTGAACGGCACGATGGCCCAAGGGCTGGTCCATTCTATCACCTCAGCCGTGAGTTTAATGCAGCGGCTCTTGGTGTCATCGGGTGCCCAGCCTGGCTCGCATCTACGGCACGAGTCGTTGAATACGTAGGCGTCCTCGCGACAGGCCACGCAACTCCAACAGCAAGGCTCCTGCAAAGCATTCGCATTTGGACACTCTAACACGTATTCAAATATTTTATACGTCACCCAAGTGAGACTGCGAGAGAGAGAGAGAGAGAGAGAGAGAGAGAGAGAGAGAGAGAGAGAGAGAGAGAGACAAGGACAAGAGGAAAAAAGTTGGCCGGCGTGCTTTGAATACAACGAGCTTGTTTCTTGTTTCGAGATGTCGGGCAGTGATTTATCTGCAATCTCAAAGCAGCAGCGGTGATGGATAAAGCAATTGCCAAGCAAGAAAAATAAGAAGCAGAAGAAGCGCAATGAATGAAGCCCCTTCTCTCTTTTTCTCTCTGACTTTCATTCTCTAGCTGGCTCATCTTCATCAAGAGGAAAACCGCTTAAAGCCAGCCGCAGTTCATCTCTTTCGTTTCTTGCTCGCAATATATATATATATATATATATATATAGCCTTATATATATATATGTATGTATGTATGTATGTATTTTTTTGTTCCTGTGCTTCCAGATTGCAAGACTGTCGAAACGTTAATAAAAGCTATCCCAAGCCATTTCTCTTGTCCGCTTGGAACAGGAGCACGCGAACACGAAAGCCCCACCGTTATACACAATACAACCTCTCGGAAAGAAGGCGAAGCGGAGAAAAAAAAAGACGGAGGCAGCAGCACCGTTCGTCTATATATACATTCCTTCTGTCGGAACGGATGGAGCAATTTTTTTCGCTACTCTCTCTTTCTCTCTCTTCGCAGCAGTGCCATGTCAATTTGCTTGCGCGACGCTCGGCCATTTGTCTATCGGCTGGCAGCAGCAGTCGATTACTGCTACTAGCGTTGCTGGTGAATTAACGAGGTGGCCGCTAATGAAAAATAAAGAGATGCGGGCACGAAACACGAGATAAGATTCGGCTATCTGCCGGCTAACGGAAGTCTCCACTGACCGCTGCTTTTTCCACGATTTACGGCATATTGGCTCTGATTCTCTCCGCCTGGCTATCTTACCTGAAAGTTGCGGATCTGGCCCAGCGGGCAGTCGTCGCTGCAGATACTCCGAGGGATGTGCTGCTCGCCCACTCCCGTGGCCCACTGCGTCATGTTGATCTCGAGGTTCAAGCTGCAATATCGTTTACGCTCAGCGCTGGCTATTCGGCTTGATGTTCTCGCGCTCACGCTGCGGCGAGTGTGTACGTATACTCACGTCTCGCGCCAGGAGCCAATGAGCGTGTAATTGTAGCGGCCGTCGTCTCCTCGCTGGTACTGATAGATGTTGTAGAAGCCATAGGCGTCGCCGTCGGCGTTGAATTTAATTTCCGTGCCTTGCCGACCTGAGAACCAAGCACACAACGCAGTCGCGTCAACAGTCTTGCGGCCTACTGGTTTGTAGAAAAGGAGGAAAGCAAGGAGGCAAGCACCTCATCGATCGACACCGAGGTTTTATATTTTTGAGCGTGAACTGCACGTATATATGTCGTGCGTACCTCACGCCCACGAACACCCAGTCCAGTGTTATCGTCGCCGGCAATTTCCTAAATCTCCCTGGGCGTCCCCTAATGAAAGCGTATCTGCGTATCGCACGTGATTTAATCGCGCTCGAGTCGCGGCGACGCGTACCGCAAAGTTACGTAATCTGGCCTCACCGATGAAGGTGACGTTGCGTATGTACTGCAGTAGCTGTTGGCCCCGGGGTGCTGGTTTAAGGCTGTCGCATAGGTGATGAGACCCGCTCGAAGTGCCGCTGTTCACGCACTCGTCGTTGATGAGATTGTGCACACTATGAGCCATCGCGTATACTGCGTCAACTGCAAAATAAAAGCAACATCGATCTGCCGTAGCCCTCTCCCTTTCTCTCCTAATCTCAATCACCACGCGACGTTTTCGATGAGCTGGAACTCTCGTTAATTCTATCGGGAATGTATTTTTCCCATCAGCAGTTATGCTATCACGTCCTCCAGTCATGAATCCCATCATAGAATAGTACGTTTCGACCCGATAAAGACTGATTGGCGTTGGTCGATTATCGCATTCTTAACGCTCGGACAGTCACAATTTTGCATCGTAGTTTGTATGACGCGATGCTTCAAAGCGGCTCGAGCAATCGCAACCATCCTATATTTTTTCTAATATTTTCTCAGCGACTTCTGCTCTCTCGCGTGGAGCATTGTTAGCTCTGATAAATGAACATTTCTATCCCTCACTTTCGAGGGCTATACATTAATTATATTACTACATTGACGCCCACTGTGAAAGGTCGAGTTATGTTTGATACATTGCTTTTCCTGCAATCATCACCGTTTTTGTGTTTATTGTTTACAATGGTCATATCAGATAAATAGCGCGCGTCCGTTTGTCAAGCAGCCATAATAAACAATAATAAAACCGAGCGATACGACAGTTTAACTGAATCAATCCGTGTAATTGATTGATTTGCACATTATGCACTCAATGGAAAAATTCCGCCGTCGTTTGTTTATCAAAGAAACGCCGCAGCAAGATTATTGCTAAAGTTGACGAGTGATTCCACAAGTATGAAGCAGCCGGAGTTCAATGAATACGTTTGACAAGTCAATTAGTCACGAGCCGACAATCGATTGACAAGCATCGCCGGGAGCGATTAAAACTCGAGCAAACTGGCATCGTAATCAAGAGCAGCACCAGCGACGCGCGATAAACGTGGAATTTAGTTTGAATATCGCTCTGAGTCGACGACGACGGAAAGACGACGGGACGGCTGAAAGAGCCGCGTGGCTGGTGAACGCAAAGAAGGGGTGGTAAACCTCGAAGGCGAGCGATTAAAGAGAGCTTTAATCCCATGAAGGGACAAACCGGCTGCTGCGACGCCTGAAATAGCCGCGCTAATCGAGGCCGCACGCCCGCTGTATCCGCGGCTTCCAATTTGAAATTTAAAACAGGCGTCGCCTCTAATCATGGGTGTGTGCACGGCCACTTTGAAATTCAAAGCGCGTAAGAGCAAGTCAAGCATCCGGCTATATAATTAGCTCGGCGCTTGTCCTTTTTTGTTTTGCGCCGCTGGCGCGAGGTGTGAAAAGTGCTCGTTAGCGACTGGATCCCCGAGACTTTTGTCTCCTTCGCCTAACTTCGCGAGAACTGTTTTGTCCGAGTTTCTTTTTTAATGCACAAAAAACTCTTGTGTCCGCAAAGGCGAGTTTACTTTTTAATTTTTCCCAGCCTCCCTCCCCGTCCAGTTTAAGTTCTTTCTCGACGTCGTGCCAATGACTTCTGATGCAAGACGCCGCGTTAACCGCTGCACTTTCCGACCGACGTTTCCCGCGCATTTACGTCATGCTATTTCTTTTTCGCTCCTTTTCTTCATTCATCAGCATCGCTCTACTGTTATACTTTGCCGAAGGAAAGCCTTTATTCGAGATACTTCAGGCTTATTAACTGTTCGTTGTAGTTTGCTCCGCATTGTAAACGTTGTTGTGCAATACGTATTACAAATTTGTTATTGCATAGATAATTATTAATTTATGTGAAATCCTGAGGAAACTAGGCTCTATTTGTTTCCGAGAGCGTTAAACTTTCGCGTCAATATTGAAGCTGTCTTAGTGTTATCCTTTCCATGAATGATGTATAATTTATAGCTTACACGTGCTCTACCATACTGGCAAATCGACATGGCCCTAGAATATCAAAGCACGCGTAGCTTGAATGTAACGTAACATCTGCGGAGTCGCAGAACTGCTGGAAAATGATCGAAAGCGAGAGTTTTTCGGCGATCTTATTATCTCCGGCGCGAAAGTTGGCTTAAAATTTTCGAGTGAAAACTTTGCGCGTACGTGCTTGGGCTGCACCAAAGTTGGAGCAAGCGAGTAAATTAGCGAAGAAAAACATTCCGTCGGATGTCAGATCGAATGATCGAAAGGCTCGCCTATAAGCGCACGCGCCCGGGGAATATAATCAAAAAACCATCAAGCGCGTCCGACCGTACTCGGAGCTGCACCACTGCGCCGTGCGATCTCGGAGCGAGTACACACGGAGTGAGCCGAGCCGGCCTGAGAGCCAGAGATAGAGAAACTTACCAACAAACGGTACGAGTCCTTCCTGTTTGTAGTCAACGAGCTCCTCAGTGCCGTTGCATCTCCGGACGGCAGGATCGGCGTAGGAGCTGAAACTGCACTTGTGGTGTTGCGACCAAAACTCGCGAAACCATACGTTCCGGCAGTTCACGTACTTGCCCGATAGTGTGCGATGCTTCACGATGCCCTCGTGTGCTCCCTCGCACTCGTCCCCCGTGCGAGGCAGCAGGTTTTTATAATAGTTGTCGAAACCTTCAGCCAAACACGACCGTGTATACTATTAGTTCAACTTTTCTCCCGTGCCTCCTCCTCCTCCTCCTCCTCCTCCTCCTCGTGTAAACTGCGCGACAAAGTGATTAATCGCTATCGCACCCCAGCTGTTTTTCCTCTTTTTCCCTTGCTTGCTGCTCGACTTGTTTGGCCCGACACGCAGCAGCTGTTATTTTTTTCACATGGACAAGTATTCGCGGCATTCACCAAGTATTCTACGCTTCGTTTCTTTTTTCTTTTTTTGTTATTTCAACCGTGCGATTGATGCGTTGGATTTTTAGAGGACTTAATTCAACTATAACAGCCTCGAGTGACTCGAATGAAATTGTCAAAAGGATCGAAAAGGCATTCTTCTTGAACGATTTTCGCGATTTTTCAACGACAACGCAAGTGCCATCGTTAAAATTTATCCTGCGCAGGCAAATCTCAAGGATGCACGTTATGATTCCTTTGTTTATTGAACGAAGTACAGCAATTGAGCGGAAATTCAAATTTTAGTTGTAAAATAAACGAGAAGCTTCGCTCATTATCAAGTGCAATGCTACCGATTGTAAGCCAAAGCGACACGAGGCGTCAGGGCGGATCGCGGAAGCGCAGCGTCATGGAATTAAATCCATTTCTGAGTCTCGTGCTCGCTTGCGCGTGCGTCCCTAACAAATCTCGAAGTATCTCGCACGAACAGTAACAAATCCACGAGTCATCGTTTCCAGCGTTTGCCTTGCTGACTCATCCTCCGCCCAGGCAAAGTGCTCAAAAAAAAAACACAGCGGAGGAAAGCGGTAGGGGAAATTTGCAATCCTATATCTTTTCGTAACACAAGCTCCGTACGACATGGCTCGATCCCATAAACTTTTTCCTCGTTTCATGTTCATTCCCGCTTCGAGTGTAACATTGAGCATATTTACGCGAGGCAATAACAACGAAGTAAAAGCAGTGAAAGAGCGTACCTTCGAGGGAGTTGCGAAAGGGCAGTATGGTGATGGCGCCTTCGGCGGCGAACTCTTGCTCACGCACTGGATGCACCTTGGCGCCCCACGAATCGCTACCCACCCACATAAAGTGGCCGGTCTTATTGGCTTTGATGGTCGCCTGGAGCAACTTCCTGCAAGCAAAAGAATCCCATCGTCGCTTTTAATCGGCGCGTACACATCGGCGACAATCGAAGGCCGAGGAGGAGGATGAGCCGCAATCGATGCTCATCGGTTACGTGCTTGGCTTGACAAATGTCACGGAGAGCGTCTCAGCTGTAAATCAGGCTTGATCTTTCAGCTGATCCCGCGAAAATCGCCACACACGGAGAGGCGCTAAAAATTGATGGCTATACACGCCTAACTGCCGCAACACATTTTTCTGTTGGTTTCGCCGTGCCAAAACCTGCCACGTGTGTGTACTCCATATCTGCGTCTTGAGTCTGATCACATCGGACTCTCCCGCATGTTTTTTTTACGGGGCAGATCAACTTTAACGCAGCTAAGTGCCATGGAAGTAATCTTCGGATTCGTAGCTGAGCGAGAGTGACACGCAGAGCAGAGACTAAGGCCAAAGATTGAATGCTCCATTGTGTCATTTCAAGCCGATAAATATATTTACTGAAGTAATTTGTCAGTGGGCCTCTCATTCAGGCATAACTGGCAGTCTTTGTGTAGACTCGCACATATATAAAGGACTAAAGTGGACGCCGCGAGGATAAGAAAACAGAAGCTAAAATATTAGTCAAGCGGTTTGTGTGTGTATGGCTTATGTACAAGGACAAACGCGACGTCGTATCTTTTGACCGCATAAAAAGCCACGCAAATTTTCATGCGCTTTTTTTCTGGCTCTTGTTCTTTTCGATGACCCGCACGTATATTCTGTGGTTTTTCCACTGGAGGGACGAGAAAGACAGTTTAAAAAACTTGAAAATGAATTGGCTCGAGTCGTAAGTCGGAAGCCGACCGTGAATCATATTTTAATGATGTATTATATTTTTATAGAGCGCGACTTTTACTTTTCACAGCATCGCCACGGAAATTATTCGAGAAGATCCATGCCCACAATGTCAAATATACCAGACATTGCTCCGGTGTGTTAGGCGCACAACTATCCCGCAACTTGATTACTTGCGAGCGGGACACAGGCATGTGAAACTGATTTTCGTGAATGCTAATTTAGTTTGACCTACATATTCGCCCTCTTGGAGGCATCGCAGAATGCCGCGCTATATTAAACGTAAGCCGTCATCGTTGTTCTCCACTGATAATCAGGGTAGTATTGGACGTCGTAAAAGTGCACCTCGCGCACAATCCGCGTTGCGCACTTACGCGAATATTCCAGGAGTCACGTCTCGGTGGAGAGGGGATCACTTTCGACGTATCCTGCACCCTATTGATTCACACGTCAGAGCCGAAAATTACGAGCGTTGATTCAATAATCGGGTCGGACTTAGTAATACAGCCGACAGGCCAGCGGGACGCGCAGGGAGCCAAGTGTTTCGCATAGTCGACGGGCCGCGCCCATTCGATAGTTAATATCCCCGATAAATTACTCGACTCGCGAGCGATCGGGCAAATGCACGGCGCAAAGGGAGAGCGAGATTGAGAGACAGAAACGAAGTCCCGAGTCGAGGCTCGTTTGTCTTCATAAGATCGACAGTACGGCCTGAATATTTAACGGGCGCGAGCGCGAGCGCGCCTCCCTAAAACGCTCGCCACTTGTCCACTCAATAATAATGAAGCGATACGCATTCGATGCCGCTTCGCCGGCTATCTCCCGAGAGGGGCGTCGTGGCGGCACGTCTTATCTCCTTCCCGCTCCACGGTCGGTGCGCGTCTTTACGAGAGTTATTAAAATCCCTCGGCTGAGCTGGCGGCGCGCCGAACGGGCAAATAAAACGGACAATCGATTTCGAGGCGCGCGGGTAGGCGGAGCCCCGATGTTATTATTTGCCGCGGCGCAATTTTACGCGGCGATGGCTGCCAAGCGCGTTCGGCGCGCGCCGTGAGCGTCTGCAATTATTTACCGACGAAAATTGTTGACAACGGATCAATCGGATACGGCCTCGACTCGGCGCTGCCTTGCGCGCGTGCAGGCGCGTTAATGTTTTAGCGGCAGCCCACGCGTCCCGCACAATGCCCCCCTCCCCCGCCGCCACAGAGAGAGCACCGCGCGACCGAACGCGAGCTTTTTATTTGCTTTCAGCCGCGTGTGCGTGGCGCTGCGAGCAGCTAATTGAATGGCGCCATTTTTAATCATTGATTACATTCGCTTGAGCGACTGTATAAAAGCTCAGTGCTAATTGGAAGTTAAATTGCAGTGCGCGAGCCTTGCATTATGAAATTCTTCCAGCTGCTTCAGCGAAATTGGGTCGCTCTTTTTTGTTTCATCGAGTGATTGACTCGGACATTCACTTGATGTTTATGGCTCCAGCATCCTTAAAAAGGTGATAGAACAAACGCAATTACCTCGGCAGACAAGGTCAAAAGTCGCTGTACCCTACGAAGCCAGCGTACCCAAGATGTGGATCGGGACATATCAGTTAGTCACTGCAAGTCGGCGTTCATTACCGTCGTAAAAGCCCGACCGACGTGCAAAGTGTGTGATAAGCTGAGTCGACGGCGGTGCTTCCTCCGCTGCTGGCGCGCGATAAAAAGAAGAAACTGCCTTTTCATGCGTACACTTAGCCATCGATCAGCCGAGTCGTCGGCTGAGTCAATTTCCGCGAAAAACCCGGCAGGAAAAAAGCGCGCAAACGAGCCGGCTCGAGGCGGAGGTGCGAGGGACGAGCTGCATTTTGATCCGCATTAAATAAACGAGTACAGATCCGGAAGAAATCCCGCGCGCACTTTCTCCGAACAAAGAGCAACGACGAGCTGCGCCTCGCGCGTCGACCCTCGTCCTGCAACGCTCACTTGCTCTCGCGCTGGAGAGCACACCTATTTTCCGCTCCCTTTTATTTCTGCCTTCGTTCAGGCTCATTCGCGCGCGCGAATATATAGAATATAGAGGATAGAGATGGAACTGTTCAATCGCAAACTGTCACAACGCCGTCGACTGCCACGACGATAATTTAATCCATTTACGATTATTGGATAGAGGCGCGGAAAAATCGGGGGTTTTGTCTAGCGAGTGTTATCCGGGAACGCGAGCTTGTCGCCTGAAACGAGCGCGAGGGACGGCTACTGAGATCGCAGCTCCGTTGATACGGAAATATTGGCGCATAATTCGATGATTTCTCACCCTCGCGCGCTAGCGCAGCTTCTGCCCCTCGCTCGCGCAGATAACGCGTTCAGTACGCGAGCTATTCCCCGAGGGAGTTTATGATAACGGAGAGTATAAGGAATGCGTTTACGCGCGAGCGGAAAAGGCAATACACGAAATCACGGAATTTAGTGTCGTCGGTCAAAGGAAACGAATGCGGTGAATTCCAATTATTTTTTTTTTTTTCGCGTTTGATCATGGCGCTCCCCAACGCAAGGGAGCTCATGTCAGCCGTGCATCACAAGTCTGCGATTCGGAGGAGGGGGAGAGATGTTTTGATCGAGGCGCCTTTAAATGCGTTAAATAACGACGAGTTCCGGCGCGATGTTGAGTGCAGTCATAAACGCCACGGCGGCGTCTGCGGCTTGAGCTTCTCTTTTTATGAGCCAGTTGTTTACTCTTGCTGCCTAAATATCGGAGAAACGTCAAGCGCAAGACGTTCCTCGGGCTCCTGTCTTCACACCACTCGCTGTTTCTGCACGGTTCGCCGCGAAAAGTATATTTTATCGTGATTCCCAGCGTGTCGCTGCATCTCTCGCGCGCATACCCATCATTGATTCAGGGAAGTCCGCACGGTGATTTGTCACGGCGGAGAGATAACCGAGAAGCCTCGGGCGATGGGCATCGAAAGCCGGTACGAGCTCGAGATCGCAAAGTGGTTCGGCCGAGCCACTGTTCTTTTTCCACTCGTCGCTGCACTCGGTGACGCGCGGCGTATCGCAGGCGCAGCTGTTCCTTTCGAGCGGGGCGTCGCGCATTTTTCAGCCCTGGCGTCACGTACCTCGCTTTCCCGCTCGCGCTCGCCGTCGCCCTCGTTGCCGATGAAAAATTTACGGCGACGCGCGGCGGCTAATCGAAAGGGAATTCGATCGTCTTATCTGCTCCAGTGACGTTAGCGCGCGCAGGCGCTGCCGACGAGCGGGCGTGGGCGTCGGCATCCGGCGCGCTTTAGCGGCGAATTCCCGAGTCGCCGCCGATGACGAATGACGAGACTCGCAAGTGGAATACAAAGCGCGAGCGCGGCGAACGATTGGCCTCGATACGTCAATCGCTGGCGCGCATCAAATCGCGTCATGGCAGCGCGCCACGCGAGATCCAGCCAAGTCAGAAAATTACAGTGTCGACGCGTCTGCCGGGTTTATCGCGAAGAAAAGAGAGAACGGGGCGCGCGAGTGGGCGCCGCGCGCATGGATTAATCTCGAGCTCCGACGCGCGTGTGTGTACAAGCGACATTATCCTCAAGGCTTTACGCGCGAATTAATTGCGTTGTTTGTTTGAATGCTTGCAAAACGGCTACGTGAGCCAAATGAACACGCTCAACGCCCCGCGATGATCTCCGCTTAGAGAGCGAGGTCTGCCGCGCGGAAATGTCATCGCTCTCGTCGGATGAGCGAGCGCGGGCGCGAGCTGCGCGTCTCCACGCGGGGTATGGCGACGTCGAGAAAAACGATCGGGAAACAGCAGGGACAGAGGGCCTAGAAAGAGCTCTCGATAGCCCGCGCCGCAGCAGAGTCGAGCGAAAGGCAGTGGATGTAGTTTGGCGCGCGACTGGAGTCTGGCGCTCGCTCTTTGACTCGTTGCGAATGGGAATCACGTGTGCGCTTTCCAGAGAGAGGATTTTCTTGATTTTCATTTGCATGAAAGCCTCACGTATACAAATTGGCCCGTGAGCGCAAACACAACGGCAGGGCCGCGCAGACGGATTAACCGCGTAGTTGGAGCGGCGCTATGCTCGCCGGACATAACGAGCCGCGAGTCCAGATGCATTTACTGACCTGATGTTGTCCTCGTCGACGAACAGAACGACGCCCCTTGCGTTGCGCTTAGTGCTGAGGTGTTCGACTATCCGGTCAAAGTCCTCGGGCTTGGCGTTGCGCATTATTTTCTCGCTCACCGCCACGCAGATGTTGTTCTCGGCGGAAAGCGACACGAAGCTCGCTATTCCCTGCAACACACGTACAAACACAGTCATGTACATAAGCGCACACGCGCGCGCGTCGCGCCGCAGAAATCCACAGAGCTGCACGGCTCCGTTTGTTAGTTTTGCACGCTTCGCCGACTGCGCGATGTACTACATCCTCTTTCTCTCCCTGCCCGAGTCCGCCTGCCCTCCTGCGCGCGAGAATCGATATCTAGCCTAGCTGCAAAACGCCGGGGATAGTGCTAGAACAAAATGCAGCGCGCGCCCCTTCGGGTAGAAGAAAGGAGCGAATTGCTTCTTCCCCTTTGGCGGAGCCAGTCGCGTGTGCGGGCCGCGCATCGGCGAGGCTTTCCGCGGGATGAGACGGAGCACTCCCAGCGCGGACGGCACCGGTACTCTCGATTATTCCGTAGGCTTCGTTATCGAAAACGCGCTCGGCTCCGTTTCCAAAGGCCTTGCCTCCTCTCGCGGAATCAACTCTGAATTTGACAGGTGCGTCTGTGCGCGATACGTCCCACCGGGCGACGACTGTTGCATCAATAGTGGACGAGTCGATGCCTGCGGCGGACATAATGATATGCGCTTGGAAACTCTTGCTCCCGTTCCTCTGTGTCCGGCCGGTTCGGAAAGGCGCCCAAGCGCGCCGCTCTGTCGAGGCAACTTCGCTACAACCCCATTTAATTGTACTCTTTGTCCTGCCTGCGTTTGCCCGCGATGTCGCTTAATCTTTTAATGGCTGAAATAAACTCGCGGCTCTTCCCCTTTCTTCTCGGCTGCTTTCCCCATGTTTACGTTTTGATACTGTCGCGACTGGGTAAATAGAGTTAGGCCGCGGCGGATGCTGCTGCTGCCGCTGCCATCTAACCCGCTGGGATTAATTAAAAACATTCAAACAACTGTGTCAATACTACTTGTAATTTATTCGAGCGATGTGTCATTTATTCGAGCCCATTAAAATTTGCACGATCGCGCTGGTGAGATAGTGCCAGAGACGGCATCGCCACCAGGAAAAGAATCGTGGACAACGAGGACGACGACGACAAGACGAGGTAACGTAAAACTAGTGGCCGGAAAAATAAAAAATGGAGAAAGAAGACAAGCGAGAGACTCGATAGAAGAAGGATGTGGTTTAGTCTTTACAGCCTTTAGAAAGTTATTTCAAAGATAAAACCCAACCCGTCGGAGGGTTGCCCCTATCAACTTTGTCAAACTCGCTTCTCGCGCACGACGGGGGATGAATACATCCTCGGAGTTTCGATTGATTGAGCAGCGTACATGCGCGGGCGGCCGAGCTTTGATTAAAATGTTGAAAAATAGAGCGCTTCGGTGTTGCCAAGCGACGTGACTAATTCACGTGAGCCTGCGGGGGAGATATAGAGAGAGTCGTGGGCCGGCCGCACCGTCGCGCTCAACGGCTGCCAGCCTTAGGGGCAAGCGTTAAAGCCTTACGGAATTTCAATCTTTCAGCCGAACAATGCCGATCAGATTGTCAATAATGCCGCGATGTTTAATATCAACTCAATTCCTGTGGCCGAGGCACGCCAGACGGTCGACACCACGCCGTCGCGATTTTCGTGTCAGTCGATCTGAACGGGTATTGAACTACTGTACTGCCTGCGCTCGCTCGCGTTATTGAGTAGAGTTCGTCCATTTCGGGCGTGTTTGCCGTAAGTATCGAAGCTTCCTCGTCGCACCAACTTATTGTCGGCGTATTGTTCTTTTATCAAATAGGTCTTTTGTAGCGTCACGATATACAAGCGCCAACAAGGCGGTAAAAAATTTAGAATCCACACGCGAGCCGAATTGTTCGGCTTGAATCGAGCTAATTGTCAATGTTGCGACACTGCAAAATATGAGCTTTTGTCCATCGCCAGCGGTACGTGATTATATTTTCAAAAAGTTCAATCAAAAAGTATCTTTTTCCGTTTCTCCTCACGTCCCGTCCGACTGTTATTTATTTGGAAAACCAAGAGGCAAAAATTACGTTCGCGAGAAAGAGAATGGAATAAGAAATCCAAATAATGCGTGAATACAAACTGCAGGGCGACGAGGTCGTTGCGCGTGAAAGATCCGTGATTATTTCAGCGGAGCAGAGAGGAAAAATGGTGTGTAACTGCGAGCGAACTTGGCAGCGTAAAGCTACTCTCGTATTTCACTTGTCTCTGCGCAAAAAGCGACCGTAGGCTAAGTGATAATCACAGGGAGCTTGATGAGAACGCAATATCCAAAGAAAGCTCGTAAAATCGATGGAGTATCGACGAAGGAACGTTAACATTAATAGCGACGAGTTATTAACGGTTATAGATAGCGAACACTGGAAACCGGAGAAGCTTTCTCTCTCTCGGCTTGAGGCTTCCTATTAGCCGGCCAACGAGAGCTGACGTTGTAACAGCAACGGCTGCGGCGGCGGCGGCAGCAGTCCAGTGAGTTGACGTTAGAATGCGGTGGGGTAATTAGGCCCCAACGGGGGGTTCATCTCGAGGCGCGACTGTTAGCGCGAAAATTTTCTAATTTAACCGGCGTCGCGGGCAAAGCTCGAGAAGATATTCCGGTCGCAGTCGTATCGAGGCGGCTAATTATCGAGAACTAGCGCGGGGTTCGCTGGGCGGTGTTGCGCGCAGCCAATTAGCCATCGTCGATAGACAGCTGCGTACACCAGATAATGAGATAATTTGGCTGCTCCTAGCGTCACTATTTTTTGAGCCTTAGACTGGCGCTGTCTGCTATGTGCTCGAACAGAGCGCGCGCGGGCGCGAGAGAGAGAGAGAGAGAGAGAGAGCTGGATCGATGGACCAATTACGTAGGGACCGGACGGTTGCTGCTGCCCCGGACACAAAAACGGACGTACGTATTATCGCTTTTTCCTGGCTGGCAGCTTCTAGTCATCGTCGATTTGTCAATATTTTCAGATAGCGTGCCGACGAGTTTCGGACAAGTCGCACTAGCAGTAGAAGTGACAGTCAGGCGCAGTACTGACCCACTTTTTTCTCTCTTTCTCTCTCTCTCTCTCTCTCTCTCTTTCTCTTTCGCCTGACGCCGCCACTACCACCGTCGCTAGAGACGTGTCGTCGTCGTCGTTGGCGCGTGTACACGCTATTTAAAGCCCTCGCGCTGCTCGTTCAATGCGCCCAGTTGGACTCGGCTGCGACTGCGACTCATTACTGGCTCGGGCCAGCTCCGGCAATTTTGCTGCACTCCGCTGATCATCACGGCACGCTGAAATTTCGAGCGCTATTCAGCGCTGTTCACGTCCGATTGCCCTTGTCGCTTACGACGCGGACCTGCAGCGCCCAGAAAGCGGCCGCGAAAGGGGCATTCTCGTTCGGCCGCACTTGGCCTAAGCGTATCCATCTTACTCCGCGTGTTTCGGTATCGCGTGCGTGAACGGCGATCAATCAACGCTCGACGCATTCGCCGCACGAAGTTTCCGGCGAATGAAAAGCTCCTTTCTCATCGACGCTCCGGGCGTCTTTGGTCTTGTGGTAAATAATACCGAGAGCTTAGATTTGACGAGCCGCTACGATGGAACCGAAGAAGCCCGCAGAAAGAAAAAAACAGCTCGAACCAAAGGCAATTGCAGCTTCGGAAACGTTATGAGAGGCATTACGCTGATAAAATTTGTCGAGCGAAAGCAAGATCTCTCTCTCCCTCTCTCTCTTTCCACGAAATTCCCGGAGAATCCCCGCTGAATTTCCAATTTACTTGATTCTTGACTCTGTAAAGAAAAGAAAAAGTCCATCGGCAGAATACACAGGGAGCGATTCAGCAGGCGGGCAGTCGAGTCGAGCGTGTAGAGAGTCGGAGAGAGCGAGAGAGAGGAGTAGGAGGAACGAAGGACCAGAGAAAGGAAGGAAGAGCGACGAGGAGGAGGAAGAGACTGAAAATGGCGGCTTACCTTTTCACCGTATTCGCCCTCGACGGCTACCGTAGAGACATACTTCCAGCCAAGTCTGTGGATGACCTCGACTATAGCCTGCGCTTGGAAATTGTCCGGCGGCACCACCCGGCTGAAGTACTCGAAACGGCTCTTGTCCGACAACTCGGTGCTCGTCGACGCGTAGCTTATCTGTGGAATCTGCAACAAATCATATCCAATCTTTCTGCTGTCTTGACGCTCGCGTGTACCTCTACTTTTACATCTACCTGAACTTTCTGGTTTTTGCTTTTTTTATCACGCCCGTGGACTATATCAATCAGCTCGATAGAGATTACACGAGAGAAAGAATGAAAAAAACGAGGGAACTGGAGTAAAGCAAAGAGAACATGATTCAATTAGCGGTGTAAACGCCCGATGGATGGATTCAATTCTAGTCGGTCGTGGCACTTTGCGCTCGGCGAGTGATTGCCATCGTCGTGTAATTAAACGATAGCCGCAAGTCGTTCACGCGATTTTTCTTCTTTTCCCTTGGCCCGCCGCCGCACCTAAGCGATAGTCTATTTTTTTCAAATCAAGAATTTCGTGCAAAGAGTATATATGGCACACTGTGTCTGACAATCAGTTTCCAACCATACAAGTGTCCCATCCAATTTCGTTGTTTGTTTGCCGGCTAGGTCAAAGCTCCGACTTTCGAACGTGAGAAATAAATGCGCGGCTCGCTGGGCGATGCATTACGGCTTGCTCGCGTTCGTAGATTTAAAATCTACTGGAAAGTAGTACCCGTCGACGATGACAAGATGAGAAGGAAGAAAAAAATAATACATACGGCCCACGCCTGCATGCGCTCAGGCTCTTTCGCTCTGTAAGAGAGCACTACTCGTTGGAAATGCAAATAGCGAGTCGAGTGCGAAAAAAAGACAAAAAACAAAAAAAAACAAAAAAAAAAAAAAACAGCGAAGAAAAAGAGAGTGGAAGAGAGGTAAAAAAGCAAGAAACGAAGAAGCAGTTTGCACGTGTGAGAAATGAAGATGGTTTAGCCTCTCAATAATTCGGCGCACATAAGGAGAAAAAATAGGCCGCGACTGGTATCGCGATTCCCGGAGGAAAGAGTCGGGAGCGTGCGCGACTTCTCGGCGAATTTGAAGAGAGAAAAACGACGATGGAACGAGTGAGGGAGGAACAAAAGGCAGTTACACGACGAGGGGTCGACGAAACTGAGAGGCATTGAAAGAGCTCGCGCGACGACGACGACGACGACGACGTCTCTTTTGAGAGAGAAAGAGTGAACAAGAGAGAGGGGGAGAGAGAGAGAGAGAGCGGGGAACAGTGGCAAAAGTGCCCGGGATAATTCGTCGTCCCCTCGTAACTTTTTGAGCGGCTGAGAGCGTTTGGATAGGCCCGATAGTAACGACGATCGATCAGTGAACGGACGTTTTATTGCGTAGAGCCCCGGCGTAATTCCGTTTTCATTGAGAGCAGAGGCGCGCGCGCGCAAGATGGGGAGAGAGAGAGAAGAAAGGGAAAGACGAGAGTGAGCTTGAGATAAAGAGGCCAAGGGAATTAGACTTTCATTCAAGTTGTTATTCCAGTAGCGCCAGCCGGCGAATCAATGCGCAATTAAACGCTTCGAGCAACAGCTCAGCTTTTTTTACTCCCACTGTTATCCTTTCTTCCTTCCTTGTTCAGAATTCACTTATTTTTGCGCTTGCTAATGCATTTTCATTATTTAAACTCCGTCCGACAGAAAGGGAACTCGACGAATTAAACAGCGAGCTTTTCCACGCATTTGTCCCCGCCTCCTTGTCTCTCTCGCTCGTCTAATTGATACGGAATCATTATTATTGTCTTCGGTGCATTGACCGGTCCTTCTACGCGTTTTCATTATTGTACATTATTATTATACGTTGGACGCCGCTTTGTTTTTTGATATGACGTCGATTCACCGATTGGACATGCATTTCGTATGGATGTCAAACAACTCGTGGCTTGTAATTCATCTGTACCCGTGTGCTCATATCACTCGATGACTCTGTTGTTTGGTGAATGTTGCTGGAAAGCTTGGAAAGTACTAAACATTAATCAATGTTATCAAGTATTTTTTAAATTAAAACCACTTCAATTATTCTCATCATTTCTTTTCTGAATTGACACATATAGCGTTGAAAAATAACTGCTATGGATAATGTTCGTACGTCAATCGTTATTGTCTTCGTACTTACATCGTTGGTCATTGTAAATTATAGTAACCTGCACCTTTTACGAATTGCGTTTAACGTTATCAGCGTTCATTAATTATACATTCTCCCCGAAAAATTCTATTAGATTTCATATAAGTAGTCAGTATTTCATTACGCAGGACTATTATTTTATTTAGTAAGAGGGGAACGCCATTTTTGCCCGAATAAGCTGATGGCTAATAAAGTGGATTATAGATAAGTCTTCATTTTCATTGCGTGCCACCGTTGTTCGAGAGGACAATGGAGTGAATTATTCAAGCGACCATCGCATTTCTCGAATCATTCGAGCATAAATTTCATCTCTTCTTTCTTTCAACGAAACACTGCCGCGTTTGTATGCAGTTAGCGTTGTCGCTGTGACTACGGACTCGTGTACGGCGTATAGCAACAAACAATTATGAAGATGAGCTTAGATGTTGCTTCTTGTAACGCGCGCACGTATTCAATCTTTGTCAATTTAGCCGTGGAAAAGTCGTTTTTCTCATATCTATCTCTCGTTTTTCCGACTTGAAGGCGTAATCCTCGGGAGCTTATTTCCTCTCCAGCTGCCGCCGCAACCACTGGCTTTATGTCTGGGAGAGACTCGCGAAGCAAAGGATGTGCATAGGAGCGCCGTCACGCCGCTGATGCTTACAGCTGGGCATGAAATTTTGAAAGCTGCGCGAGCTCGCTAAGGAGATAGCGAGAGAGAAGGGTAGTGCCATGCGAGCTAGCCATAAAGTGAGACATTGCTTCCACTCGCGAGATTCCAGCGATAAAATCCATTTCCGTCAATTAACTTGGCCTGCCGGCAAAGTCTTGGTAATTGAACTGTTTTCGCGCCTCATTGATATATATGTCGTTCATTCAACGCCTAATATTTCACGCACGCGCTAATATGTATATATATGTTTTTTTTTTAGACAAACCACGCCTGAGTTATGAGTGTGCTTGCGAGGAACAAAATCGAAAGATCATCAATTACTCTTTCAAAGTGTCGTTCGTGTAGCCTCGCACGTGATTTATCATGCTTATACTTGTCACCATTTATTGATTATGAGGAGTGTTAAGGAAAGGAAAAACGAAAAAATGAAAAACAATACACGTGACAGTGGTGCACGTATCGATTCAAAACACGCACGCGGCCCAATTAGCGCAACGACAATAACGTAAGAAAACGAGCTAGGGACTCTCGAAAAGGAAGAGCGAGAGGGGGGGGGGCACAGAAAAATAATGATCCTTGTGAGTTCGGTCATTAGTCAAGTTCAAGCCAAGTGTAATTTCATAATTTTTCCAAGGCGGCGTATGAGCAAGTGGGCGAGATAGAGGGAAAGCTGTATCCGGGCGCTTTTGAGGGAAACGCCTAGAGAAGAGGCACTTGGGCCGTTGGCGCGCAAGTGCTTGCTCGACATCTTTCGAGGGGTGGGGCGGGGGCGAGAGTGAGCCAGCGAGCGAAACCGGGGTCTAGTATATCGTGAAAAGGCCGAATGCTTTGCCAGCTGTATCAAAATGATCCGGCGGAAAGGAAATGGAAACAGCGGCGGCATCGGCGTCGAATGGGATCGAGTGGCGAGCGTAAGAGAAGCTGCTTTGAGTGGCCTCCGGATTTTTCTTTGCGAGCTAAGCTTTGATGGATCACGCCCGCGGCAGCTTTTCATGCTGGCGCCGAGCTATCGTCATTTGTTGTCCGCGTGCCCCAGCCGAACGCCGCTCGTCCGTCAATGAGGCGAGCTTTCGCGGTGGCCAGCCCGCGCGCCAATTAATTTCGAAACAGTGCACGGGCGCGCGATGATTTGCCGCTGCTAATAGCGCGCGCGCGCCACGACGAGTGTGCAAACGTTCTCGCGGATAAATTTGCGGAACGATCCTCGGCTGATTTTGCAGCAGTTGCGAACGAGCGAATTGCGCTATTATCGGCTGACGCGCTCATTACGCTGCGAGCGAGGTGCGCGGTTCGCAGTTATTGCGAAACAATGCTCGACTAAGCATACGGCAATTAAAAGAAAAACGCCCGCGCGCCAGATATTAATTTAGCTTCATTCCAATTAGCGCGCAGTAAATAGAAACCGGGGGCGCGCTCCCGCGTGCGGCGACGAATAATTGGAAAGATTACTTATTTTTCTTTATCCAGTTACGGGCGCGCGGCGCAGTTAGGGAGATAAGGCAAACAGACGCGAGCCGATAATGCGCGCGCGAACCGTAGCCGCACTCTCCCCCACGGCCGGACAATTTATCGCGGGCGATGCGTCAGCTTTATGAAAGTCGAGATTGGAAGCGATCACGGCGCTGGATGGAAAAACTCGAGCGAAAATAACGTGGATGGAAGAGGTCACCTTGAACAGGCGCAGGATGTTGGCGACCATGATGGAGACGCCGCTGAACGATGCCCCGATGACACCCGTGACGGGCTTGTGCGGCTCGTAGATTGGCGTCTTGTTGTTCTCGCACCTGTACTCCGTGATGTCCTGCAATCGTACAAAGGGACAGGCGTGTGAGTGCGAGCGCAGACGTAGTCGAGAGGTTGGCTCGCGTAATAAAGCCGCGCGCCGAGCGTCGGGGGCAGAGCCAATTAGTCAGCGGGCGACGACGGCGGCGAAGAAAAGGAGCCCGGGCCGAGCGAACTTTAAACGAAATAATATCTGCGAGCGAGTTTCCTCGATGGCGGGCCGCTGTCGGCGTACAATGCTCGCGCTCGCGCGCGGCTCATTTCGAATGCGCGACTAAGAGCACCGCCGAGGGGATTCCTCCCGTGCCCCACTCCGGCCTATGGCGTGCAGTGCCTCGGGCGGCGCGATAACAAACAGCCATCAGTGTCATTACACACAATGCATTGTTCGCCGGGCAAGCTGGAGAAACGAACTTGCCATTAATTGCCCCCGCACTGCTGTTTCTCCCCTGCCCCCTCTCGGCGCCTCATTGTGCCCTCATGGCGCGGCCCAGCTTCTTTTCTTCTTTACCTAATGGCCGAGTTTTCTTGCCTCGACAGCCTGTTTTTTATCCCAGGCATTTGCATTACAAATTTCAACTTTTAACGAGTTGCCTAGCTCGCAGCCCAACGCTACGCCTCGGCCGTTCTCATTTTCTCTGTAAACACGCTCGGCAGATCGGATTTTGGCTTACCTTTTGTCTGCTTCGGCTGCGCGGAGATACGCGCCGAGAGCGACCGACTGGTGGGAGGAAAAGAATATCAGCCGGGAGGCTAACTTGCGCGCTTGCGAGAACTCGCCGATTTGAGTGTCATCGACTCCTGGCGGATCCGCGCTCGCGCGCGCGCGCGCGCGAGAGAGAGAGAGTCGCTCTCTCAAAACGTTCCGGCGCGAAACTCCATTAAAACTTGAAATTTGCAATGTAGATGCCCCCTCGACGAACCGCCAGTGTACAGGTTTATCGCATTAAACGCCGCTTCACACAAGTCGCGCGAGCTTGTTTGAAAAGCCCTGCAAGCCAATTGCGCTTTTTTCGGGAAAACTGCCACACCGAGTGAACAAGCTCGGCGGCATCGCGGCCGAAGATAAATGGATTATAAAAGTCGTTCAAGTCTTAATGAGATATCTCGGCGAGCTGCCGGGGCTCTCGTGGGCATAGAGACGCGCGAGCGCCCGGGACGCCGGCAAAAAGAAAGAAAATCCGCTGAAAAGTCGATCAATCAGAGAGTGCAATGTCGTGTCGATCTATCCCGCGGAGGATAGCCGTCGCCCCGGCGCTCCGCAGCCGCGCGGCAGCCGCGGCGAAAAACTCCGCAGCCGTACGTACGGCAGACAGGTGCTGCGCGGGAAAGCCGGCCTCCGACGTGTCTTTTATCCCGCGCGTCGACGCGATGAAATGCACGCCTCGGCTTCCGTGACAGGCAGTTTTTGAAGTTTACGCGGGGCTGTTCGCGTCAGCGCGCGCAGCTGCTCCGCGCGCCGGAATGGACTTAATCAACCGGTCGTCCGACGCGTCCCTCGAGCCAATCAATTTTCCAGGGACGCACTGCGATCTGCGTCTCTGCGCGCTGTTTAATAAGTCAGCGCTCGGCGCAAATCACGCGAGCAGCCGGAGGTTTCCGCAGCATAATATATATAGGCCACATTATTACCGGGCGGACAAACGGCATCGAGATGAGCTCTCCGGCTCTCCTCTCCCGCGGCTCCTCGTCCAAAGCCAAAGGCGGTTCGATATTTCAAGCTCGGCCAGCTGCTGCTGCTCCTTTATTCAGCCCGTAATTGAAGCTTCATTAAGCCCGAATGAGGCGTCTTAAGGCGCACTCTACTATCAAATTTTGCGCATTTTCTAGCTCGCTGCGCTGCGCTAAAATGCAATTTCGCGGTACAACCTTTGCCGGCAATCTCTCCATCCAATGCATACTTCAATTAATTTTCTCATTACCGGTCTAGCACGCAATTCTTACTCATCGGCTATTTCTACCAGCCGAATATTACGCACGTTACACATCTATTAGCACGCGAAATATCAACTGAAAGCGAATCCTGCAGCGCTTGTAAGTTCATAAAATCCCTATGAAATTCAGTCGTTTGCAGTAATTGCATAGCTTGCTGAATAATTTGTTGAGAGATCAAAGTCATTTTGCAGTGGAAAGTTGAGTCGACGTTTTCGACAGACTAATTGAAAATCCTTTCTTTCACCTGACGTGCGCTAATGAAAGTTGATGTAATTTCAAGGCGAACAATCGAATCGAGCAGTCGAAAGCTGCTTCAGCTTGCGCGAAGGGGCACAAATTTGACTGGGAGAAAAAGGCTTGAGTGGCTGCAAACGAGGATTGTTAGTCGGCGGTCATATATAATCGGAGCAAGACTGACCTGATTCATGTAGGACCTGACGAACTCCATGCTCTGGTCGAGTGCGTAGGTGTCGCTGCTGCACGAGTCGAGGATGAGGGCACCGAGGGTGGTGTTGGGCAACAACTGCTTGTCCGCGTTTATCTGGTCGAGGGCGTAGAGCATCGCTTCGAGGCGTTGCACTCCCTTCTCCTCCTTGACCGCACCGCACGGCGGCAGGCCACTTGGATTAACCACCTGTCATGGCAGCGAGCGTGCGATGAGCGCCAATGTGCCTGTGCCGAGTCCGGTTGGGGTGCGCGCAAACGGCTCCCTCCGCCAAATGAATTCGAGCAAAAGCGCGCCACGCGATAATTGGATTGGTCGGAACTTTTTAATGAGTCGACCTTGGCAACCAGAACAATAGGCAAGAACGGAGCACGAGAACGAGTGCATACGGCCAAGTTTGGACGAGCTGAGTTTCTGTTTATCCCCCGCGGCGACTAGTCAGTTTGCGCTGTCGTCCTCGACGAGCAAAACGTAGCATTGTGTCCCCCCTCCCCCCAACCTACGACCACCTGCCCAGCTGGCAAAGTTTACCTGCTCGTGCATGGGAAACAAGCCACCGAAGATAACGTCGCCAATGATGCGTATAAGCTTTGAGCCGTCCTCCACGCCATTGTAACGGCCGTTGCTGGGGTAGCCCGTGCAGCAGCGTTCCGACAGGAGCAGCATCAACAGCAGCGACGATGACACCGCCGCAGGCCAGCTTCTCATCCTCGCGGTAGTGGCGGCCCGGCCCGGCCACTGCGATTCTCCGTCCTACGAGATGCACTGTAACAAGCCAAAAGCCAATTCAATTAATTCAACGCGAACGTGGATTTTGCTTATGTGATTCGCGCTTATGGCGCTTTACTGCTCGAAGCTGAGCAAATGGGGACGGCGGCAGGTCGAGGGTGAGCTAATTAATTACATTCTCATTGTAGCTTTCGCAGAAGTACGCAATTTCCCAGAGTGCTCATAAATTTGACAAAGCTGTCGTTAGTCTTCTCAAGAAAATGACAGAATTGCAACGTCGAAAGTCGCACGTCGGGAGCGCTCGTTACCGAACTTTTCTATTCAATTTATCCCGTGCGATTTCTTCGTGCTAACGCCCAGCCCCTTCACTCCCTTCATTATAACCCTGGTCGGGCGCGAAGTATCGCTCCAAAAACATATTTTTTGAGCTTAGCGGCAGCTCCAAAGCGCGCGCACGCGCGCACGCGATCGATGAACCAATTCCGATACGGAGGGACCAACTGTGCTCTTACTTGCCACGGCGCGGCCGCGAGGACCCGTAATACAATCTTATTCAGCACCGAATTAATTGGAGCACGGGCTAGTGCTTCGAAATTAAAACATTGTCGTCGAAATAATCGAAAGGAAAAACACACAGAGTTCGAGCTCTCACAAACGGTCGCGCCGCGGCTAATGAGATTTTCGCCCGCGGGCGCGCGCCAGTCGCTTTGATTATTATTGCAATCTAAGTATCGCGGCACACTCGGCAATGGGGCTTGCGCGCGCGCCGCCGACGGGGCTCAAGTAGTTACGTGGGCAATTAGCGCGAGCGAATATTTCCTTTGGCGCGAGCTTTGCGCGGACCGCCAGTCCAGTTAGCACGCGCGGCTCCTCGATCGCATTCGATTACGGCCGTCTACTGTCGTCGCGAGCGCGGTGGCGCGCAAGATACGCCGCGGCCGCGACGAAAAGATCACCGAGGCGAGGCTAAATGAAGCCAAGTCGAGGGAGCGAGTACGAGCTCCTAGTTGGCCCCGAGACCAATTTCGCTTCGTTTCACGGATAATTAAGTGCTTAGCCACGGTAATTTTAATCGAGGCGCCTCTCGTTACTTCAATCTCGCGCTACTGCCTGGGGAAATTGAAACCCCGCAGACGGAGAAACGGGGAGCGCCAATTTTCGTTTATTGCTTAGCGACCCACGAGAGAAAGAGCAAACGCAAAGTCGACGCCAACGGGACTTGACATTCCTTCTCCTCCTCTCTTCTTCCGAAACCTCGGAAGCGCCACTGCCGGTACGTTATGTAGAAAAAGAAGCGGGAGAGAAAGTCGCGAAGCAGTGTACAAATTTTCCGAATTCGTCGAGCTGGAAAAGCGCGTTGTTTCGTTCGCGCTAGTCTTCTTATGCGTAAAAACTGTGCTTGACGCTCGGCAAATTATTGGCTTGAAAATCGATTCGCACGAGAGCCCGCCTCCGGAGGACTGCTTTATCGCGAGGTTTCAATTGTAAATCGCGGGACTCGTGCGTGGAATGCCATTGTCTGCTGCGTCTTCGTGGCTGCACGTATTCGCGCTTATATGCCTATGTAGCTGCCAATATACCTATATTTTCGTTTAGAAGCCGCGCGACGTCGATTCTCGTTAGTAGCGTGTGCGCCATCGGCAGCGTGACTTATCGCGGGCTCCAGAGAAATTCCATTAAATACAGCGAGAGAGGGGGGGGGGGGAGTCAGATGAACGGAAGAATACACAACGACGAGTGTCTACAGTCGAGGATATCTCCAACCATGATGTCCGCTTTTGCTTTTTAGCGGAGAATTATCAGCTACGCAATAGCAAAAGCTCCTTGACGACCGCGTGCGATGTCTACAGCCTAGCGCACCTGGATAATTAAATCAGCTGGAAGCAGCGTCAGAAGAAAAAAAAAGACTACGCAAGAGTAACCCTTGGAGTGCAATTCACCTTTAGCTATACTTCAAGACAATCTCTCTTGAGAGAGGAAGCGGTGAGGCATGCAGGCAGTGATAGCAATAGGGAATATCGATTCTTCGGACGTCCCACCGCTTAATGAACCGTGTCGAGGCGATGCATATTTTTAGCGGCAAACTCGTTGAAAAATCTTCTGATAATTGCCTCCGACCCTCTCGCGTTGGCTGTGAAAAAGTTTCGAGATAACAAACCAGCAGCAAGTGGCTTTTCGTGTAATTTTCACTTCCTCTTATTTATTTTCGAGAATGGAATTGTAATTCAGTGACACGAGAAAGTACATTTTTCCAATTTTCGACTGCTCGCAGATAAAAAAGAAAAAAACCGAAAGAGACAGATGAGCTTGTCTGCGATGCTCTCGTTTGATATATTCATGTGACGGCATCAAAGCAAAGAAAGCTGCTATCTAATTCAAAAGCGCGCCTGATTTTCGAAAACACAATAACGCAAATCCCTGCGCAAATCTGTCTCCGGTGGCGAAGTCGAGAGAGAGAGAGAGAGAGAGAGAGAGAGAGAGAGAGAGAGCGCGCGTGTGCGCATTACACATTCAGCAGTGGTAGAAGTCGCAGAAGCGGCGAACAAACGTGTAGCCAAGCTGATTTCAATGCATCTTCATAGACCGGTCCGCGCCATTTCCGCCAACTTTGAATTGCGCATTTTTCTTCGACGCTGCTCGCTGACGCAAAAAGCCGCGCTCGCGCGCCACGACACTCTCGCCCTCGAGCGCGCGAGCCATGAATTTTCGTGTTTTCCACGCGGCTACTCGACTGCAGAGTTGCAGAAGTACGAGGCGCGCACCCAACTGTCGTCGTTCCTTTGCGAATCAACGGCCCGGCAGCACGGAGAAGGGTCAGCGAAAAAATGGAGTAATCCAGTAGGCCGTCGCTACAGGCCGCTCGCTCGCTGCAGGATTAAATAATCTGGTTAGTTAAAAGTTTTAATAAACGCCAGAGCCTTTCGCCTCTGGCACACGTGAGTGACTGATAAATTTCCCGCCAACTGCGTGCTGCTAAGCCAGCGATGCAAAGTTAAAAGCTGTCGGGGTCGCGAGAGTGGGGCCTTTGAGCGTTCTAGGACCGTTGATTTTTCTCCGAGAGAGGGAAGAAGGAAGCTCGCGCATGCGCCGCGAGATGACAAAAAACAAAGAAAAGACACGTGCCATCCGACGTAGTAAAAACGGCTATTATAGCCAAAGCCAAGCGGCGCATGTAGTATATGTAGTATATATACATATATATATGTACACGTGCGAGAGCTTTTTTTCCATCCGTAATTTTTTGCCGGGGAGTCTTGGCGTTCGCCAGCATTTGTTTTTGAAGGCCATTCGCGCGCACAGAGCTGCTTTTTGCTTAACTCGGTGCCGCTGCGGAGGCTGAGCCAGCGCTCCCGTTGTCAATTTTCACGAGCTGGACTTCTTCAGCTCGGGGTCCACGCTCTTCTATGACGAACTAAACCCGGCTAAATTGAGCCGAGACTGCTCGGTGCCTTCTCTCGCGCTTGAAAGGACGCGCAGTATTTTTCAAGCGAACGAGCCTCGATCAACGCCAACCCTTCTGCGAGACGTTTCCCTCACCCTCCGTTTCTAGAATCCTTCATTACAACGAGCGACTTGCTCAATATAATCGCCTTACTCGCTGCTCTGCTTTAAAAGGAGGATTATGCCGTTTACTAATATAGTCGCGGAGCGCCGGCTATTTGCAAAAAGCTAAAATTGAAACTTGGTACAAGTTGGCGGGGAGCATTTATTGGGACTTCAGAATCGATTGGCATAGATAGGGTGACGCCTGTAAATTAACTCGACTGTGGCTTGGCGTTTTAAAGTTTTAAAGTGAGTTCACGTGTAGCTTGCTCGCTGCTGCCACTGCCGCTGTCGCCTATTGAGTTTTGTTTCATTTACTTCCTGACTAGCTCGCGCTCGCAGCTTGTCTATAGCGTTCGAGTTCTTCCAGTTGGTCTAGCCTCGAGTCAGCTTGCTTCGCGATTCCTTCCGTTAGTCCATTTTGCAGACCAAACAGAAAAGAGGCCAAAACATACATTACTGCTTGCGCCTCGCTCGTCCAACTCCTCGCCAATGAATTTTACATCGGCGCCATTAAAGATTCCAAATTTATGCGCATTTCAAGCAGATTAATATCTCTACTTTCATCCAACTGGCTATGCTTAAATTCATTATTCATAACGCAGCGCCGCTCATCAGCCGCCAAATTCCAGATCAACTCAATCATCGAATTACATGTTCCGATTTAATAATTTAATAAATAAAATAACATTTGATGAATTATGCAGATTCCATTATCTCTGAAATACCAAAGAACAATTCTCATCACGAGTGCACGAGCAGCGGCTGGAGCGGCAGTAGTGCCGAGGTATTATTTGCGCATTTATCGAGCGGCAGCCAACAAAAGTCATTATCTCCCGAGGCGTTTTTTACCTCGATCTGTAAGCGAATAGGGAAGGGGGAGAGGGGAGGGGCAGAGCAAGGGACACAAACGGCCTCCGAAATTATACTCTGCTTTCTACCACTATGCATCCCAGTTTAGAGTTTGTTGTTGCGACGCCCTGCCGCTGAGCCGTTATTGCAGACTGCAATTTTAAAGTTCTCCGAGTGTAGGCGAACAAACGTTTTTGCCGAATCGACGTCTCGAGGAGCGGCGGAGAGAGGAAAAAAAATCACGAAACATCAGCAGCGCCAACCTACAACGTAAACAGAGAGAGAGAGGGAGAGAGAGAGAGCGAGAGAGAGAGAGAGAGAGAAAGGGAGAAAGAGAAAGGGGTTCGCTTTAATTAATTGTGTTTGAGTAGGTCGGTAAAAAAAGGAAATGGAAAAAAACTAATTCATTAACCGAACAGACCGTGCTGAATGAAACAGACACTAAAATTGAAAATAACGCAAGCAGCGAAAACTTTTGGAAATTAAACCGTGCTGCTGTGCGCGTAGGCGCGCTGTTGCGCAAATGAAATGTGTCTGACCTAACTCGGATGCGTTCCACTAGGACATAAATACACAACTACATTTCATTTGGAATCAACTTTCTCCGCGACGAGAGAGCTCCACGTATTTTTCCGAGTAAC